CTGGTGTTCGATTAAAAAAGTTTAGTGCATTATCAAAGCTGTTTGTATCACACTCCCAAAAACTTAAAAATTAAACCTTTCCTTCCTTCACCAATGACAATAGATCTTTATCTATGATTTAACTAATTAAATGAATATATACAAAACTTCAAAAACAGAAAGTAGTAAGTTCTCAGTAAAAAAAACCAAAACAGAAACCAAAATCAAAATCAAAATCAATAACAAAACTTAAATGAAACCGAATCACATATTGAATTTGCATATTAATATCGGCATTCTTTGTTTTTATAAAAATCTTAATTTGATGAAATCATGAAATTAATCCAAAATAATTTAGGTTTAATATAATTACATCTTGCGTTTTGACCATATCAATCATCATTTTTGAACAAAATTCTAATTTCAATTTGACCTAGATCTCTAACACCGGATATGAAAATTATACTAATTCAGTTTAATCTTTAATTTTTAATCTTATATGTGTTGATAATGTAACATATTCTATTTTTGATCAACATTGAATAATTTGGGTTGGATATAACTTCACAATCTTGTGCATTGCCTATAATTTATATTTCGATTCTATTGCATTGAATAGAAGTTTTACCAATAACCTTTATTGATATAGTGAGCTCAGTTTAAGATAAGTATTCTCTCCCTTTGATAAACTTAGACCATATTCTAATCTCCTTAAGTCACACTTGTAAGTTTAGTCTCAGGCCACCAATGACTTCACTCTCATTAATGAACGCAACCTAATAATGTGTTGAGTTTCTATATATAATCCAAATAACAAATAATTTATTATCAAAACAAGAATTTAAAGTAAGGAAAAATGATCATTTCAATTTGTTTTTTTTTAAAAAATATCCTTATCCTTCCTATTAAAAATATTCTAATTTCTCGATGAATCTAATTGATAAATTCGACTGTTGTTCATAATCTGGATTGCATTAATATTCCAAGTATTGTGAAGTATTTCAAAATATTTTGAGCTTAAAACATATAAATAATTTGTTTGCATTAGATTCAATCATTATAATAAATTTCATAATTTAGAAATAGTCTTCTATTGGTATATGTCAGGTTCCACAAATAACTTTACTCAAAACATGATTCATTTAATATTTATCATTTCTTTTCAATCAATTTTTAAAACTGATGGAATTTAAATAATTTTGCCGTTCGATCCAAACCTTGAGATACACTAATATTGCTTAATTTTTGAAATGTAGATTTGTAGATTCAAAAATTTTGAGATGCTCCCATACTCTCTCTGAATTTTCAAAATGAGCTTTTAAAAGAAAAAAAAACCTCCATTTTGATGTTTCTTGACATTTGTTAGAATTGTTGTCCTCTTCAAATATGTATTTTGAACAAGTTGATTGGAGATAACACTAGCTTTGAGCTAGTCTGAGGTGTATCGATAGCTCACATCCAATACAGCGATACAGAAACTCCTTGTATACTTTTGATCATAATGACGGTAGTAATCTATTCATTAAGTTCATCTATAATTACATGTGTCGATAACGATTTATTTTGAAGTTTTTGTTTTTAATTGTATGTCTGAACTTACCAAACTGAGACTTAATATTTGCGTCACGCACTTTTTTAATTAATAGTTCTAATCGATAATTTGAAAGAAAAATTATTAAAAAATTGTAAAATCTGAAACATCATGTTTCATATACATTTTTTAACTCAGCGCAACTTAGTGAGTCAAACTAAAGCATATGCTATGAATTAGGAAGAATGAGAAAATGATATGGCGTTTTTTAAAAAAAAAATCTGACAAGTGGTTCTTTTATCATAAAAATTCATAAAATTTTGCAGCAAAATTCAAACACATCAATTTTAGTAGCATTTTTTCAAAAGTATGAAATAAACTAGTAAAATTTATATTGAAGAATTAAATTATAGTATAATCAGCCCGTAGATTTCAAAGAAGCTTATTTTCAAAATTGATGACATTATGAGCTAATTCAATTCAATGATTTTGCTTGTAATCACCAACAAAAAGTTGAAAAATGAGTGCGATTTATTATTATTATTGAAAATACACTTTTTGAATAACGGGCTTAAATAATTTATGAGCAACACTTGTTTAAGTCTCACAAGTCTATTAGCCATTGCGACTCATAAGCATCTAAGTTAATATTTATATAAATGAGCTTTTACAAAATAAAGAAATTCATCATTTCATTTCATTCTTCATTATTAGTTACAAAGGGGATTGAAAATTTTAGTAATATATTTTCACTCATAGGTATTTATTAATAAGACCAATTTATTCAATATCTGAATTGAAATCAAAGTCAAATGGAATAGGTGATAGTTTCCATTAATGAAATCGTTTATAACTCTTCTTTCTATTGAAATTAACAGTATCAATTTGTATCATTATTTTTTTTGTATTCTTTACTTCGCTGTTAGTTAACTCTCGCTTTAATTAGCTCTCAAAAGTTTTGTATATAAATGTTATAAAGTATTGTAAGCTCGCTTTAATTAACTCTAGAAGTTAGAAAAAAGATAACACTAATTAACTTATTTTTAGTTAATGATGATGATAAATGATAAATGATTTTACTATATTATCAAATCTATAAATATATATATACATGAATATATATATCTATTCTTATTTTAGTTTTATACTTTTACTCTTATCTTCTTCTTCTTCTACTTCTTCCAATTATTCTACTTTTATCATTCTATCACTTTTAACATTCTTAAGAAATAAAGGATGTCAATCAACTTTATATCAATATTAAAGAAATATAATCATACAAATACAAAAAATTTATATTATACAAAATGTTTAACTAAAAAGTCATTTATAATTAATAATACTTATTCAAATATCAATAATAGAAGATATTTTCATGATTCACCAAATATTCAATCTACTACTACTACTACAACTCCAACAAATTCAACTATACCACAACATCATAATCATAATCATTCAGATTCATCATTAATAGAATTAAATAAATCTATAAATGAATCTAAATCAAAATTAAATAAACAATCACTTAAATTAAAAAATTCTAATTCCAATACTATTACAAATTCTTCAATTCTATCAAATTCAAATGAATATTTAAAAGTTTATGATAATAAAGAATTATTATCATTTTTAATGATTGGTTTATGTACAATTAATAAATTTACTTTACAATTATGTATAAAATTATTTCCATATATTCCAATGTTTTTAATAAAATCATTAGTTTATAGAATTTATTGTGGAGGAGAAACAGTTAAAGAAGTTTCAAATACTGGTTCAAGATTATTTAAAAGAGGTATAAATAATATGATGATTTCTTTAACTATTGAAGCTTGTGAAGGTGAAAAGAAAGTATCAATTGATCCTCAATTTATTATAGATGAAACTAATAAATCAATAAATGAAATCTTAGTACCTCATACTATATCAATGATTGAAAATACTAAAATGAATATAAATGATATACCTTCAGGTTATGTTGCTTTAAAACCAACAGGATTTATAAAAAATTCAGCTCATGTTTTAAAAAATTATAAAAATGGTGAAGAAAAATCATTTGAAGAATTAGTTGAAAAAATAAGTAAATGTGTTGAAACAGTATATAATTCAAATTTAAAATTATCAAAAAAATATCCCGATAGAGTTGCACCATTTGTTGTTGCTGTAATAGATGCAGAAAAATATGATTTACAACCAGCTGTATATGAATTACAAAGAAGATTATATCAAAAATTTAATAAATTAAATAATCCAATTTCAGTAGTTGGTACATTACAAATGTATTTAACAGATTCTTCAAATTTATTAGAATATGAAGAAAAATTAGCCACAAAAAATGGGTATAAATTAGGTTTAAAATTAGTTAGAGGTGCTTATTTACATTCTGAAAAAAATAGAAACACCGTAATTCATAAATCAAAACAAGATACTGATGAAAATTATAATAAATCTATAACATATTGTATAAATCAAATTTTAAATCAACCTTCAAAAACATCAAATATTGGTCATTTAGTAATAGCATCTCATAATTCAGATTCTTTAAAATTAGCAACAAATATAATATATAATGATCAAAACCAACAAAATCCAAATAAGAATAATATAGTATTAGGTCAATTATTAGGTATGGCAGATTCAATTACTTATGATTTAATAACCAAGAAAAATATAAAAAATGTTATAAAATATGTTGCTTGGGGTCCTCCTTTGGAAACAAAAGAATATTTACTAAGAAGATTAGAAGAAAATGGTGATGCTGTTAAAAATGATAATGGTTGGCCTTTAGTAAAAGCAAGTTTTATGACTTTAATTGGTAGAATTTTAAAAACTAAAGCTTGAAATAGATTATATAGAATAAATAATGAATAATGAAATGATACAAATGAAAAAACGTATATTTTTAAAGTGTAATAGCTACTTAATTAGTCCTTTAAAGTGTAATTAGCTACTTAATTAGTCCATAGAGTCCTAGATTTTAAAAATTAATTTATGATTTGGTTCCCATATATATCCACTAATAACACATTGAACAACCCATTCCCAATCAATTATATATATATCAATTTGTTTTAATTCATCTCTTTGTTCATTTTCTATTCGTTTAGATCTAGTTGTCATTCTTCTACTAATTATTTTTGATTCTTCTTCATAATTTAATTGTTCAGTTAAATAATCTTTTAAATTAATTTTTAAATTTCCATTATCATAAATTAAAATTTTATTTTCAGGATTTAATTCACTTATAGATTTTAATTTCAACTTTAATAATCCTTTTTCTTGATCATTTTTATTTAAAATTAAATTATTTAAAGAATTTGCTCCAAATGAATGGAAAATAAATTCACAAGTTTCAATTTTACTATTATTAAAATTTAAATTTAAATTATTATGTAAATTTAAAATATCATAATCCCTTAATAAATTTGAATTTAGTGATAATTGATTAATTAATGTAGCTCCATTATTAAAATTATTTTGAAATTTAACTAAATTTAATGATTTAATACAATTTAAAAATTTTGAAAAACCTGAAGGTAATATATAAATTTCCCATTGACTTATTAGACTTTGGTGCTGCAAACAATCATCAATAAATCTATCTGATAAAATTGGCCAATTTAATGATAATGTTTGTAAATATTTTGAACTTCTACAATAATTTGATGATAAAAGACAACCAAATTTTAAATCATTAATTATAAAATTTTTAAATTTTAATGATATTCCTCCTTCTTTTTGACTTTCATAATTAAATATTTCAAAAAGATCACAATCTAAATATATTCCACCATTCATTTCAATCTTATTTTTTAAATCATTTTTTCTATCATCATTTATATTTGTTATGAAAAAAATATATCCTACAAATATCAGTGATTTTATTTTTTTTTTATTTTTTGAAGGTGATGGAGTTAATGATTTAATTAAATTTTCTATATTTGATGAATGACGTGATAATTTAGTTGGAGTAGTTGGTAAAAAATTATTTCTTTTGTTATTGGTGGTAGTAACAAAAGTACTGTTATCATCACCTACTATAGAATTTGAAGTTATTTGAGTTGATGTTACTATTTTACCATCATCTTCACTATTATCTAAAATTTGAAATTTTTGTTGATGAATCATCCAATCTTCTAATTCCATCCAACATTGAGATAAAGGTATAATAATTTCTTTATCAACTTTAGATTGTTTAGATTTCCAATTTTTTTTCAATTTTTTCAAATAAACTAAATTGAAACCTCTAATACATTTTATATCATCAACTAAACTCTCATCTCTTGATAATCCAGTAACAATATATTTTAAATTTAAATCACCTAAAATATATACATTATCACCAATTCTAATATCTAAATAATTTAAATCTTCATTTTTAATATTTGATGATTCATTATTTTGAAATTTTATAATTGAATCCAGTGAATATCTTGTTATTATTTCACCTGTATACATTTTTAAATTATATGATGCCCAAACACTTTCCTTGTGTTTTATATTTGATGTATATATTATATCATTTGTTTCTTTTCGTAATATACCTGTTATTACTTCATTTTGGTTATCGTCTGCTTGCTCCTCTTCTGCTTCTTCATGATCTTCATCAATTATAGCTGTATCTTCTCCATTTGATTGAGATTCAATAATATTATTCCTCCTTCTTCTTCTTGCAATTATTGGAATTTCTAAAACTGTCTTATCATCTTCAACATTATACAGGTCATGGTTTTCATAATCATCATAATCATCATAATCATAATCATTTTCATTTATATCACTCAATTCTTCTGTAATTTTAGATGGTGAACTTGGAGGAGTTTGTTGTCTTATACTATTTTTTATTTTATTTATTAATCTTTCACCGCCATCATTTTTCAGTGACAGTCCTTCTTCAACATCATCTATAAATTCAGTAGTATTTGTATCATCATGCACATTTTCATTTTCATCCTCAATGCCATTACTATTATCATTAATTACATCCACATTTTTACCATCATCAATTGTAATTTCGTCTTCATCAGTTCTAATCAGTTGATCAGCAACATTAATTGATTTATTTATGTTTTCTATTTTTTTACTTGGTGAAGAAGATGATTGAATATTATCAAATGGTGAAGCAAATATTAAAGGTTCAGAATAATTTCTAATTTGAGTACCTGGAGTTTTTAATAATTCAGGTCTATTAAAAAAATTTTTAGTTTTACCATTACTGTTATTATTATTTCCTCTTAATCCAAAAATTGAATCTTCACTTTCGTTTAATGTTTTACTTCTTTTTAATTTTAATGGACTATGTGATAATCGTCGTTTCCTATATGCAATTAAACTATCTTCAAAATGGTCTTTTAATTCGGTCGTTATGGGGACTTCCGATTCTTCTTCTTCGTCCTCTTGTACTTTTTCTTGAACATTTTCTATTTCTTTTGATTCTTCCTTTTCTTTTTCCAGTGCTTCTTCCATTAACTCATCTTCCTCATCTTCCTCCTCCTCTTCTTCTTCTTCTTCTTCAATATCATGACTTATATCTTTTTCATCATCAGTTTGAACTTCAATTGTTCCCTTTGATTTATTAGATTTATTATGAAATAAAGAAGTATCTGGTTCTTCTTGAGTATTTATAACTTGTCTATGAGAATGTAAATATTTAAAATCATATAAATCTTCATTCTTGTCTGTTTTGGTTTTATTAGGATTTTTAACTATAAATGGATTATTTTCATCATCATCATTATCCTTTTCAGAAATTGATAAATTATTTATAATTGATGATGGTTCTTCAGTCAGAGACGTTTGATTGTTATTAATGATTTGAGTATCTGCTAGATCCATTTGAGTTGGAGGTAATTCTCGTATTGATCTTTGATTAAGTTGAGTATTATTTTCATCGTCTATTGTATGTATAGTTTGATTTGTTATATCGTCTGTAGTAGGGATTGTTTTATTGTTGTTCATACCGTCATGATGATGAATGTGTTTTTTGGACTTTTTAGGAGACTTTTGATTCATTAAACCATTTTGTTTCCTTGGCGAATGTACTTTAGGAATAACCTGGGTATCAACTAAACCCTGTTGGAGGTGTTCATTAACTTGAGGTATAATTTGAGTATCAGGTAGTGATTCAAGTATTGATGTAGAATGATTTTTATTGATAACTTGAGTATCTGCCAAATTTGAGTAATGTATGTGTGCTTTTTCTTTGACTTTGGTTTTCTTTGGTGAAGATTGATCTAATTGTGATAATGATGATGGTTCTTCAATTGGATAATCTGCTTGAGTTGGTCCATTTAGATCATTGTTTCTTATTTCATCTACATGACTCAAGTTTGAATTTAAGTTTTGAGTAGATGAACTCTCTTCACTACTTAAGGAAATAGGATCATTAAAAATAGGTTGACTAATATTGTCTGGTTTTTGAGTATCTTGTGAATAAACATTGTGTGTATGTGTGTCTTTCTCCTTATCATTTATTTGTTCCAAAATATCATCATGGGTACTTGAATTATTTTCATTAATCAACTGAGTATCACCATTGTTTTGTTGAAATAAGCTTGAATTGAATTCATCTTCTACGTTCATTGTTCCATGTTCAACTTGATCTTTTGTTGCTTCCTCATTCTTTCCAGTTGGTTGAGTAAAATCTACTTGTGTTCCGTCTTCAACATTCATTAAAATACATTTTTCTAGTTGAGTTGACCCGTTGTTTGATTTGCTTAAATCGTTGATTTGGTTGAATAAAATAGAGGTTTGTTAAATTTCAAAAGGTTCTACTGTATTCAAGCCGCTCTATACATTCTATTTTCGTACAAACAATTCCATTAACAATCTTAATTCTTTTTCATACATTACAAGCTATACAATTATATAATACATCATTAACCATTAAAACATACCTCAATATAAATCAACCGATTAATTACAATTGATTTAAAATAGATTCTAAATTTTTATTATTAGAATTTTTAGAATTTGAATAATTATTAGAAGAAGTAGTAGATAAAGAAGAAGGTCGACTATAATTAATTCTTACATCTTCTAATTCATCAATTTTTTGAGGTTTATAATTTTTTGAAACAACAAAAACAGCAAATAAACCAATTTTATCTGATAATTTTATTTTATGATTTTGAAAAATTTTTGATAATTGTAAATCTCTAAAATCAATTGACATTAAATATGAATCTTTAACAAATGATGGTTTACCACTTAATACTCCAACTTTATTTGATTTTATAAAATAATGATATAATTTATCAAAATTTCTTTGATTTTTTGAAATTTTATTTTCATCACCAAAATTCAAATTATTTGGTTTAATTTCAATTATATATAAATTTCTTGTTGATGTTATCATATTTAAATATTTTTCACATGTTTCTTTTTGTAATCTACCTTCAATTATATAACTGTGTTGTTTTTTAAAAATATCTCTTGCTATATTCGTTGAATTATCAAGAGATTTAGATGATGTATCGTTGATATAGTCAGTTGATGAATAATAAAATGCATTTGCTTTGAAGTTCGCCAATTCTGGAAATGTTATAGAACCTTGCCATAATTCAATTGGTGGAGCTTGTATTTGAACTGATGGTGATTTGCTTTTAGTTGGTTCTGGTGAGCGTTTGTCATCTGAATTTAACTCACCATTCAAAAAACCTTGAATTTTGTCTTCTTCGGGAGTTGGAGCATTACCATTATCACTAAGTGATTCTGTGGATTTTTGATCATCTTGAGTTTCGTTTGTTGGTATTGTTATTTCTTCAGGATTATGTTGACTCTTATTAAATTCACTCGTTGTAGTAGCTTTATTTTCTCTATCTTTAGAATCTTCATTCTGTTGTTCTTCCTTTTCCTCTTCCTCTTCTTCTTCATCACTTGATGAGTCATCATGTTCCAATCTTGGATTGACATTATTGTAGATACTTTTTTCAACTTTATCAGTTTTCAAATGATTAGGTTCTAAATCAGCCAAATCTTGTGAGAATCTACGATGATCAACTTTTCTAGCAGCAATACTTTCATCCATTTGATTATAAAATTCATTTTCATTTTCTAATATAATTTCTCCTTTATGAGTTCTTCTTACAATTTGAGTTTGATCATTTTCAACTAATACTATATTTTTAATATTTTCTTTATTTTGTTGTTCAATTTTAGCAATATCTGCATTTAAATCTTGTGGTGATTTATTCATTAATTCTAAAACTGTTAATTTGTCATTTAATAAATCTTGTCCATAACCTTTTTTCAAAATAAATAATACTCTACGACCTTCATCTGAATATAATTTTTTTGTAAATTTTGAATTCATAATTGATTCAAGTTCAAGTGCTATATTTAGTGATTTTGAATTTATTTCTTCTTCGCTAATTTTAGTTGATTCTGGGTTGGTTTCAGTTGATTTATTTTCTTCGATTTTTTTCTTAGTTAATGAAATTTTATTTAAAAAATTATAAAATGCTTTAGCTGTACTAACTCTGATTGGATCTTTTAATCTTTCAAATGGTCCTAATTCTGCATCATTTTGACTTTTTCTTCCAGGAGTTTTCTTTTTCAATTGTGGTTCTTCATTAACAGATGAAGATTTTCTTTTCTTTAATAAAGGTCTAGGATTTCCTGAACAAATATCACATTTATAATCATCTAAATTTGATTTTTTATTTAATCCCATACATCTTAAATGTTGCCAAGTTTTACAATGTTCACAAAATACCATTGTTCCATAAGGATCATCTTCTTCATCATAATTTTCAGTTGTTGCTCCACATGGACCACATCTTATATCATTTTCATCTTCTAAATTATCATCATCTCCTTGATTTTCTTGATCATTATCTTTTTGATCTGGTTTAAATTCTTCATCATCATCATCTTTTTCAATTGGTTTTGGTTCATTCTTTGTATGTAGACTTTTATTATTAACATTTAGTTTTTGATAACCTTGATTTTGTTCAAGTTCTGCTTGAGCTTCTAATGCTTCCCTTTCACGTAGTGAATGAGTACCTTTATTGGATCTAGCTGACACTCTTGGCATATTGATATTAACGAATTAGATTTGATTTGAAGGAAATTATCGAAGGATTAGAAATCAAAATATGCTGTAATTATCTGCTTTTTCTTGATGTGATGTCTGATTGATTTCTGGTGTTTGATTATTAAATGTGTTGCCTTTAAGGATACAATTACAACACGAGTATAAAACAGTTAGGTGACTGAATCTTGTAGCCTTAAAACGCAAGAGATACTTATGCTTATAGTTTTATATTGAATACACAAAAGAGTATAATTGATTGATGGTCGATAATTGATGATTTGGTGGTGTAGTTCTGGTACTTAATAATATTACTTGTTGATAATAAAAGTGTTTATAATTTTTTTTCTTTTTCTTGTTTTGTTTTTCATAAATCAAATTTTTTCGTCTCTTAATTTGAGAGGTTAAAAAAGAATAACGATACAGAATACAAACAAAACAAGAAGTTATACACATCAAAGAGTACATTTCCATCCATTCTCGAAGAGTTCTGTAACATCATAATCAAGATGCAATAGCTTGTTTGTCGGAAGACCTTTCTAACTACTTATCCTTTAAAAAAAACGATCCATCATTTTTTTTGAAACATCACACGACATCTTAAATTCAATTCGCGTGCCATATTAAACGATTTATCATATAATGATATGATAACTTAGGCTGATTTAACTGGTCATAACTATTTATCTATTAATACCTGCATTACAATGCGTAATGAGGATTACTAATCAAGTAAGGTCCAAATATAAGTTATGACAAAGAGACGGTAGAAATAGGATTGCAATAAGCAGTTAATTTGAATTAAATCTATATTTATTTGAAATAATATTATAAATTTCTATAAAAATTTCTAACTACTTGAGCTGAATATAATATGAAATCATGATGAAAAAATTTGAGCTAGCCAAACAAATAATAATGAATTGAATTTAAAGGTTGTTATATAACAGGTATTTATGAGACCTAATTTAGATGTAGAAATACATTGTAAATAAATTGATTGATAAATTCTAGTAAATGTAATATAAAGTTTGAAACGTTTGATAAATTTGTTTCAAGTTAAAATATTAGTTAAATTTGTATTTAATTATGCAGCAGCTGTAACTTAAGATGAAGTTTTATTAGTTTGATATTTGTTATTATCTAGTAGATAGTTTGTTGATGATACTTTTTAAAAATATCTGAACTTCAAAGCTGATTTGAACCTACTTATATAGTAAAAAATGTATTTTGACAAACACGTCTGGATGATATAATGAATTCTAAAATCAAAGGATAAGTTATGATAAAAATCTAATTAAACCTGAACAGGTAAATTAATTGCATTAAGTCCTTTAAATCCATAATTTTGCAAATCTTAAATGCAACCAATACTAACAAAATTCTTTAACAATAGTATTGATAATAAAATGATGATATAACGATGATTTCGTAACTGTTAATGATAATTAATGTTATCACAAAAAAGACAGGGACAATACAATTTCAACTCAAGATAGTGTTCCAATAATCTTAGTGCATATTCCAGGTATCCGCAGTTATACGCAAATCATTAAAATCATTTGCTTAACTTACCGAAATAATCCCTTTTTGAAAACCCTGATTCAAAAACGCGTTTTAAATATGTTTTGTGAGAACCCTTTGTTTCAGATGATTTTTACCTAATTTGTATTTTGTGTTTTATTATTTACATGATAGAAAAAATTATCATAACTCTTATCTTGAAACTTAATCAAAAAATGATAGAAGTTATTGTCAATTATCATAAGAAACTCATGGTTATTATTTGTAACGCGATCTTATTTTGTATTTTTCTACTAAATAAGGGACTAGTAAAAACTAAATTAATCAAAACCCTATCAAATGAAAGGAGTTCAATTATGATCCACTAATGAAATTTAATCTGTTAAATTTGAATTAATATGCTCACACAAAGTTTGATATGAATCGTTATCCATACCATCACCACACATCTGATACCTTTGCTATTAAATAATTTGAAACCGTTTATTAAGTTTACGAGTTTATAAGAGAATAATTATTTGCATATTTATGCCTTAATCCAAGGCAATGGCGAATTTTGAATCAAATGCAAAGTGAAACGGTGGCTAGAATGTAAACTTTTTGAATAGAATTGAGGTATATTTAGATACACATTTCAAGACTGAGGTAATATCTCTTGAAAATTTCATGACGATCATTCTCGAAATTTGATTATCACAGTATATTTTAACTGTTGAGTAGTTAGAAGTAAACCCCTTTCATAAAAAACAGAGAAATAATGTAAAGATCCAGAACAAGATGGTTTTGATCGATGTCCTTAATGTTTAAGTTGGTCGTATCAGAAAATTTGTAGATTTAAACATCTCGAGCATACGCGTCTACTCATCGAGGTAAATTATCATAGATCAACAACTTTATCGATCATATTGTTGTAACAGATTTTGATAAATATCTAGATCGCAACAATCACTATCTATTCTTGTTAGCGAGTTTGATGATTTACATTGTTCCAATTATTTGTAAATTTACTAATTTAACCATAAAGGGAACACTAATTATATGCATTTGATAAGACAACACATTTAGATTATCTGTAGAATATTCTAAATAATGTATTCAGACACAAAAAAGTCATAGACCCTTATTGTTTCAACCATTTGTGAAACCTTCGTAATTTTAATTTAGCTATAACGGGAAAATTTCCAATTGTAAATACATGTAATTTATTAAAAAGAAATCATAGATCATCAAGTTAGTTAATTGAATAACAAAGGGGATTAATTGAAAATTTCCAATTACAAATTTTGATATAATGGCACAGATTACTAAAATTGATTTAATGCAAAAGAGGAAAACAATTTCTAACTTTTCAGATTGTAGAAGACTCAACAACTTTAAGCTAGAACCATATTGTCTAGACTTTCAAAAAATCGTACTCACAATTTCACTGTTAGCTACCCAATTTTTTCAATAATTTCAATTGATCAACACTGCTTTGATTGAGAAACGTGGTATTTGTTCTATTTTTAATACTCATCACAAAACTTTTAAAAATAACAAATTGTTCACAAACACTTGTTTGCTCGCTTGTACTTAAATACATCATGTATGGAATCAATTTTCAATCATTAATTACAATTGATAGTATAATCCGAAACAGGATTACATAATAAGTTACATAAGCGATACACTTTAGTATAAGCAAGTAATTTAACACAAAAATACTAAATAGGTAAAATTCAGAAATTAATAATTTGTTTCATAATGATCTACGGGTACCTAATTTTTCATTACGAAAGGGTTCTTTTTGATTTGAAAATAACGCGTTTTGTACCTGAGGGGTTTAAATTAGTATTGATTTATTGTTAAAGGGTTGTCGGTTGCTAAGGAGAGGATGATAGATCTACAATTATACTTATTTAAGTTCCTTCATACATAATAATTAAGTTTAATTATGAAACACAAAGTTAGTCAATTAATACCGTTAATGATCATTAACAATTACGAATCCTGTTACTATTTTGGTAAAATTAATAATCAGAGTCACAGGACTTAAGACTTTCTCAATGCTAATGATATGGATTTACATTGTGGGTTTAAGGAATTCATGCATGTAATTTATTTAACTTAATTAAGACTTAAATTGATATAGACTATTGTTCAAACTCATCGATAAATTTAAAACAATTATTTCAACGTTCGAAGACGTGTTTCTCAAGAAAGAAAAGAATATAAAAGAAGGTTAAAACACCTTGAACTGATCAATAATTTTTTATAAATCATTAACAACAAGCTCAATCGATTTCAATAGATAAATATCTAATAATTACAAATCTTGCTGCTAAACTTTAAATTAAATTTGAAACAAATTAAATCAACTAATTAAATCAACAAATCAAAATGTACTTTTACATCTAAATTATAAAGTCTAAAAACAGACTCAGTTCAAACAACTAATAACAAACATAATATATTTAAACCAGGCATTTTAATTCTATTTTATTTGCTCATTCATTCGTTTTTAATTAAATTTTATCAATATAATTTTATCAATATGTTTTTTCATTTTATTATCTAAATTTTGCTTTTGATAGGTTATTTTAGGTTACCTTTTTTTATATAGATTTTCAATACATAAACTTATTTTTAAAATTTTGATGCTCTTTTAATTTCTGAACAAGTCTCTCTTTCAAGCAAAATTTTGATGTCAACAACGATTTATGTTTGTATAGGATGCTTAAAAGAAACTAAATAAAATTTGAAACAAAGAAGTTACAAAAAACATTTTAATTAAAACCTAAAACCAAAAATTAATTAATTATACAAGAAATAAATTACTCCATTCCAACCCAAACATCACCTAAATAATTAAATAACAGTTTTTCTTCTTCACTATAATTTATAATTATTCCATTTTTAGTATTATCTTTATTATTCTCATCATTATTATTGATTTTCCCACCAATTGAAGAATAACCACACCAAAAATAAGTACCACAATAACGACCATCACCAATCCAACCAATTGATGGTTCATTTTGATTATTTTCATGAGATAAATAATTATTTCCAATTGGTGGAATAATAGCATTTTCTATTTTTAATATTATAAAATTTTTCATAAACTTCTGGATCAGGTTCTAAAAATTTTAATTTATCACCCCCTATTGAACTTTCCTTATTAAAATCAATTAAAGAAGATTGATGACAAAATTTGAAACCTGAATTTATCCATAATAATGAATGATTATCTTCATCATTTATATGACCAGGATGAGAAGAACAAATTTCTTTTGATTTATAAGGAGAGCCATCTGGCTTGGTTCTTTCATTATTTGAAGTTATAACTCCTATTGAAGCAGCATTTAATTTATTAAAATAAAAATTTTCATCACCATTAATTGCAAAACCTAACCAAAATAATTCTTTATCACCATAAGATTTATCCCTTAAATTTGAAAATAAATTTATATGATTTATCATTAATATTGAATTAAAATGTAAGGATTTATTAATTAAAACCATTCCACTTTCCATTTGATGCCATAAATCAATAAATAATCCTAAATTTAAAGTATAATTTGTTAATATTGGAATATTAAACATAATTGAATCAATAGTTGAAGGAGATAATTTTTTAAATAAAATTTTATCTTCCGCTGGTCTTTTTTCTAATATTGATCTATCTTTAAAAAATAAAGTTCCAGTTTTTAAATAACCTCTTAAATTAAAAAAAAATTCAGGAGGTTTCATCATAACTGTATCAGCGTCAATCAACATAAAGTCATTAAATGAATTAAATAAAGTAGCTAAAATTTTATTTGAAAACCCATGAAATTTTTCTTTATAATTTTCATTTATGACATTAGCAATATTAACAAACCAAATTTCTTGTTTTGGTAAACCTTCTTCGGGGTTTAAATTTGTAAATGATTCTGAAACATTTTCAAAAGAATTTGGTAAACTATTAAATTTTTCTCTTGCGGCTGTTACAATTTTTTTTTTACTTTCATTATTCAAATCATTGAAGTAGATAATTTGTATAGGTAATTTATTATTTAAAGATCTTAGCAAGTGAATTAAATTTATAACATAATCAACATGTATATTAGCAACTGTCAATACAATACCTTTTCCATTACATTGATTTTTGAAATTTTTAAAAAAATTTAAATCTTTAATTGATTTTGAATCTTTTATAAATTCTTTATTAATTGGTTGAGATTTATCTTTTAAAATTGTTCTAAAATTTGGTGGATAATTTATAATTTGTCCTGTCCATCTTTCAAATATTGGATTTTCAAATGATAACCATGGATATAATCTATGTTGAAATTTATTTCCTATATGACTTTCAGATACTAATTTTTCAAATTTATTATATGAAAATTTTTCATCATTATTTATAAAATTTTTGTCATTATCTTCTATGTTATTTAGATTTTCAATAAATTGTTTTTGTTTATTTATAAATTTATTTGTTGTTTCAATTTGATCCTTTTTATCATTTGTAATATAACATTTATTAAAAATTCTAAAAATTGAAATATTATCAATCATTTTTTTATGTTTTTCATTTCTTATTTTGTTTGTATATTCATTGATAATAAATTCATTTAATTTTTCATCATCATCATTAATTTCATAAATACTTTTAGGTGGTGATTTTAGTTGTTTGAAAAATTTATATTTCAAAACTTTAAAATTTCCCTCTTTAAATTCATTTAATCCTTCTTCACCTAAATAGATTGTATAATCTTCATTTGGATTAAAATTCCAATTTTGATTTTGTAAATAAATGTGTTTAAAAAATAAATCACATCGTTGATTAAAATTTAAATTTTTTAAAATCGAAATTAATGAATGATCTTTTAATATTAAATCATATATTGTTGAAAATTGATCATTTTCTTTATTTAAATTTAAATGATTCTTTAACAAGTTTAAGAATGTATTGTTGTATCTAAAATCTTCCGTATTTAGTCTATATTGCTCATTTTCATATTCTTCAAGCGCTACTTTAAGTTGTTGTTCATCATCTAAATGATTCTGATTTGCAGGATTAGGTGTAACTGTTTGATCTGCATTTGCAACAGATAATGTTGATGTAGTAGAAGTTGGTAATTTTTGATTATGTTCAATTTCTTTATAAAATCCATCATGTAAATTATATATTGAATGATCTCCCATTATTTCATCCATTTCATGATGTTGATGTTGTTGTGGAATATAAATAAATTTAAAATACCAATAAAATAAACCTATTGCCCATAATGAAATACTTGTAATCAATATTATTTTCTTTTTTTGAAATCTCTTCTTATTGTAATATGATTTGAACATTGTATGTTATTCACTTTTGGTGTTTCAAGATGTTTTAACTAATATGATCCTTTGTGAAAAGTTGTTGCAACAAGTATTGGTTGAAACAGATTTATTACTTAATGAATCATGGACCAACTGATACTTTAGTAAAATTGACTGATGGTTGATTGTGTGAGATCTTTCGATATTTATTATAATCGGAGTTAATGATTCAATATCTACTTCCACCTGTGTTTAAATAATTCAATGTTTCTAATTGTTGCAAATGAATTCCATAAATAGACTACCACAAAACAAAAACGATAATGACTGATTTTAAACAAGTGAATGGAAATATAATTAAAGCTAGTTTGTTGAATATATATGTTATTGATGGAACTTTAGGCATTTTTCAAGTATTTGAGACATTTAAGATTATATATATTTCAACTTATTAAAGGAGTTGTTTTAACATTATAGTAATGCAGTACGGAATTAAGTATTTTTATAACAACTCCTTGCCTAAAATTTTTGCTAATTCTTTGATTTATAGCTGTGTTCTTTCACAAACAGTGGTACTGCCAGCTGATTATGTAGGTCCATGGATGATGATGTAATTTGTTTTTGTTGGTTATTAAATGTATTACTAAAAATATATCTCGTAACTTAGAAATATAAACAAATAATTAATTAAAATGGTTATGATATTGATGATATTATTCTATTGTTTTAGAAATTAAACTTTTAAGGGGGTGAATGAGTTAATTACACAATTTCTTTGTTTATCAGATAATCTATTGTACTTCTTCTAAATTTAGTAAAGTATCAATAGATTCTTCTTTTAATCTAGAGTTCAAGTCAATCATCTCATTCCAACTGAAAATTGAGTGTATTCTACCTACATTTTCTTGAAGAAACAAATCAAAAAAAAAAAAAAAATAGAATGAAACAAGGAGTTTTATTAGCTTATTTGAAAGAATATAGAAATTAAACCAACCTAGTAAAAAGTTTGTGAGTAGTATTAACCTCATGTATTGTTTATTTATTTTATTTTTAGTAGTATGTGCTAGGGTTCTTACAATATCTTACATATCAGAATTCCACTATTTTTCGATAAGTAACTAAACGTTTTTTCATTATTTTGTCCAATGATTGAGGAGCTTTTGTTTGCATATAGTTTTATGAAAAACAAATTTACAATCCTATGTAGAACTGAAGGTTGTTGAGTATGTATATCTGATTTAATTTGTTGTTTTACTTTGATATTTTTAATTTTTGATTAGCCTAACACTTTATAGAATAGAACTGTTCTTACACAAATTCCCTGTTAATACGTTTAAATAAATGTGAAGAATTGGAAAGCTTTTGACGCTGCTATAACTACAACTACAACTACATTAGTAAATTATAAATTAAATTTCAAACTTAAAACTTAAAACTTCTCTATTAAATATGTAAAAAATATGTAAATACTATCTAAGTAATCATATTCTACAAACATTAACCCAAAATTGTATATCCTAAAAACAAACGAACAAACATGAAACAAAAAACATGAAACAAAAAACATGAAACAAAAAAAACTCAATAAATAATAATAATATAATTAAAAAAAACATAGCCTACTCCATTCCAATCCAAATATCACCATAATAATCAAATAAAGCTTTTTCAACAGAATTAAATTCAATTAAAATCCCATCCATAGTATTATCAGTATTATCATTAGTTTTACCACCAATAGAAGAATAAGCACACCATAAATAACTTGAACAATAATTCCCATCCATTATCCAACCACTACTTGGTTCATCTTGATTATTTGGATGATCTTTTAATTCTGTGTCAAGTGGTGGAATTATTGCATTTCTAATCTTTAAGGGGTTAAAATAATAATCTTTGAAAACTGATGGTTCATTTTTAAGAAATTTTAATCTTCCTCCCTTTTTGGATTCTTTTTCAAAATCAATTTTGGGAGCTTGATGACAATATCTAAAACCAGAATTCATCCAAAGTAAAGAATGTTCATCTTCTTCATTTATATGTCCCGGATGAGGTGAACATAATTCTTTTGAATGATGTTTTGTTTTATCCGGTTTTAATCTTTCACCCATTGGAGTTAATGAACCAATAGAAGCAGCATTAAATTTACTAAAATGATAATTTTCATCACCATTTATTGCAAAACCTAACCAAAATAATTCTTTATCTCCATATACTTTATTTGTTATTGTATGTATTAAATTTAAATGATTTATCATTAATATTGAATTAAAATGAATGGGTTTATTTATCAAGACTAATCCACTTTCCATTTGATGATGTAATCCTTTAAAAAAATTTTGATTTAAGGTGTGGTTTGTAATATTTGGTATATCAAATATTATTGAATCGATAGTTGATGGTGATAAATTTTTAAAAAATTCAATATCTTCTTTGGATCTTCTTTGTAAAACACCTCTATCTTTAAAAAAAAATGATCCAGTATTTAAATAACCTTTTAATTGGAAAAAAAATTCTGGAGGTTGCATCATAACTGTATCTGCATCTAATAACATAAATTCATTAAATGAATTAAATAAAGTAGCTAATAATTTATTAGCAAATCCATGAAATTTATTTTTGTAATTATCATTTATAACATTAGCAGTATTAACAAACCAAATTTCTTGCTTTGTTAGTCCTTTATTTTTTTTATCTAAATAATCTTTGGGGAATAAATTTGAAACTTTTGCAAATGAATTTGGTAAATGAGAATAATTTTCTCTTGCTGCTGTTACAATTTTCTTTTTGGTATCATCATTTAAATCATTAAAATAAACTATTTGTATAGGTAATTTATTATTTAAAGCTCTTAGCAAATGAATTAAATTAACAACATAATTTACATGTTTATCAGCAACTGATAATACAATACCTTTACCATTACATTGATTTTTAAAATCTTTGAAAAAATTAGAATCAAGATTTTTATCTTTTATTAATTTATAGTTGTTAATAGGGGGTGGTTGATTTTTATCTTTCATTATTTTTTTAAAATTTGGTGGATGATTTAAAATTTGTCCTGTCCATCTTTCAAATACTGGGTGTTCAAATGATAACCATGGATACATTCTATGTTGAAATTTATTACCTATATGAGTTTCACTTACTAATTTTTCAAATTTTGTAAATTTAAATTTTTCTTTTGTATTTAAATTTGGATTATTTCTGGTTTCAGGATCTAATAATTCAAAATTATTTTCAATTTGATTTTTTATAAATTGTTTTTGATTATTTATAAACCCCTTTGTGATTTGTTGTTGTAATTTATCATCATTTGTAACATAACATTTATTATAAATTCTTAATATAGATAAACTTTCAATAATTCTTTGTTCTGCATCTTTTTGCATAAATTGTTTATAATCATTTTTCATAAACTCTTTAAATCCTTCTTCATGATCATCAATATCCATATAAGATTTATTTATCTTTTGACTATATTTATATTTTAAAATTTTAAAATTTTTAATTTTATATTCATCTAATCTACCATCTTCATGAACATTATAATCTTCATTAGGATTAAAATTCCAATTTTGATTTTTTAAATAAATATGTTTAAAAAATAAATCACATCTTTGATTAAAATTTAAATTTTTTATTATAGATATTAATGAATGATCTTTTAATATTGAATCATATATTGATGAATATTGATCTTTTTGCTTTGTTAAATTTTGGCTAGTTTTTAACATTTCATAAAATGGATTATTAAATTTAAAATCTGATAAATTTTGTTGATATTGTTCTTGTTGCCATTTTTTAATTTCTGATTGATAAAGTTTTTCTTCTTTAATTCTATATTCTTTTTCTTGTTGATCTAGGTCATTTGGGATAGATGATGGTTCACTTATTCCTGTTTCGTTTGAATCTATAGTACCAGTACTATCACTTGTAGAAACAGTTGATGATGATGAAGATAATGTTTCTTTTGGTGGTAATTTTTGATCATTTTCAATAGGTTTATAATGATCATCATATAAATTATAAATAGAATGATCATGAGAAAAATCATTTAAACCAAAATGATCTTGATCATTATAATAATGATTATTATACCAATATAACATTCCAATTATCCATCCTGTAAAAATTGATATTAGTAGTAATTTTTTTCTTTGAAATTTATTATTATTTGTATATAGTTTTATCATTATTTTTCTATGTGTATTTACGGTATGGATGTAGATCTAAGTTAGATTTTGAGGCTAGTATATGTGAGTATATGTGACTTAATGTAAGGGCCCTTTCACAGATGAATATTTCTTGGATGAAGTATAAAATGAGTTGCAAAAACGATTGAGTTAAATATGTATGATGATAAGTATTTGATCCAAAGACTAATTAATCAAGCGAATGATAAGTTGGACGTTGAGATAGTGTGTATGAAGTGGTTGTTTCCTTTAATCTCAAGTAGTTGTAGGTTGTAAAAAAAAAATGATAAAACGTGGTCTTGAAACAATGTTGTAAAGGAAGGGAAGGTTGAAATATAACTCAAATTAAAGTTCCAAGTGATAAATGATGATGAATGAAATGAGAAAGTAGTTAGGTATTAATGATGAAATAAGATGAATAAAAGTAATTTGATTATTGAAATAAAGGAAAAGTTTTTATGATTAATTATTAAATATAAAAAATAGAGCTAAAAAGTATAATAAATATCAACAACGATTTTTCACATCAACACTAAGTAGTACATACAATATTCAATATTATGTTAAATTGATTATTTCGTAACTGAAAATTAATTTAATTATGTTGAGTTAAGTGCTAAATGTGGGAAAAGGGAAGAAGAGTAATCTATGCAAAATGACTTATTAATCAACACAAATAATATAAAAATTCTATACAATAGATTAAAGAGTAAGTGATATGAATTAAATTAAATTAATCATATTTGTGATAAAAGTCTATTGAAATAGAGATGAAATTCAACCAGATATATTTTTACACAAATATTAATTATAAAAACTGATTGAAAGATAAGCAAGAAGATTCAACTAATACTTGTTCTACATTCCAATGTCTCATCGATTATTTCAATAAGCCTAATCAATAAACGTTAAAACTTAAACTTTATTTCACAATTCCATCAATTTACAAAATTTCTAATTAAGGAACACAAATTATTAAAGTTCCAATCAATTAAACAAAGAATGTGATTTTTGGTTTCTGTGTAATCATATATTTTCAAAGCCATGTTTTTCTCATTACGTGTGGAATGATAGTCCAAATTCAAAGTTTATCAACTCCTTCCAATTTTAATGAAATCAGCATCTCTAATTACCAAGAGATCTTAACTTTTTCATAAACTTTTTCGTATCTTAAATCTTGAATTATAAACTTTATTTTTTTTGGTTTTAATAACCATATAGAATATCAATGAAAAAAAAGAGGCGTTTTTATCAACAACTGTTTAATCTTTTTAGGAAGATCAAGTAACCATGTTTAAAAGCCCAAATTGATACCGTTTGATCAACTGTAAAGTATGGCGTGTAATATATATATGAGTTTTAATCAGATTATCAAATCATAATAGAATCTACTAATAAAGGCAAATAAGGAACTAACAGTGGAAATTATTAGTAAGATAGAGGTTCTTGATAATATATTTATTTTTTAGTATTACTTTACAGCACTTCTCTTATTAATGTTTAAAAATCAAACCAAAAACTGTTAACTCAAACTTATTGGATTTCATCTCTTGATTTTTAATGATCAATCGGTAAAATTTAATCATTATCAGAAAAAGAGAAAGGACCCTTATTTCTACTAAGAAATATTTTTAATTAGAATTTACGAATATTTTTGTTAATAGAATTGACTAATCGTACACTACCACATTTTACAAACTTATACCAAACAACGTTAATGAATCATAGATCTTGAAACTATTTACTATCAATTGAATAACAATTGAAGAATCCTATAATACTATTTGATTCTTCATTTGCATAGTCTATTTCTTTTCATTCAATAGTTTATTAAACTGGTACTTCTTTTCTTTTTCAAAATCAACCCCTTATTAAATTAGAAGTCTAGCTCTTAAACCAAATACTACGTTTTTTGCAACAAAAAAATTGAAAACATTATAACGAATAGAAACCTAAATAGAGCTGATGCTGAATAACATTCGGGACCACTTGATAATACTTTTTTCTTAAGTGTTGCTACACTTGTAAAATCTAAATTGAACAAGGTTAGATATCACAAGAATAGTATTAAGACTTAGAAAAAAGTATTACAAAGTGGTTCTGAGGCTCAATTATCTTTGGATAAGTAATTTCTGATCCTAGATGTAGGTGTAGTTGATGAATGATGTATGTTGATACTTTAATTGTCAAGGAAATTGATCTATTGGTAGAATATTGACTAAAATTATCCATAATCACTAACGACAACTAATCATTTCAGTAAGTTTGCAAATATTTGTGTACTAGATGTCAGGTATTTGTTGACAAATGCAAAATTGACCTTTTGTTTGAGTCAATGGCCTGATTTTAGCAGTAAAACGTTTACTCACCGGACGGATTGAACTTGAGTTCCATGACTTTTACAAGATCTGGATTCGAAATGACCACTACGCCACGTCAAAAACTCAGATTTGGCGTGGCGTACTTGTTTTTGATTGGTAGCGGGTCACTTAAACTTCACTTGATCTTTTGTTCGAATCTTATCATAAACAACTTTTATTTCTTTATTTGTACCTCCCTGAGAAAGCTTGGATCAATTGAACTATATGATCTATAAGTTGAGGCAAAAGGGGTTTAGCACTTACCGGTTTGGGCCAGTGAATGACGTTTCTCAATTATCAAAATCCTGATTTTTTAAATCGACGTAAAAAAACATTGTATCTGCATAGTTGAGCAATGGAGGTATAAAAATTTTGTAGTTGTTTGACTTTATCGGATAGGTAGAATGCCGTTTTTAATTTTCTGGCTTTGAAGACTCCAATTTGAAGATTTGCAAAAAAAAAATTCAAGTTCTTTATAAATTTTTTATTAGTTTAAAAAATAGGTCCAACAATTGATAATAAAGTTTGGTTCTGCTTTATACTAACCAGATGAATCCACGATTAATGCTTCGAGTGGCATTGTTATTGTATTTTGCTTGAAGTTGATGAATTATCAATGCTTTTATAAAGTTTTGTTTGAAAGACGATGTTAACAATCCCGGATCATCATCACCACCGAGCCATCATGTTTCATACCCACTGAAAGCGGGTGACCTGGCTATGAACACAATACATATATCTTTTGCTGGAAAATGGTATAATTGTTAAGGTTAATTTGATGCATTCCAAGAAATTTCCAAAATTTTTTCCAGACTAAATGAAAATCAACAGTTTCTTTAAACTCGATGGCCCAAATGATACTAAAGATTCAAAGTTGAATGCCAAGTTGTTTGTACGATACACTCTATGAATAGTTGTCATAATATGAAAAGATGGATTTCACCAATTTTTGAGTCTAAACTTGATAATCATTTTGATCAATTTTAAATTCACGGATAATGTGATTATTTTCATTGCTATAGTACTTGGGTCATGTACCAATTTCTTAATGATTATGGTAACCCCAAATCAACAATTCAAAATCCCTTTCGTTTCAGTCCTAATATAGTTAAGACTAATTCTTATTTAATCCCACTATTTTATTTTCTTTTTACAATCCCTCGTAAATTTTATTAGATTTTGTGATCAAATTCTGATACACAATTTATGTAATCACAAAATAGTTTGACATACTCAAATCAAAAACTTAAAGCACGATACCAAATTTCAATTTCAATTCAATTAATCATCAAGTCAAGTGGAAATTTGGAAATATCATTATTTCCAATATTTTTTAGATATCTAGCTTATAGATTGTTTCCAATATTCAAACTATGAACTCTCCAACAATAGGAGATAATTCTTTAGAATTGAAAAACCAAGAACGTTTACTTCAAATTGTGAAATATCTACTCATAATACTGATTATTATCCTATTAATATTTATTTTTATCGTGACAAATGGAAACAACATCAACACTAAAGATTTTTTTGCTTGGTTTACATTGGCTGCTGTAGGTGGATTTTTAATTTCTGCGGCTATACTTGCAAGTGTGTTATTAAAATCTTATAGAATATCAGGCAATTTATCAACATTAAAGTGTTTGTCTATTAGTGTGGGGTTATGTGTTGTCGCTGGAATTGGAATGACCTCATTAATCATTGCTAAGAACAATATGAAAATAGTATTGAAAGATACAACTTAGAGCTAGATTTTGACCAACAAGGAAAATGTTAAAGTTGATTCCAAGGATTTGTTGGTTTTCTCCATTTATGTGAAGCATCAGACCCAATTTTTTGATTCAAGTGTTCAACATGACAAATTATCCGTAAAAAGTTCCGGTAAATATTGGATTCAAGTAAATACGTACAATTTTAATACCAATAGTATGATAAAGACCCTATTTATCAATCAAGATAACATCTTTTATAATATTTGGAGAGATAAAGTTTAATGACGATCCAAATTATGATTATGATTATGATTATGATTATGATAACGAAGGGGAAGATGCTTTTGAGCTTTTAACACAAGTGGAGCAGGTAGAGCTGAAACGTTTAGTGACCAAAACAAGGCCGCGACATTTATGAAGTATCTGGTAATGAGAGGTACCTTCTAGTTTCAGACCAAAAAAATACATCACGAATTAGATATGAGAGTGTCATTAAATTTTGTCTCACCAAATAATTTCAACACTATTATTAGGTATTTTCAAGGAGCAATTCATGCAATGAAATCTTCTGCTCATACATACATTTCATAAGTTACTTTTACATAAGTTGTTTCTGGTCCTACTAACAAATTGATTTTAAGTTTTAATCCATTCAAGAAATTAGACTAATAGCCATGAAAATGAATCAATACAAACTGAGTATAACTTCTTATTTATTGCAGCAAGTGTGGGGACAATAATGATGATAGACTTTTAGGCAAATTTAGTTTGAAATAAGTTCCTAGTTATAGACGATTTTAAACACCAATGATATATATTCGAAGTTAAATTCAGAACTATAATAAACTTCTTGATACTACATATTTTACTATCCTTCTTTAACTTATATAGAGTCGTTCATACATATTTTAAACTATCTGAATTTATCTGTTCTTTATATTGAATTCTATGCAATAAACAAGTTGGATTTCAATAAGTGATCTTAAAGAAATGAGGAAATTGAAATTCTTCTTCCTATACCAGCTCACAGTTTGACTAAACACTTTCGTATCGGTTATAACATAACGTATCATATAGTTTCTATATCTTGAAAAACTCCAACTGTCATATCATGAGTCCTATTTGTAGTGAAGTTTGGCACGATAATGGTTGTTCAAACATTTTGTATCAATAAAACGCACTGTAACTACAAATATAAATTTTTTTTTACTAGAAATACGATTTGATCAATTTATCACCAACCCAACTACTATTTCATCAACCACGAAACACATACTTAACAAAACCTGTAATCTGTATCATTTCCAGATATCCAAAAGTACATTATTACATAGTATTCACAGAAAGAACCAAGTCGCTCAATCTTCATCTTCATAAATCGACATCATCTTTCAAACTAAAATCAAATCATAATCACCATGCCATTCAGATTTCCAGTAAAATTTGAAATACCGAAACATACTCATATAAATGCTAGGGTATTAAGAGATCAATTTAAAAGATTACAATTTGCAGAACATGAAGTTACAAGAAATGCATTAAAATATATTGCAAGAAATGAAGATTTACCTTCAAGAGCAAGAGTTGAAGCTCAATTACAATTAGCTAGTATGCCTAAATATACTTCATATATACAAATAAGAGATAGATGTGTTGCAACTGGAAATTCTAAATCATTAATACGTGATTTTAAATTGAATAGAACTGCTTTTAGAGATAGAGCAAGAGCTGGTCAAATACCTGGTGTTAAAGTGGCTTCATGGTGAGGGAATAATTTAATGATAGAGATTTGTAAATAGTTTTTAATGTAATGATTTAATTGTAAGAATTTTGGTTATTATTGTATCAAACTTTTCAACTTATTTATGAGCTCTTTATTTTTTTCTCTATGAAAAATTATTTCTGTATTCATTATCACCATTATCACCAAATGTTTTCAATAAAATCAGCTGTATCAAGACCAATACTAAAACCAGGTATACTATCTAAACGTACACTACGTTTTACTCCTGATTTTTCAAAATATAAGTTAATAGAACAACCAGCAGGATTTATAGTAGAAACTGTAAATGAAGCTTATAAACCTCCATCACCTTCTGCTTATGAAGGATCAAATCATTGGACATATGAGAGAGTAGTTACAATTGCTATGATTCCTTTAGTGATGACACCATTTATTGCAGGTGTTGAACACCCTATTGTTGATGCCACTTTTTCAACTTTATTATTATTTCATTGTCATGCTGGATTTAAAAGTTGTATAATTGATTATATACCAAAAAGAGTTTATAATGCGTGGTATGGTTTAGCTTGTAAATTATTAACATTTGGAACTTGTGTTGCTATATATGGTATCTATGTAATGGAAACTACAAGTAACGGATTATTCGATTTAATAAAGAGATTATGGGAAGTATAGAGAAAGTTGTGTAAATAGAAAATATAATGATATTTCATTATCTTTTGTGAAAAATGCGTGTATTAAATTTGGTGCTTTATTTTTTTTTCTTTCAACTCTGAAACATCAACAAACTATGAGTGATGTTGAATATGAGAGGGAAAGGGAAGGTCCATTGCCCTATCCTCAATATAATAAACCACCACCTCCTCATTCAAGTTATCGTCCAGATCGTTATGAACCTTCTACAAGAAGAGTAGACAATATTGGGTTAGAATTGAGTACACAAGAAGATGCAATGAATGATCAAGAAGAATTTCGTTATGAAGTTAATGAACAACCACAATATCATGTAACAAGAGCTATATTTCTTGGTAATTTACGTCGTCCTATAAATGCAGGTCATTTTCAACAATATTTAAAAGATTTAGTTTCTGAAATTAAAGATTTTAATATTAGAATTGAAAGGGCATGGTTAAATAGACCAAGAACTCATGGAATTGTTTTAGTAAATAGTGAAGAAGGAGCTGAATATTTAAGAAATCGATTATCTGGATCAATATATCCATCAAAGGAAGAAGATTTAAAATTAAAAGAAGAATTTGAAAATAAAGAAATTGAAAGATTTGAACATGAACAAAAATTATATAATGAAGAATTGGAAAAAATGGATGAAAATGAATCTAAAAATTTACAACCACCAACAGAACCAAGAGAATTTTCAGTGGAGAGAATACCGTTATATGCTGATTATATACCTGTAAAAGCAATAAATCAATGGACATTTGAAGAAGATAGAGGACCAAGGGATGGGAAATGGAAATTAGAATTTGTAACTAGAGGAGATGAATTAATAGCTTCACATACTTTATTGAATGGGGAATTTATACCAAGATATCAACCACCACCTCGTAATGGATTTAGAGGTGGTAGATATTCAACAAGAGGTGGTTATAGTAGAGGAGGTTATAGCCGCGGGGGTGGTGGAATTGGAGGTGCAAGAACTGACACATATGTACCGGGAGCATCTAGAGATTCAAGATCTACAGATTCATATGTCCCATCAAGAAGAGATAGGGAAAGATCACCAAGTAGATAATTCTTAAAAAGTTTGTATAGTAAGTAAAAATTAAGGTATTAACACAAAAATGAAAATACTCTTTATGTTTTAAAAAAATTGATTCTGAAAATTTTATATATGATTATCACCAACAATCATTAATGTTCAAATCAATAATAAGAAGAGGTAGTCTAATACCACGAACATGTGTGAGATTTAACAGTTCCAAACCTGCACAACTATTTCCACAAATATATCCATTAAATAAAGAAAAAATAACAGAAGAAGATCTTGACAAATGGATTAATGCATTGAAACAATTAAAACATGGTAAAAAGATTCATGAAACAGAAGAAGAAATATATCTAGGTCAAATTACTCAACCTGAACAATTTATAACTAAAAAATTTGAACCTTCTTTGGAGCAAATCGAAGAAACTTACCAATACAAAAATAAACAAATCCCATTAAAATCAGACCCAACAGTTGATAATTTTATAAACCTTATAATGAGACATGGTCGAAAAGCAAGAGCTCAAAAAATTGTTAGTAGAGCTTTTTATATTGTACAATTAAAATTAAGAAAAGATCCAATTGAAGTATTAAAAGAAACATTAAATAAATTAGGTCCAGTTGTAACTACAAAATCAATGTCAACAGGTGTAGCAAAAAGAAAAATTGTTCCAATTCCATTAAATGAAAGACAAAGAAATAGATTTGCAATTACATGGATATTAGAAGCTTCAAAAAATAGAAAAAGTAATGATTTTGCAGTTAGATTAGCTGAAGAATTAATAAATGCTTATGAAGGAAAATCTTCTGGATATGATAAAAAAGCACAAATGCATAAACAAGCTACTCAACAGAGAGCTTATATTACTTTGTAGATCTTGTATATATTTTAAGTAGATCTGGTGTAAAATTATAAATATCAAATTTACCAAACAAGTATTCACAACAATTATGAGAAATTTCTGTCATAAACTACGATTCAACTTTAATTATTTTTGTATCAGGACAAGACAGAAGTATTATAGTTTAGATAAAAATCCTAGAGTCATTAAATCAAGAATTTCAAATCATCCATTTATATCATTACGAACATATCAATATTATAATCAATTTACTGATTTCAAATTATTCTTATCAATAAATGGTTATTATGATGAAGAAGAATTTAAAAATGATTCATTAGATTTAGCTAGTTCAAAATTATATGATTATATGAAATCAATGAGTTTCTCAACATTACCTACAACTTCAAATGTTGCTGTTGTTGCTGCTATTGATGAATTACTAGCTGATGAAACTATTGGAAAATAGAAAAATAGGTGGAAAAAAAAATATACGTACAAATTGTCTCTTATCTTTTCAATGCAAATTGTTAATACTCTAAAACATGCTACAAGAGACGTTTATATACTCTGGGCCTCTGTCTTTTCGAGGATGGCTAGTTATGGCTTGACTAATCAAGTTTTGACATTATACTTGAAGAGTATACATGTTAGTGAATACAGAATAGGATTATTTATGACATTAACTTTGATAGGTGATACAACAATTTCATATTTTTTAACATGGAATGCTGATAAAATTGGTCGTAAATTAGTGATGTTGATTGGTTCATTAATGATGATGATATCAGGTTTAGCTTTTATGTATTCTACAAATTATTATATATTACTATTTGCTGCAATTGTTGGTGTTATTTCACCACTGGGAGATGAAACTGGTCCATTTAAATCAATTGAAGAAGCCTCGATAGCTCACTTAACTCTGTATGATGAAAGAGCAGAAGTGTTTGCTATTTATGGAGTATTTGCAACTACAGGATCAGCTTTAGGATCATTAATTTGTGGATTTCTTGTTGATTTTATGCATTTGGATTTGAATTGGAGTTTGACCAATAGTTATCAATATATTTTTATTGTTTATTCAATTATTGCTTTGATCAAATTTACATTGATGTCTTTCTTATCAAAGGATTGTGAGATTTCAGATGAGAATACTAAATTACTTGATGATAAATTATCTTCCACCACCAAACATCATCTTCCAAGATTGTTAATTATTTTCATGTTGGATTCATTAGGTTATGGTTTCATGCCATCAGCTTGGATAGTTTATTATTTAAAATTTGCATTTAATTTCACAGCAAAAGGATTAGGTACTTTATTTTTTATTACAAATCTGGTAGATGCTATATCTTCAATTCCATCAGCATATTTTGCTAAAGCATTAGGTCCTGTAAAGGCTATCATTTTCACTCAAGCACCATCTGCCATTCTCTTCGGGTTAATTGCATTTTGTCAAAATTATATCTATGTGATTATATTGCTTATACTATACTACACTACAACAACAATGGATGTTGTTCCTAGGCAACTTTTGCTTACTTCGATAATGCCTAAGAACGAGATTACGAAAGTTATGGGGATCGTCAATATAGGAAAAACATTTGCAAGATGTATTGGTCCAATCTTTACAGGCAGATTAGCTGAGCACAGTCATTTGAAATATAGTTTTATTATTAGTGCGTCTTGTACATTATTAGCTGATTTGATACTAGGGATCAGTTTTTTACATGTAGAAATAAATAATGAATGAATAACGAATGAAAAACATGATATTGTAGAACTAAAAAACAAAACGACTAAATAATTCTCTAAAAAATCATATCTAATGTACAACAAACACACATAGCTGCCAAACAAGCCATTAAACAATCATTATTATTACTTGATTTCTGTTGTTGAACATACATTGGTTGTTGTTGTTGATAATATCCTTGTGGTGGATGACCATATGGTGGTTGACCATATCCAGGTTGATGTTGATAATATGCATTTGGTGGAGGACCTTGTCCATAACCTTGTTGAGGTTGATTGTGATGATACCCAAACGCTCTATCTTGTTGTTGAGTATTATATGATGGTTGAGCTTGTGGAACGTAGCTTGAATTACCATGATTTTGATTCAGACTTTGATTTTGACTTTGACTAAAAGCTGGTGGTGGACCATCTGGTGTATTAAAATATTCGTTCTTGGACATGTTTAAATGTGATGTATTTTGAAAAAAGTAGGATTAAAACTAGGGTCCCTTTTGATGTAAATTTGATATTCGAATTGAAAAGTTGAATTGAAAAGGTTTAATATTATGCCAAGGTTTTTATTAAAATGATTAAATCATTTATTATTAAATCTAACGGGCTATAAAGTTGCTACCAATATTCAAACATCAGAAGATTTAACAGCTACTTTCTACTTCTATTTTACCTAAAATAAGATGACATTGAAGCTTAAGCGAAAACTGCTAAAGTTCAAACATGATTTTGTGAGAATTGTGAAGAGCCTATGAAATTACGCAAACGCAATTGAAAAAGCTTGATCATTTTCTTCTCAACAAATTTGAAAAATGGCTTAGTCTATATAGTAAGAACTGTTCATATATAAGCCAATGTCAAAGATCACTGATACTAGTGTAGACTGCAAATGGTTCAATGGTGTCATACAGAGTTTCAATTTTCCAAAACACAGCCATAAGTCGTTAAATTCAAAAAACTGTGAGATTTGCATTGCGCAATGTTTCACATACTTAGATCTCTCGTTTCGTATATTTGTGCTATATTAGGTAATGGAAATTATTTTATTAAAGATGAAAAGAGTGAATTGAATTTCCGAGTAAAACAAGAACAACTGTACTGAAAGACAAAAAAGAGACTAGACAGATCAATGAATTGAACAATTTAACAAATCATAACACCAATGTCTATTCAAAATATCATATCTAATGTACAACATATACACATAGCAGCCAAACAAGCCATTAAACAATCCTCATTATTACTCGATCTTTGTTGTTGCACATACATCGGTTGTTGTTGTTGATAGTAACCTTGTGGTTGAGGTACATATTGTGGTTGACCGTAGCCGTAGCCTTGCGGTGGTGGACCTTGTCCATATCCTTGTTGTTGATTATGATAACCAAATCCTCTATCTTGATCTTGAAAATTATATGAAGGTTGAGAAGGTGGTATATGACTTGAACCTTGCTGGTTATAACCTTGATTGAATCCTGGTGGTGGTCCTTCTGGTGTGTTGTAATATTCGTTTTTTGACATGATTGATTGGATTGATTTCACATTACTCGAGCGTAGATAGTAAGATCTATTGTGTGATCTTAATTTTGATATTTTAATGGATTGTTTCGGATAAAAGATGGCTTATGGGTAATTTTTTGCTACCAAATATTAGCCCCTTAAGGTAAAACCTGTTTTCTTTTCCTTATAAATTATATCCTGATATGTATATTTCATTGACCAGCCGTAATATCATAAATAAATATCATTGAAATACAAAATATATATTCAATTAAACATAATGACTACACGTTTGTGCTTTTTTATGCGAAAATATCATTAACTTTTATTAATACCAGATTAATACATATATACAAAATCAGGATTTCTATCACCAGAATTGATTTGATCTCTTTCATTTAATTCATTAAATTTTTGTTTGTATGCATCTGTTTTCTTAGCTTGATTTAATCTGTAACATAAGAACCAATATGCTAATGCACAAAAGATTGAAAAACATGCAGCAGCTATTGATACACTTAAACCTGGAATGTATCTTGGTGCATCTTTTGATAAAAATATAAATGTAGCTATAATACCTCCAATATTTCCAAATCCTATTTGAGTTGCAAGACTGATTGCCTTTTTAATATGTGATCCATTATTTAATGCAGTCCAACATACTAAAACTGGCATTGCTGTATATAAACCACTAGCAGCTAAGAAACAACCACCATATCTCACCGATGGATTGTTTGCAGCTCCTAAAACCATACTTAAACCAATAATTGCAACAACAGTTGATCCAACGACAAATGGAACTCTTTTTCCAGTATAATCAGAAAAAAATGCAACGACATTACTTACACCAAATGAACAAACCCAAGGAAAAACTGAATGTTGTTGAGCTGCAACGGCAGTATATCCTAATTCAAAAACAATACTTGCATTAAAGAAAGCAAATCCATACAGTCCAATAATTAAACCAAAATAAGCTAAAGTTGGGAACCAAATCATCCAATCTTTTAAACATTTTAATGCATCCCATATGGAATTTTTAATTTCATATGATGATTTAATCCCAGCATGAAATTCTAATTTTTTCTTTAAAAATTGTTTTTCAATATTTGATAAAAATCTACTAGTTTCAGGGAAATCTGGAATTGTGAAAAATAATATGAAACTACATCCAACTGTAGCAACTCCTTGTATTAAAAATAACCAACGCCATGAACTTAATCCTGCATGTCCATCTAATTCATGTACTCGATAAGCAATCACTATAAAAATATTAGTTAGTAAGACATTTCTCTTAATCGATTCTCAACATTGTTGAATTATACATACGCCCACTAGCAGCACCACTTAATGATGTAACTGAGAAAAATGCAGTAAACCTTTTGAGACTTTCCTTTTGAGCATAATAAGTAGCAAGGACATAAAATACACCACAAAATAACACTGATTCAGTAGCACCTAATAAGAATCTAGTTGCATAAAGTTGTCCCACTGTTTTTACAAAAGCAATTCCAATAGTTATACATCCAAATAAAAAAACTGAACCTGATAACCAAATATGAGGTTTTACAAATTTAATTGCATAATTCCCTAATAATTCAAAGAAAATATATGGAACAAAAAACATTGTTAAAGCAGTATTATATTGAGTTCCAGTCATATTTAAATCTTTTTGTAATCCATAAAGATTTGCATTTGAAATATTTACCCTATCTAAAAATGCAAGGAAGTAAAGTAAACAAACTGGAATTAACACACAGAAATCAATTTTCCATTGTAGTTTTCTTTGGTTAATTCCTAACTCTTGAGCTAAATTATTTGTTTCATGAATTGGATCTATTTCTTTTGATAAACTTGAACTTGTTTCTGATTCTAATAATTCCGGATCACTGACATTTTCAAATTTCTTTTCAGATGATTCATAATTTATTATTTCAGGATTTGTCACAGTTTCCTCCACTTTTTCAGACATGTTGATAGTATTATGAGTTGGTAGGGTAATAGAGCACGGAGTGATCTTGTTCTAAATAGGTTCTTCCAAAATGTTATATACTTGGAAGAAATAAAAATTTTATTCATTCATAATTTTCTTATTCCACTTTATTATCTTAGAATCTCGTACGTATGTTCTTCTTAATAATTCAGCCGGTTAAGGCTAAAAATTATTTATTATTTTAAATTTTGTGGGGGGAGGAATTTTCGTATTTTGAAATTTTTAAATCAACTTCAAGAAAAAAAAAAAAAATTAAGGTTAAACTTTCGATCGAAACTGTCAAGATTTTGGAATAATCTATTACGATCGTTCAAGAAATCTGTCTATATAAATTTGACATTTCGAGAGGTATAGTTTCCATAAATTTAATCTTCATCTTAATGACTTTTCTTGTTGTTTATTAAAACACCATCAAAATTTCTCCATGAACAAATTACAAAACGTTCATTCATAAATTATTATCACTTTTTTTTTTCTTGCTGAAGGTTCTAAATTACTAACCAAGTTAGTAAATTTATGTAAGAAAGGCTAACGTAAATCTTATGCAAGGCTAAAAATTCCGAATCTTTAAATAAATTACTCCGGTTCGCTTGCCTATCTCTATTTTTGCGCTATCCAACGAAGGCAAAACTGAACAGTTGACTCATATGATGACCAAGTTATAGAGAGTGAGTAATACCATTAGTGATCTGTAATCATAGGCTACAAAGTTTTCTTAATGTTTCTTTTTCAGATTACAAATTTATTAATGATCTTGAAACTTTATTAAAAAGAATTAGTTTTCAACAAACCCTGTAAAAAGGTCAACTGTTCTCGCTAGCAGTAATTTGCAGTCAATTGGAGAAATGTTCCATTCTATTATAAGCTTGTCGATGACTACAATACAACACAAAGCAAACTAAAATGGAAGCTTGCATTTAGGGGCATCAAAAGAGGGTCATGTTTGGAAAACAATGTTGCAGCAAGCTAAAAAAAGGACCTGAAAATTACGGTATTTTGTTCATCTGAGAATGCAATCATGTTATGTATTAAGTTAAGTTGGATTTTTGCATTTTCTGTTATTTTATTACATTTTGGTGATCCATTTGATTAAATCTCATGGATCCTGTCGAGTATGCTTGGATGTGGTTTCATAACAGAAAATCAAAAAACCCAACTGAACTTGATACGTAATATGATTAATACATGTAGATATATCTTGTATCCTCGACTGATTTATAAATCCGATTTATTGAAATCGCCATATCTCCAACATTGGCTTTAAATTGATTGCAACTAGAATGGTTGGGCACCTATTAAAAAACTCAATCAGTAATCAAAATTATGAGCACAATGTTCAAGTCTATCGTGTCATGTAAACACTATCAAGAACATTGATCCTCATTTTGTTCTTTAACGTGAATCTTGGTTCGTTAATAGCTTATAATCAAAGTCGTGTGATGAACATTTAAACCCAGTATAATTATTATTCAGGGCTTGAGCCCTAGTAGCTCAAAATGAGCGCGCGCAGTTTTTAAATTTGTCAGTTAGCTACCAATTTTTTATCTTTTGTATTATGAAAAATTTTGAAATCTAATACTACCTAAAACAACGAAAGTCCTTCTGTTTCAAAACTACTCTGAATATTCACATACATACACACATCATCATCAAATATGTCAGACGTTGAAGAACAATTTGTTGAAGAACAACAACCAGTTGTTCAAGAAGAATTACAAATCGTCAACTTAGCAACTCCAATCCCATTAGACGTTCAAGAAGCACAACAAGAAGTTAAATTATTTAATAAATGGTCATTTGAAGATGTTGAAGTTAAAGATGTTTCATTAGTCGACTATATCCAAATCAGATCACCAGTCTTTGTTCCACATACTGCAGGAAAATATGCTTCAAAAAGATTTAGAAAAGCTCAATGTCCAATCATTGAAAGATTAACAAATTCATTAATGATGAATGGTCGTAATAATGGTAAAAAATTAAAAGCAGTTAGAATCGTTCAACATGCTTTAGAAATTATCCATGTTTTAACCGAATCAAACCCAATCCAAGTTGTTGTTGATGCCATTGTTAACAGTGGTGCTAGAGAAGATTCTACAAGAATAGGTTCATCAGGAACTGTTAGACGTCAAGCAGTTGATGTTTCACCATTAAGAAGAGTCAATCAATCTATTGCTTTAATCACCATTGGTGCTAGAGAAGCTGCTTTCAGAAACATTAAAACTATTTCAGAATGTTTAGCTGAAGAATTAATTAATGCAGCAAAAGGTTCATCTACTTCTTATGCTATCAAAAAGAAAGATGAATTAGAAAGAGTTGCTAAATCTAATAGATAATGGTTTTATTGTTTATATAGTTTTGTTAATGAATTAATTTGGTATTGTCATATAGTTGGATTTATCATGATTTTTTAATCATTTTTTTGGATTCTAAATCTTTAGTGAGCACACATTTATGCCCGTCCAAGAACAGCATTCTTACGACCTCTTTTCCGTAAGTATAAAATTATACACGCATTCTGATAGTCAGGATAATAATTTAATGCATAGACAATGTAATAAAATTGAGATGAGAATATTTAGACTGTACAGCTATTTTAGAGAGGATCAAAAAGAGTACTATATAGTTTATAAACAAATAATGAGGAGGTTTTAGCGATAATCCTTTTTTTAACTATGCTCTCTATGGTTTTTAGATTATTTGACGAAGGAGATGTTACTTGATGTATAGAGTGTTTCAAACAATTTTTGTGTAACGAAAACAAAATACAAATTATCTGATTTACAATGATTTACAAGATTTCAAGGATACCATGAGGTCAATGCTAGAATTGATAGCAAATACTAGGAGTGTTGACAAACTAATTGTCCTAAATGTCAAATAAATATATTAAACTCTAATTGGATATACAAGTCTCATAAAATACCCTACAATATTAAATCTTAATAAATGTTCATACCTTTCTATTCTTTCATTTAAAATCTCTTCAGTTTCTTCAGCTTCTTCAACTGTTTTCTCATCTTCTATTTTAAGGTATCCACTTTTTGTTACACCTCCAAGTTTATCTAATTTTGATTTTGCTTCTTCATATCTATTTGTTATAACTTTTCTAACTAAATATTCTCGTAGAACCATAACTAATAAAAAGCAAGCAAAAAAGCAAGTACCTGCAAATATTTGAGTATGTAAATAAGGATTACTCAATTTATTATTAACCAATGATAATGCAATAACTTCTGAAACTAAACAAAAAAATGAAACAAATATATTAATACCAGACCAACCAGCTGGTAGTTTTTCTAATTGACCTTCTAAAGAATCAGCAGCTAATGGTTGAGCTAATGAAGATCCTATACCTATAATAAACCCAATAATAACTGCAAATGCAATTAATGAACCAAATGTTTTAGCATTTATCCAAAATGCATAAAGGAAAATACATATAACTAAACAACAAACACTTGTAAAATTTGCCCTTCCATATTTATCAGCGGTTAACCCCATTGATGGACGACCAATAATTTGTGCAGCATTCATAACTGCAGTTAATACTGAACCTTGTTGATGAGTTAATCCAATAGCTGAAGCATAAGATGATAAACTGAATAACATAAGAGTATAACCAATCAATGCTATGGCAAACCAAACACTAACAACACATATTCCCCAGTTTTTAAAAACTTTAATATCAAATATAACTCCAACTGTATCTTTCATATAAACAGATGTAAGTCTTTCCTTTATTGGTGCTATATTTTTTGAGTTTCTTGGTCTCATCATTAATGCACAAACCAGTGAAGCAAATAATGTAACAAATCCAACCATTCTTAATGCCCATCTTTGATCACCAGTATCTTGAATAACTTTATTTACACTAAGTGAAAAAATTAACCCACCTAAACCAGCTCCTGAAACACAAAGTCCCATTGATCCAGCTCTTTGTTTAACAAACCAAGTAGGTAAAACTAATGTAGCAGGAATAAATATTAAACTAAATGAAATTCCAACAGCTACTCCTTGTGATAAATATAAATGCCAAACTCTTGTAGCAAAAGATGCAGCAATCCATCCTAAAGTTTGAAAAATAATTCCTAATCCACAAACATATTTAAAACCCATAATTTTATATAAAAATGCAGATACTGGTGAAAAAAAATTTGCACAAAATACAACTATACCTCCAATTAATGCAAAATCATATTCAGTTGCTTCAGGAAATGTATTTGAATTTAAATAATAATTTAAAAATACACCATATCCTGCATTAGCTCCCCAAGTTGAAAAAACTCCCAACATTGAACAAAATGCCATAACCCATGCAAAAGCACCGTCAGTAGGATAATCATCATCAAGTTCTTTTGTGTGGTGTTCTTTTTCATCATCTTCTTCATCTTCGTCTTCTACTATTGAATGTTCTTGATCTATTGAAGCTCGACTTATATTTCTACTTGCTGCTCTATCTATTTCTTTAGCCATTAAAAATTCGGCATCACCTCTTTCGACATAATCTTTATTACTTTGTATTTGATCATCTTTTATTCCACTTATAATTTTAGATAATTCTGAATATGTTGTCTTTTTACTTGAATTTGTATGAATAGATTGATGAGATTGATGAGTTTGTCTTGATGTTATAGGATAAATTTCATAATTTTCTGATTGTTGTAATGATCTATGAGATTCATCAGATATTGATTTTCTAGTCGATTCATCTGAAGATGTCATTATTATTTAGCTATGATAGGGTGATGTGAGGTTTAAGGAAGTAGATTAGCTCTTCATTTGAGTCTTAATGAAATACAATATTATAATTAGTAATACTAAGCATTCAAATTATGAGTAACAAATTCCGTGCGGCTAGGCTTATATCTATTTAGTCGATGTTGCGCTAATTACTGAATTGGAAGTTAAATTTGACAGAGAGAAGAAAAAAACTGTGTGAAAACGAAGAAGAGTAGATCTACATAACCAGCGGAAATAAGATTATCCAAGCGATGGCAGATTGCTTTAACTTTGAACTTTTTTGAATTACAGAATTGATCAATCTCATCTGACAAATTCTGAATATGAATGTTATGACTTCAGAGGAGGGACTTGAATAAAATCTAAAAACATCTTTTGTCTTTTTAGTCCGTAGCTTTTTTTCAAATTGAAAGATTTTGGGTGAAACCAAATTCTGAAATTGAATATTGAAGTCCTTCGCTGTTTAGCAAGTAGACTATTGATCTAATAAACAATTAATCCAGTGAAAACATGGAAGTCCAGAATATCCTCAGTTCACATTTGATTCTCTCTTATTTCGTGTAGTTAGACTAGCGTCATGATTGCAAAATCTGATGTAGGCTTTATTTTTTGGTTCAGTCACCGCTCAAATGGAGACATCATACACTCATAGTTCTTCTATGCTTTTGTAAAATAAATATATCCCCAAACAAATAACATTCAAAACCATTCAAGCATTTATCTTAACCCAAATAATGAGTATCTCATGAATTTTTCATAAATTCCTCAACTGAACACTTGATTCTGTAGAAGTGACCCAAATCATTTAATAGTTTCTCTGTAACTCTCGCTGTTTTTCTATATTTTCGATTTACAGAAGACTCTGTACTTTCAAAATCTTAATTGTACAGAGAACTCTGTAATTCACAATTTTTATTTTTACAGAGAACTCTGTATGTATCAATACTTACGTTTTTTTCAAAACTAGAGGTCAATTAAATCGTAGTTTACTTTTACATTTATAAAATTCAACGCTTAAAATTTGATGAGGTAACAGAATCTAGCAATTCCCTCTTCATTTTGAACGAAGTTTGTTTGTTTTCAATTTTGTTTCAAATAGAAATTGTTTTTGTTGGTAACTCTTGTAAACTGGATCAGGTCTACTAAGTATGGGCAGAAACTAACTTCTCCTCTTCAAACAAATCTAAACGACTCAATTTGGCTTTATTCTATCATTATTTGAAATCACTATCAATGATTTTGATTGAAATTCAAGAGCTGATTAATTCATTGCCCTATCTGGATTTGATTAGTATTTAAAATTCATAACTTCGAGTCTACAAATTCAATGTAACTCTATTACTTAAATAAAAATGTCCAATACCAAAAACATTCAAAATTTTATGATAAATTGAGTAATGCCAATGTTTTATTGCTTCAACAAGATTAAAAAATTCTTTACCATGCCACTGGGTTGGCCCCAAATTGTGTGGCCATATAGCACATATTCTCGATCTCGAGATTTTGAAAATAAAATTTTACACAGTTGAGTCGGAGTAGTTATTATAGACCATTAAGAATTGAATTATAGTACTTCTCAGATAAGTAGAGTTAAGATGAATCAATCGTATGGGTATTATTATCTAATTAAAAAGTTTTCTATAAAGTTTTATTTTTGAAGAACTGAAAGTTGAACTAGTTTTTATATATGAATAAAAAGCATCTAAGATCCCACGGAATTACTCAAAAGTTATAAAGTCAAGACTAAAGCTTGAAATCACTTCACCATGAAACCAAATATAGTAAGAAAGTGAAAATCAAATTTAAAAATATCAAATTATTTCCTTTTAATGAAACACCATTATTATTTGAATTTATAGAATTAACATTAGAACCTGATCCACTTAAACTTAAAGTTTTAACATCAGAACTTTGAGCAAATGTTCCCTTTGCATCACTTAATTGTGATTCTTCACTTGCTGTAAGTATACCTCCAGATCCTGCTAAAGGTGCTGATGATATTGAAGATTCTATAATTGATGATAATGTAGTTGATAAAGTTTGTATAGAATCTGAATCTATACTATCTTCATTATCATTATTAACTATTGATGTTGCTATATGTAAATTTGTTAATGATGGTGTTACTGTTGATGCTATACTAGTTGCTACTGAATCTAGTAATAAATTATTTATTGTTATTGATGACATGATTAGTTTGAATGAATAAGTGTGTTTAGTGTATTAAGTTTGATAAGTAAAAATGTTATAAGATATAATGAATGTAAGGAAATATGAGTAATGATGATGATTATAATAAAATTCGAAAATCATAAAAATTAGGAAATTCATAAATATTTATAATTTCATTCCAGTAAATATATGTCAAAATAAATTAAACAATAGAAATAAAAAAAAAGCTTTTTCCCCTGAATTTTATTAAGATTATATCAACTTAAAAATTTTAATTTTAATAAATATCACATTAAAAATTTATAAAAGTCAAAAAAAAACTTTTCGTGAAGTTATTGTTCCATTTCCATATTTATTTTGCTTAATGTATATTGAGTTAAAATTGTTTATTGTTTCAAAAGAACATTTAAAGTGAAAATAAAAACATTACCCTTTTTGAAAACTTTATACTTTATGTTACATTGATAAAGTTGTTGTTGAAAAGTAATTATTTTTTACCTCTCATTGACCAGTGTTAAGGTGTTTGAGACTAATTTCAAAATGATTTTAACATTTGGTTAGATCTTATCCTTCAACTAACCGGTTTTAAAGGAATATTCCATTTGCCCAATTTTTGTGTTATGAACCCTCGATAGTGTAGAATCATTCATAATATTACATCATTATACATTTTTTTTTTTCTTCCTGATGCCGCTGATCTCTTAAAAATAATTTCAGGTACACACTCTTTAAATTTTTTAAGGTACCGATTTCGAGTAAATTAAAAAAAACCGAGCTCGTCAATTTATATTGTATACTTCTTAACCGTAAAATTTTAATTATGAATATTTTGAAAATCAAAGTTTTTGCAAATCCACATATATCCTCACATTAGTTGTTACATTTTGTCTTTTAAGTTTATTGTAAATATTGAAATTGTTGTACCTTACACAATCAAAATTTATTTCGCGCAATGTATTTTGTTTTGTCAAGATTGAAAATGTAAAATCACACGACTTTCGATTTATCATAAACAATACTTTCATAATCAACTTAATCTGTGAGTGTTGGTGCCGAGTACTAACGATTTTCGGTTAACAATAGCAAGAATGAATCGAAAAAGGTAATCATTTAATGGTGGTCGTATTTTTTGATGTGAACAATCAAAATATTTGAAATTCTGATGCAAACAATAAAAATAAGTATCTACTATTGTCAACTCCGGGTATCTAATGTTGCACGTTTCGTTTCTCTCATATCCAAAGTGATAACTATGACAATCTTTGATTTTTGACTTAGTCCATTTGCTTTGAAACAATCATTCAATACTTTAAATATAATTGAAACGTATTTTGCATGTTGTTGTGGGCATTGGCGTCTCGACGAAATTGATGATAACTTATTTGATCTCTTTTGCTTTGCTTTGAATTGATTGATCTAGTTTCCCTTTTAGCGAGACATACTAAAGACACTTGGATGAATATTTTACATGATTGTAGTTTTGTATTTATTTTTGTTGCAAAAAAAATTAAAAAAAATTGGTTGTAAAATTCTATAAACTTAAACTTAGAGCTTCAATAACATTCAATGATTCCACCAAAAGCATTAGAATTTTTCAAGAGTTTCAATAACGATTTTCCAAAATGGAATATACCAAATCCAGAAATTCATATACCAAATTTTAATAAAGAAACTATCATATTAACTAAATCGAGTGCTTTAATTTTAAAAAATCATTTACAACCAAAACCTTTCAAAATAGAATTATGTTACTTACCTAAAGTTATTATACCTGAAAAATATTTTATTAGAGTGCCTGAACTACCCAATGATAAAGAGAAGAATGAACTAACTTTTAACAAGTTTATGCCTGTACAAGTTCCAGCCTTAAATGAAACAGAAGGAAGAAAGATATTATCTAATTTTAATCAGGAAGAATTATCATCAGTTTATACTCCAAGCAATAAAGAGTCAACATCCAATAAATCAAGTAAACTATATTATTCAGTCTTTGCTGAAGTTCCAATACCTTTAAAAATCAAACCAAAAGACTTACCATCACCTAAATTTCCAAAATGGGATCAGCAAAAAATTAATCTATTTGATATAATTCCTGAAAAAATTGAACATGAACTTCCTGAAAAAATTCCTAAACTCAACTTTTTACATCATGAACATCAAAAAAATTCATATTTAATCCCATTGAATAAATTTTTATCATCAAATATAACTCAAAATTTAAATTTTCCAAAATGGGAAAAGGTTGAAACACCAAAACAATATGATTTTCATGATTTAAATTATCATTTATTTAATCAACATTCAGATTTTAAAAGTAGAAAATATATGGTTCAGTCAATTACTTCATTCAATCCAAAAGAAATAACTGATAAACAATTTTTGAATGATTTTTTTCATAAACTGTTCAATTTCAAAAAATGGTATTTGAAAAGATACCAATTATCAATTGAAATGGATTGGAAACCATTTGTTGTAGATTTAAAAGATTTACAATCTCAATTTATGATTGAACAAATAAATTCAACTTTTGAACCTAACAAAAAATATAATTTTGATCCAACAAAGATTGAAAAACAAGATATAACATATGAACATCCCCCTATTCCAATTAAATTTAACTCACCAACTATTGAGAATCAAATTATGAAATCCAAATCAAAAAATGAAACAACAATTGAAATTCCTCAATTAACTAATCAAGCCACATATCATAATGATACTGATGAATTAGATATTTTAATTCAAAAAAAGAAAAGAAAATTGAATAAAACAACTGATATACCCACAGAATTATCATTAATTCTGTTTTTACAACCTAAATCAAAAACTCCTGAACTTGATCCAATACAAGAACCACAAACTTTTCAATTTCAAGATACAACAATTTTAACTGATTCTTCTAAAAAAATTTCATATGATTCAAATCAATATATTTTAATAAATCAAAAATCTTGGGATAAAAATTATTCCCTTTTAAAATCAATTGAAACAAAGATTAATTTAATTGAATGTCATTTAAATTATTTAGTTGATATTATTGTAAATTTAACTACTGGCATATATATCACTAAAATTAATTTATTAACTCAAATTAATTCAAAAGGTGAATATTTAATACTAGCGGATTTAATTGAAATGAAATTACATTTTCATAAATTATATATTTTAGCTATTGGTAATGAATCTTCATTAATTCATGGTGGTGAAATTTTACAAAAATTTCAATTAATTTGTCTGTCTTTAAATATTATTATTTTATTTATTTCCAAAGATGATTTAGAATTATGGTGTTTTGAAATTTTTGAAATTGAAGAACCTTATAAAAATGATTTTTTAATTGATATTGAAGATTTGAATTGTAATTTACTTTGTGAATTTGGTTTGAATTATTTTCAAGCTAATCATATTTTACAAAATTATACATTAAAACAATTTATTGAATATAGCCTTAATGATAAAATTAAATATTTTGGTAATTTCATTTGTATTGATTTATTAAAAAAGACTGAATTTATTGTGTCAAAAGAATTGAAATGATTTACACGACTTTCAACTTGTGTTGATTTTTGATTTTTGAAAAATAAATTATTGAAAATCTAATAAACACGTTAACCATAAAACCATTAAACCTCAATTGATTGATAATGGTAGTTTTAGCTGCATCAATTTGTACTAGGGGTGGGAAACCATTATTATCTAGACAATTCAGAGATATATCTAGAGATAGAATCACAGCATTATTAGCAAATTTTCCAAGTTTAATTTCAAATTCATCAAATCAACATACATCAGTTGAAGATGAAAATGTTCGATATGTTTATCAACCATTTGAAGAATTTTATATTGTATTAATAACAAATAAAACATCAAATATTTTACAAGATATAGATACATTACATTTATTTGCTTCAACTATAACAAATTTATTAAGAAATATTGATGAAAAAGAAATTTTTGATAATTCATTTGATATTATAGATGCATTTGATGAAATTATAAATATGGGATATAAAGAAAATTTAACATTAAGTCAAGTTCAAACATTTTTAGAAATGGATAGTCATGAAGAAAAAATTCAAGAAATTATTGAAAGAAATAAAGAATTAGAAGCAACTGAAGAAAGAAAAAGAAGAGCTAAAGAAATTCAAAGAAGAGAAATGGCAAATAAACAAAATCCAATTGGTGGTGGCAACTTAAGTGGTGGCGGATTAGGTGGTGGATTTAAACAACAACCTACTTTTCAACCAAGTTATCAACCTACTACTATTGTTGAAACTAATAATACACAAAATGAAACTAAATCACCTTTTAGTAATAGACCAAGAGGTGGTGGACTTCAATTGGGTAAAAAACAAACAAAATCATCAGCTGCAGCATCATCAGTTACTGAACCATTATTATCAAATCAACCAGTATTCAATTCACAACCACAATCATATCAACAACAACAAATTCAACAACAACAATCAATATCTAAAAGTGCTTCTCCTGCACCTTCATTACAACAACAAAAAATACCTAATAATGGTATATTAATTACAATAAATGAAACAATAAATGCAAGATTAACAAGAGATGGATCAGTAATTTCATCAGATATAAAAGGAAATTTACAATTAAGAATTAATGATCAAAAATTATCAAATTCCAAGATATTATTAAAAATTAATGAAAAAATTGATAAAAAAAATTTAAAACCTCATCCAAATGTTAATAGATCAATTTTCACCAAAGATCATATATTAACAGTTAAAGATAAATCAAAAACTTTCCCATTTAATGATCAAGGATTAAATATTTTAATGTGGAAATCTACTGGTAAAAATGAAGATTTATCATTATTACCAATAACAATTACTGCATGGGTAAATATTGATGAAAATTTAATAGCTCAAGTAAATTTAGAATATGAAATTACTTCGGATTTTATTGATTCACATCCAAATCAAGAAGATTTTAAAATTGAAAATTTAAAAATTTTAATACCTATAATTAATGAAGATTTAATTTTACAAGATAATAATGATGCAGTTAGTTATGAAATTATAGAACAAGGTACTGTTTTCAATATTGAATCAATTTCTTTAGAGGAGCCTCAAGGTAATTTTGAATTTTCAATACCAATTGAAGAAAATGAAGATGAATTATTTCCATTAGAAATTCAATTTAATATTAATAATCAAAATGTGTTAGAAAATGATGTATCATTAGGAGGTATATCTATTATTGATGTTGTTACAAATGATGATGATGAAAAATCATTACCATTTAATTTACATTCAAATATTATATCTGAAACTTATATAGTTGAATAAATACAAAAATAAGAAGATTAATAACCAACTTAAAGCTTTTTAAACTACTATAGTTGTACCACTTAATGCAATTGAAAAAAATACACCTAATTTTTCTTCAGTATTTAATTTATTTAATTCTAGTAGTATTTGTTTTCTTGGATCTTTAATTTGTCTTGTATTTGTTAATAATGGTTCTTTAATATGATTTATCATTATATTTAACCCTCGTAGTGGTTGTTGTAGTTGTTCTTTTGTAGTACTATCAGATATTTTTAATATTTCTTTTTCTAATTGTTTTAATTCATAAATAACATATTTTGGAGTTAAATGACCATATAATTTATTTTCATCAATTTCAAAACTATTTGAACATTCTAATATAATTAATTTTAATTGATTTTTTAAAATTAATGGTGCAATTTTATGCCATATTTTTTGATTATATTGTAGCTTACTTATTAAATCACTTTCAAAATCTCCAAATATTAAAATTGATGAATTATTTCTATTTATTAAAAATGCAGAAGATTGATAATGCAGTTGAGTTGGATCTTCTAAATTTCCTGAATTTGAATGTGTAAAGTCATTTTCAATTTTTGTTTTTATATAATTTTCATCGTTTATACCTGCTGGTATAGTAGTTATACTTGAATGTCTTTTACCACCATCACTTGGATTATTTTTTTGTTTTTTACTTTCAATCATATTTAATTCTCCATGACTTAATGGAAACATTTCAATTTCATAATTTCCAATTTTAAATGATTTTTCAAATTCAACAGAGTTTAAATTTAATATATCAAAATTTGGCATATTTGGCCAAACTATACCATTAAAATAATGATTTTGTAAACTATTTATAGTATATTTTGATCCATATACTTGTTTTGGAGGATTATTTGTTGGAAAACCTGCAGAATTTATAACTAATGATGAAACATGATCTAAATGAGGATGAGAAATTAAAAAATTATTTAATTTATTAAAAATTAATTTTGTATATGATATTGTATTAAATTTATTAAAATTTTCAAATGGTCTTTTTAAATTTATTGAACTATGATAATAATAATGGATAGGTTCTGAATCATAATAATAATCTAATAAATTACATATTGATTTTTTGTTTTTACTTTCTTGATATATTATATCTGTTAATTTACCCATTCCTGATCCTGCATCAATAACTAATATTTCATCATTTTCTTTTAATTCTGTTGGTTTATGATCATCAACTTCTAATAAAGTAGAATATTCAATTGATGTTGATTTTAATAATATTGAACATGTATTACCTTCTAATGGGCCACCACTTGTCCCTAGAAATGTTACTTCGAATGACATTTTGGAGACTAAGTTGTAGATGATGAAATAAAACAATTGATATAAAATTGTTTATATATTTAGCCGCTGAATTTCTTCTAATAAGTTATTTATATGGAAATATGAATGGTAAATTTAAGACATTGATTTTGAAAATTAATAATGTTTGTTTTATATATTTGCGCAACAATAGAAATAAAGACACAACACTATAAGTATATTAGTTTATTGTATGCAAAGAACTCAAGCTACATTAGAGACAATCAAACTAGAGATGATTCTACCAACCACAGCGTCCAGTTCAGAGAGATGTATCCCCTAATATACCTTAATTAACCAGACACAACTGATATATGGAAGTAACATTAGTAAAGTTAAACGAAATTATAATATGATGGAAATAGAAGTAAACTTAATCTGATAAGAGCTACCATGTTACATACATTTTTTTTCCACCAGCCCCACTATTATTATTTATTGTTGTACAGTATTATGACATCACCATTTCTCTCGTTCTAAATTTAGTGAAGAGTCTTAGACGAACAGTGGATAAATTACTCGACTAATTGATGAATACCACTACAAGATCAAATTGAAGTATCGCTTGTACCCTTAAAGGTATCTATTTGGTCATACATATAAACTGATCATACATTAAGTATAGTACGAAAATAATAGTGAAAAATTTTAAACTATGAACTTAGTATAGCCGTATTTTGAGAACTAGATTTCTTCAAGCAAAAACAAAACTACTTATGCAGAGATGTATTAGAAATGCCTTGAGGTCAAGAATCAAGAACTAGCTCATCAAAAGAGTTGAAAATGAGTTTGTTGAATCTTTATAGGACAGTAGGACCTTGAAGTAACCTTGATTACTTCAAACAACTGTTTTGAAAGGTTAAATGATGATTGTTTTATGGTATTCTTATTCAAATTATATATTTATTTAACTCTGCTTACTTGCATAACCTCTAATATCTTTTGCAAATTCCCAACTTTGTTTTTCAACTTTTGCATCTTTTATAAAATCAAAAGTTATTTTATCATCAACAAATTTTATAATAACATAACTATAAATTTCTCCTGATCTTGCATCTCTATAAAATAATACTCTCATTGAATCTTCAACAACTTTTAAAGCTTGATTTTCTTCTATTTTAATATAATCTTTATCTTCTGGTATTAAATTTCTTAATAATGGAATAGCTAAATGTGATCCAAATCCTGTTGCAATAGTTGAAGCATGATATGTAACACCTAATAAATCAACATATTTTAAAAATGGTTTTTTATCCTTATCAAATCCACCAACAATTATACTATTCCATAAAGGATTCATTTTAGATCTTCTATTATACATTACTCTTGATAAATATTCATGAACATTTGGAGCTCTTAAATAATTTCCACCATCATTATCATATACTTCTTCTTGAATTTCTAATTCTTCTAATAATCTATGAATATATTGTAAATCAGATATATCTCCTGATATTCCAACAACTGTTTCATTCCCAACTTTAATTAATCTTTCTAAATTATTAAAACGTAATAATGAACCATAAGATCCAACATGATCAGCTGCCATTATTATACCATTTGAAAATTTAGATGCTATTACTGATGTACCTGTTATAATTGGTTGTTGAGTATTCATTTTTGGAAATTGATGAGAATTTATATTATTATGTTCTTTAAATTCAAAATTATTGGCTTGTGCTATTTTATAATTATATGGACCATATGTTTCATTTGAGGGTCTTCCCCATTGAAAAGGATCGTGATTCATTTTTGTCAATTGATGATGTGAATGAATATGTTTGATTGAACTTTGTTAAAGTATTGAAATGATTTGAAATTATTAGTGGCGACTTTTTTTTTATTTCATATTGGTTTCATTAATGCGCGTTTTTAGAGATCAAATTGACACTAGGATTAAATAAACAATTTACACTTTAAACTATGAGTGGATGATAGACTTAACGCTAAAGGGACGAGATGTTATAGTGTCTATTGTTCCAAACTTCTCACTCAATTTCGTTTAATCAATATTTGATCTTTTAAAATTTCAAAATTTAATCGTACATTTCCTTCCTACATAACTTTGGTATACAAGTAACCAAATAAATCAGCTTCTCTTTCAATAAATAATATCAGCTCCTCCACTTATAACATTATCAATTTCAAAATCCTTTATAGGTTTATATTGAAATCTTTTAGGTAATTCACTTCTACTAAAAAATTCTCCATGTTGTGGATCTACCGGATTACTATTGTGAAAACTTCTTGATTGAGTAGTTGAGCTACTTGATGATGAGCCTACTGAACCAGGCACTATACCTTCTGGAGCTAATGGATGTGCTTTTGCTGCATGAGGTTCTATAATAATAAAATTGTTAGTATATAAAAGCTTTGGTAAAAAAATAAATTTTGATTCATCGACTCTATTACATACTTGGTATTGGATGTGGTCCACCAACAAACTTTATTGTGTGTTTAAGTAGTCTTTGTGAAAATCTCATATTTAAGAGTTTTTGACCTAACTGAAGAACTTTTGGTCTGGTCATGATACTAACATTTTTCTCCCTTTGGTAAAGAAATGATTAGTTGAAACAATTGATGCTACCAATTATTCTGAAACTCCGGGGAATATCGAACTACATTGTTATGAAGGATAAGCTGATATGAGACGATCCATACCTAGATCAAGCTGGATCTAGTCAAATATAGAATTAATTTCAATATAACGTGATGGTATTCGCAAAAAAAAGTTTCGCTGCATATCAACAATTCAAGTTGTATGAAACAACAGCTCACAATATTAAATTTGCCTATTCCAGTTATTGACAAAATCATCTTCGAGACATGGCTTCATAATAGGAAAGTAGAAAGTATATTACCATTTTTATATACATGCAAAACAATTTACTGCAATCATCAAAATATTTTGTTCAATTTATCGCCCCTCTTTTTGGGTGCAAATAAAAAGTCCAAAAAGCAACAAAAAATTATTTCAACACTAATTGAATCAACTTTGACTGGTAGAATCAGTTCAATCTATATATTTCCCAAAACAGATGTTTCGAAGTTCCAATTGTTCAAAAATTTGAGAAATGTTTCCTTATATGGTACTTCAACTGAAATTATGCAATTCATTAAACTTTTACCCTTCACCACAATAAATTTGAGTATAACCTTAACCCGTTGTTTAAAAGATTTTGAAATTCATGCTGATCAAATTCCAAACTTATCCTTAAAACAATTGAAATTCAATTCATTAAAGTGTTTAAGACGTAGTAAAAAACACCCTTTTATGAAAAAGATTTGTCATCATCAAAATAATACTCGTGATTCATCACCAAACTATTATGAAGTTGGAACTCCAGCAAATCAAATATCCTTTTTAATTGCAACTTTAGTTAAATCCAATTTTGAGAGTTTAAATGATATATCGATCCAATTTGTAAGTTTACATCAAATTTATCATGAGTTACGCAAATTAAAATTTGAATTTAATAAAAGTGAAAAAATGAACATAATAAAATTTGATCAATCAACTTTCCTTCCAATATTACATTGTGAACAATGGTTAAATATTACCAATAAATTGATTTATGTTAGTAATCTCTTGTCTACAAATTATGTCTTCTTTTTAGAAGACAATAAAATTATAGAGCAAGAGGTTACTACCAAGCGAGCATGATTTTTTTCAAATTACTTAACACAAGTAGTTATTAAGACAACACATCAATTTACAATTCAATTCACCAACTAAAACTCACCATGTCTGATAGATTGAATAAAACTATCCAAAGGTTTCAAGCCAAAGTAGATTCAGGTTCATTTTATGAAGCACATCAAACATTAAGGACAATAACGAATAGATACGTTAAATCAAAACAATATAAAGAAGCAAGAGATTTATTATATCAAGGTTCATCAATTTTAATTAAAAATAAAGAATATGCATCAGCAGCTGATTTAATAAATTATTTAATTCAAATATATGAAGAAGAAAAAATAACAATAACAGATACAGATTCAAAATTAAAATTAATTGAATTAATATCAAATTTACCAAATAATGATCCACTGCTTAATGATTTAGCTAAGACTAGTATTAATTGGTCAATTAAATCTCCTGAATGTTCAAAATTTGGTGATAATGATTTACATCATTTATTTGGTACAAAATTATTAAATTCAATAAATGATGAAACTGATAATGAAAAAAAATTAAATAAATTTGCAATTGCAGAATTACATTTAGTATTAGGAACTTTTGAATCAATTCCAATATATACAAATTTTTTAGTTGAAGTATCAAAATCTAATCCATCCATTGATCCTGGAGTATTTTTATCAAGAGCTATACTAAATTATTCATATTTAAAAAATATAAACTTTGTTAAAGAAGCACAATCAATATTTTTCAAGAATATATTAATTGAATCAGAATCAATTAATGATGAAGTATTATATACTGAAAATCAACCATTATTAAATTTTTTACAATTATTAACTCTTGTATTACAAAAAGAACCTCAAACAAATAGTCAAAAATTTTTAAAATTATTTAATAATTATAAAGGAGAATTGAAAAAATATGAAATATTAACATCTGTGGAATATTTGGGTAAATTATATTTTAATTTAAATATTGGTAATTCAGGACAATCAAATAATATGTTGGCAAATTTCATGTCTGGATTACTTAAATAAATAAGGAACCTAACTTTTAATAACTATCATCATTTTCATCATTATTAATTGTATCTTTAATTATTGAGCTTTGATGCAATGCCTCTACTAATTCAATTCGATTCAGTTTTTTTAATTCATGTTTTGCTTCAGAATAAGTACACCATCTTCTATCTCTTTTTTTCATTTCTGGCCAATTCATATTTAATTGATCAACTTGTAATTCAAAAAAATGAAATTCTGATTTAGGGATAATTTTATTAAAATCACCTTTTATAATTGGAGCTTTTGAACCTCTACTATCTAATACAACTGGTAATTTTTTTATTATTATACCTTCTACACCAGCTTCTTCCCAAGTTTCTCTTACTGCTGTTTCTAATTCCAGTTCATCTTTTTCATTCCCTCCTTTAGGTAATATCCATTTATCTTTATGTTTTGATGAAGAAATCATTATAACTTTATCTTTTGATTCATTAAGACATATACATCCTGCTACTATTCTTGCTCCTGTTTCTTCATTATATACTTGGTTATCTCTACCTTGTCTTGCTTCTGTTGACTTCACTGGTAAATTAGGATTGACATAATCATTATTCATTATTGACTCAATTGAGGAATTGAAATGAAATGTGGAGTGGTGTAAGTTTGGAAAATCTAGAGATATTGGAATTAATTTGACGTGACATTAATTTCCGAGACAACTTTCTGATTTACCTTGGTCTTCGTTCTGCGACATGGAAAATTATGAATCCAATGTGTTACGAATGTATCATTCACCAAAATGAAAATCTCATCAATTATATACTATCTACTGCTTTCAATATCGGCTCTAGCTCATGGAGATCATTCACAAACGGTACTAAAGAAAAAACCAGCAAATTTAAGATGGCAAGATTGGCATATGTCAGAAGAGCATAATTTAGATGAATATGATGGTAAAACTTTCTTTCTATTACATGATTTAAAAGGTCTTGGTAAATGGGATCATGATGATGTTTTAAATCTTTATGGAATTAAACATGAACAAATCATAGGAGATGGATCAGGGATGGGAGAAAATTCAATTACAATAACAAAAGAAACTCAAAGAATGGTAGTTGATTCCATTTTTCAATTATTTGATTTAAATAATGATGGTACAATAAGTTTAGAAGAATGGTTATCATTTCATGATGCAGGAAAAGAATTACCAGATTTTGGATTTGGTCAAGGTCATCATTTAGATTTTGAAAGTGAATATGAAGAACATCATTGGAATAAATATCATGCTCAAAATGATCCAGATACAAAAATAAAACATAAAGAAGATATTGAACATGAATTATTACATCATAAACATGAAATTGAAGAAACTCATGATCGATCTTCAAGATTAAAGAAATTTGCAAATGATTATTTATCTAATATCAGATTAGATAATTTAACTCCAAAGTATAGAATATAGTCTTGACTTATTATTAATTATTGTCATTAACTCATTAAAAATCTATTTGGCTATGATAACTCTATTTATTTATTGATCCAAATGCACAATTTCTTAGTTGATCTAATTCATGTGTACATTTAGCTGTTGAACTTTTATTAATCTTTAAGCATGCTTCATATGCTTGTAATTTCCCCGAACATTCACCTTGAATTTTTTGAAATGATGGAACTGTAGTTTTAATACATTTTGTTAATTCAACTTGTTGATTAATACAACCTGAAGAATCAGGTTTTGCCATACATTGATGAAAAGATAGGAACTGATTAGGACAATATCTAGCAATGTCTTCTAATAGTATTTGATCTAATAATCCACCTTTTTGTTGTTGATTTTGGAATGACATCACTATTTCTTTTCATTTGATGTAAAGAAGAGAATCAAAAACTGAAAAGAGATTTAAATCCGATTTTCACAAATTTGTTGCAACAAATCAATAACTTGATCTATTTGTCAGAGCAACTAAATGCCATTAAATAAGAGTTTGAAAATCACGCTAATAACAATAACATGGCTACCTGTACTATACACTTTCACAAATCATGTTTATCAACCATATCAAATTAAAGGTTCATCAATGTCACCAACTTTTAATCCAGGATTATCATCAACGCAACGAGATATAGTATTAGTTCAAAAATTCAACATTAAAACCAAAAATAATATTAAAAGAGGTGATATAATAATGTTTCGATCTCCTTTAAATCCTGAAAAATTATTAACTAAAAGAGTTATTGGAATAAATGATGATATAATTTTCCCAAAATCAACTTATCCTAAATCAGAAGTTAAAGTTCCTAGAAATCATTATTGGGTAGAAGGTGATAATGTACATTCTATTGATTCAAATGAATTTGGTCCAATAAGTAAAGGACTTGTTGTTGGAAAAGTTATATCGATTTTATGGCCATTAAATAGATTTGGTCATGATATAGATAGAAATTTTTAGAATTAAAAAATAGATCATTTAATGTATGAAGTTTATGACCTTGAAATCTAATATATAGGAGGAGTCAACTATGATCAAACTGGAGCATACGTGATGAGCATACGTGATGAATTAGTAGTAATGTCAGTGAGTTTGGAGTGAAGATTAATCCAAAGCAAGTTCGTGGAGATCTTCATAAACCAGTGCACCTCAGGATCAATGATTTATTGAATTCAATGCGAGGTCTCACTGGTTTGAAAATGCTTCATGGTGTACTCTGGCTTAGCTAAAGAAGTATGTTCATGGGTGCAAAAATGTTTCACTACTACATACATGGAAGTTTTGTAGCCCATAACAACTCAGCTGAAATTATTCCACTACAAAGGTATTTGGTTCATCTCTTTTTGGATCATTAAAGTTGAATTTCTTACTGTGATCATGATTGTAAAGAATTGAACATCTGATTATTCATTTTCATTACATGGATTTTGTAATCTAAAACTATGTAATTCTTTCTTCCTAAAAGCTGGGGTAAAATGAAGTAATAATATGCATAATTACAAATAGATAGCATATGATTGAACCCCACCTAATTAAATGTAATTTACTGAAATTTAAATAATTAGTTCAAAATTGGAGTTTAAGTTCACCAGATTATTTTTTAAATGTAATACATTACTCATTACAAATTTTCAAAGTACTCGGAATTGATACATTTAAAAATTCGTATAATTCCGGAAGTTAACATCATGTATCGAGCTACACAAGAATTTAGAGTCTTTAAGTTGGGTAATGAAAACTCATGCTAATGAACGTCATATGCGTTGATCTTTGTTTATCGTGCTCAAAGAATAGAAAAAAAATCGTGGTACTTTTTGATACAAATATGTTCAAACAAATATGTTTGATAATTAACGACCTTCAACGTTCAAAAACCATAATTAAAATATTAAAGTATTGGCCCCCCATAATTCAAGGATTTCTACCCTTAAGGACATATTTATAATAAAATATTATTCAAGATTTCAAAATATGATCGTATGTTATTTTCTTGGTCTTGATACGGACATGAAAATAACCGGAAATATAGTTAACTGGTGAATTAACAAAATACAAACAGTTCAACTCCATTTGAAAATGCTGAAGTGTATATATACTTGGATTTATTTGTTGTATTCATGATTGCAATAACAAATCATACTTTTCAATCCAATACTTAAATCAAGTTTTAATCAAATCAAACAAAACAAGTAAATCAAAGAATGCCAGAACCAACTGTTACTAAAAAAGAAATTCCTTTACCACCAAAAGGTCCAAAAATCACTGATATGAGTGCTGACACAATTACTCAAAATGCTATTTTAATCAATTCTCAACATAAGAATAAAAGATTATTGTTTCTTTTACAAAAAATTGTTCAACATTTACATGATTTTGCTAGAGAAACTAGATTGACTACTGAAGAATGGATGGCTGGTATAATCTTTTTAACTCAAGTTGGTCAAATGTGTAGTGATATTAGACAAGAATTTATTTTATTATCTGATACTTTAGGTTTATCTGTTTTAGTTGATGAAATATCACATCCAAAACCATCTAATGCTACTGCAGGAACTTTGTTAGGTCCATTCCACACTCATGATGCTGAAGTTAAAGAACAAGGTGGATCAATTTGTTCAGAAGGTAAAGGTGAACCATTATTAATTGAAGGTAAATTAACTGATCCAGAAGGTAATCCAATTGTTGGTGCTACTGTTGATATTTGGCATTGTGATGCTAATGGTTTATATGATACACAATATGAAAATAGAACAGGTCCAGATATGAGAGGTATTGTTAAAACTGCAGAAGATGGTTCATTTAACATTCAATGTACTAGACCAGTTGCTTATGCTATTCCTCATGACGGTCCAGTTGGTAAATTATTACAAAAAATTAATAGACATCCATACAGACCAGCTCATATTCATTTCATCATTAAAAAAGAAGGTTATGATCAATTAATTACTGCTTTATATGAAAAAGGAGATCCATATGAGACTTCAGATGCTGTTTTCGGTGTTAAATCTTCTTTGATTTATACTTTAGATAAATTAGGTGAAGAAAAAGCTTCTAAATTCAATATGAAAGCTGATGATTGGTCATTAAAATGGCACTTCAAAATAATTACTGAAGAAGAATCAAGAAAATTAGTTATTCAAAGAAATAAAGAAGCTTTAAGAAAAAATGCTGTTGATTTAGTATTAAACGAAGATGGATTACCAGAACCACATTCTTTAGATTAAATTTGATTATATATTTATGTAATAATGAATAAGTTAACTAAGTAATAAACTTTGAAACAGATTGTTTTGTGTAATAAAATCCACTACTAGTAAAAATGTCTTATACTTTAACTAAATGGAGTAGCAATTGTATACCAATTATACATAATTTGATATACAATCTGGCATTGCATATAACTAAAAATTTGTAGTAAGTAATGGTCAAATATAATCTTGGACCAATTTGAATTTGACTTGATAAACAACAATTTCCGATTCTTTACCATTGTTAAGCCGTATAATGTTATTCCACTTCCAGTATTGAACCAACATAGTTAATCTGGACTGAATAATAATTCAGATTGTAGGTTTCTTACTATTCAAGATATGTAACAATAACATTGAGTAGTACTTTACTAATTGTTAAATCACTTACATTCAGCAAACAATGAGAATATTCTTCATCTATACTATCGTTTGGTTCTCTACAATTTGTAACTAATTATATTTCAAATTCCATAATAAATAATAAATTACATAATTTATACAACTAAACAGCTAATTTTGGTTTAACAAACCTATCTGAATCAATAACATCTAATGGTTTTTCTGGTAAGATATTCTTGGATTGATCGATCATAAAAGCATCAAAGTAAGCTTCAACTTTCTTTAAACCATCAACTGAAAATTCAACAACTTCAGCAACATGAGAATCTGGTCTTAAAATCAAAATAGCACCAGCTTTTTTACAAATACCATAAGTTTCATAAATATCAACTTTAACATTATCAGCATGAGTTTTACCAACACCAGTGAATAAACTCCAATAATCAGTACGTTTTTTGAAATCTTTTTGTCTTGTAAATTCTGGGAAATCATAAAATTCAATATCATTTCTTAAAGTAGCATGAATTGTTAAAATATCAATAACTGAATTATAAAATGCATTAACTGGAGTATATTTAGTAACAAATGATTTAGGTCCCATTAATGAATCATTAAATTTATTTAAAGTTTCCATATTTTCAGGATATTGTTTAACATCACCAGCAAAGATTAAAATACGGAATCTACCATCTGATGCCATTCTATCAGCAATATGCCATGGTCTATGATCACATTGACCTAAAATTTGATCACTATATAATCTTTGACCAATTGGAACTTTTGAAGCTAATGCATTAAAATCACCAGAATTTTCTTTATGAGTTGAACCATCTTTATTAATTAAAAGTGAATTTTCATAATCTGAAATAGTACCTGAAGCAAATCTTGAACCTTGTAAAAAGACTTGATGAAATTCATCCATTTCAACACCAGCAGCTTCACCTTCTAAAATTTTAGCATTTGGAACTTGTGGTTTTGAACTAAATAATTTTGAAAATTTATGATCAAATGCAATTAAATCACGAGCAACTTTCATTCTTTCACCTTCATAAGTTAATAAAATTTCTTGTTTAGCTAAACCTTTACAAACTAAAGCTAATTTGAAACCTAAATTGAAAGTATCTTGCATTGAAACATTCATACCTTGACCAGCTTTTGGAGAATGAGTATGACAAGCATCACCAGCAATAAAGACACGGTTACTTTTGTGGAAAGCATTAGCAACTCTTTGACCAATTTGATAAGCAGTATACCAAGTATTATCAGTCATATCAATACTATATGGAGCCATGATTTCTTTAGCTTGTTTTAAAATAGTTTCTGGAGTAATCTTAGATCTATCAATTCTACCTTTTGTTTTAGCTAATTTATCATCAACTTTACCAACAAATTCTCTTTTAGCATCTGAAGTAGATGGATCTCTATCAACTTCTTTTAATTGAATGTATAATCTAACCATATCATTTTCTCTTGGAATAACCATAACTGCACCATGATCTTTTGAATGAATAGCTGATCTAAGTCTAACATCAGGGAAATCAGTAATTGGAACGATATCAACAACACCCCAAACAAAATCAGTTTGTTCACCTTCCATTTCAATATCTAATTGTTTTCTAACCCATGAATGAGCACCATCACAACCTAAAACATATTTAGCTCTAATGATTTCAAAATCATTTGGATCTTCATCACCAATACCATCACCATAATATTTATCTTGATCACCATCAAAAGCTCTAAATAAACCATTAGCAACTTTTGAACCAAATTGTTCAGTTTTAGCAGCATCACCACTTAATTTTTTAACTAAAACTTCAACAGCATAATCTTGTGCATCTTTTTTATCTTCATCAATTTTAATTGAAACTGGTAAGTATGGTCTTTCTACTTGAATTTTACCTCCTGAAAATTGTTTAATTGATTCTGTAAACCATTCTTCAATTTTACCTTGATGAATAACTGATTCAGTATATCTTGAAATACCTGGAATAGAATCTGGAATTCTTGAATTTCTAGAAATTATACCATCTTCATTTGGTGACCAAAAACTAATTTCTTGCATTTGATTAGCACATTTCCAAGCTTGATCCATAGTAACCCAATCAAAACAATCTTCACTAAATGATTTGAAAATTTCCAAAGATCTACTTTGTAAACCATCAGCTTGACCAGTGAAAACTTCATTGGCTCTTTTATCAATAATTCTAGTTGGAATACCACATCTAGCTAACCATAAGGCAGCCATATAACCTGATGGACCAGCACCAATGATTAATACGTCGATATTTGATTCTTTAATTGCAGTTGAAGTAGGCATTGTTGATAAAACTTTTTTTTGTTAAATTGAATAATGTTAATTAGGTCGTGAAATATAAATTTGAATATGAATTATGCTTTCATTCGTTAGATGTCATTATATAAGGTTAAACTTCATTAAAGTTTCTTGCTTATTTTTCCCACACCGGAAATATCAAGTATTATCGTGAAAAACGATACCACACCACCTGGTTCAAAATTGATTTTCATTCCTGGTATTTTGAACTTCTACGCCTAAAAAGTCACAAATATAATAATCTTTAACTTGTAAATAATATTTCTTAGATTCGAAATTATGTGGGGTATATCGAATAAATACGAAACTATAGTAATAATCATTTTATAATTTTTTTGTAATTTATTAGTAAAAACCATTATTAGAGTGTGTTTTCCATGTGCTTTAAAATAATTGATGTAAAAGCCATTTGGCCATTTTAGAATCAAAAAAAGAATTTCATACTCAACTGATTATCTTCAACATGCTTACTTGAAATAAAAAAAATCAAAGACAACATCATCAGAACAATCAATGACAATCGGAGATATACAAAAACCCTTTACCAGTGGAGTGTCCAAGAATCCTGATTGTATAAGATCATTCGTATATCAGTTTCCTCATTCTTATCGAGCTAGCCCCATCTTGATGAGTAAAACATTACAAATTTGTCAGTGAAACAAAATTTTGAATCTTGCAGAATATTGCATCGGTGATTGTTTGAATCTAAGTTTTGTATGCCCTTACAACTTCTGTTCCCCACTATTGTACCATTTTTTTTTCTATATTTCTTGATAAGTGTCCCTTATTAATACAAACTTTATTTAAACTAAATCCTATAGTTGCAGGCATAATACCAATAAAAGGACCGTTCTCATAATCTCCTCTATCTTGGTCACGGAATTTGAAAGAACTCGTTAATATCATATCAGTAATTTATTAATAATCTGTTGAATAATAGAAGACATCACATTATGCAATTAAACCTGACTTTCAGCCATCTGTAAATTCAATTATTTGTGTGACAAAAAATTAATCAAAGACTGTCAACCGCTTAATTTTCTCACGATTATAGTCTTTCTTATATGTGAAACTAAAAACCTATTTGTACACCAAAATGTAAATAATCATACAAACTGTTCCTTACAAAAAACATTTAAAACTCACAATTCTTGAAATAAGTCATTACTGTTTCTTCTTTTTTTATAATTTCGAAATTTCCCTCTCCCACAACCAAACTGTATCAAATGTAGAACATATATATAAAATACACAAAAACTCAAATTATTAGTATTCGACATTCGTTAACATAAAGGGACAAATTGGTAATTTTTGTCCCAAAAGCATAAAATTTTTCGATTTTACTTAATGTACTACCTCGGTAAACTATTTGGAGTGTTTATAAAATTCTATATGTAAAATGTATTGAGGTATACTTTGACAAGACAGAATCCAAGGCAATAGATTGATAATTTCGAGAATTATACGGAGCATTCCTAAATGAGAAATTTTTTAATACCATAACCCTCGCATGGAAAACGAGAAACAAATTCAAAGTTATACCAGATTGTGTGAGGCTGAACTACGTTCTAGACTAGTGTCATAGAAAAGTATATATTTTATTAAAAACTAAAATTAATTAAATACTAAATTACAAAATTCTTTGGATAATCAAAATCATTACTCTTTACATGTCATTTCATTGTTTGTCTTTCTTCATAAAAAGGATTGAAATTATATTAAAAAAACTTATCTTCCTTGTCTTGCTTCTTTAATGTGTAAGAATAAGGCAGGAATTAAACCTAATCCAACTATTAAACCAGCAAATACAGCATAAGCAACTGTGAAACCTAAATTGGCAAACATGACTGGGAAATAGAATGGACCAATGAAAGCTAAAGTTTGTCTAAAAACAGTGATAAATAAAATAATAGCACCAGCTTGAGCATGATCCATATCAATACAATAAGCAATAAAAGGAGATGTAACAATTTGAAGACCAAATGCAGCTAATGCACAACCAATTAATGGTTTAACATTCCAAGTATCAGCAGCGTCAATTTGAGTACCAAAAACAACTAAACCAGCAACAGATGCAGCAAAACCTGGATAAGTAATCCATAATCTAAAAGATGGACCTCTTCCTTTACTTTGACCCCAAGCAACAATTCTATCAGATAAATATCCACCAACTTCACCAATAACGGTACCAATAATAAATGAAACAAATTGTAAACCTAAAGCTTGTGGACCTAATCCGAATTTCATATACATAACTTCTGGAATTTCAACATTTAAAGCAATATTATCATAAACGAATAAAGTAGTATAAGCAAAAGTGGCAACAAAAACTCTCCAATTAGCAAAGAAAGATAATGGATAAAAGATACCTTTTAAAGTAATTTTATTTTCTGGGAAAATAGCTTTAAATCTTAATTGTTTCATTCTATTAGTAACATTTCTTGAAGTATCTTTATAATTCCAAGCAGTTTCTTTACCAAAAAAGAAATAAGCTAAAACTTGAGCAGCATTAATACAAGTAAAACAAACATGAATATATTTAGCATCATGATGTTCAGCAATAAAACCCATAAATAAAGCACCAGCCATTGTACCTAAATTAATAGCAATTGCCCAAACACCTGATCTTGAACCTCTTTGATGAGCAAAAGTAGTATCATTAACAACTAAACCACCAGCTGCTAATGATGGTGAAATCATAACTGCTTGTAAACAACGCATAGCCATCATTGAACCATAATTAGTACTAAAAACTGAACCTAATGAAAAACACATAGTACCTAAAGCTGAAATAATTAATAATAATCTTTGACCGTATTTCATAATTAAAGGAGTCCAAAATAATGGACAAACACCAACTAAAATAATTTGAACTGAAACTAAATAAGTTATAGTAGCAGTTGGTAAATTATAAATTTGAGAATATAAACCAACAACTGGAACTAAACCTGAAGCAACAAAAGTAGCCATAAAAGCATGAAATGCAACCATTCCTAATTGTAACCATTTAAAACCATTTGACCAATTTAATGGATCATTATCATCCATTGAAGGTAAAGGTGTTAATTCATATGTACCATGTTTTGCAATTAAATATTGTTTATGTTCTTCTGAAATTTCAAGAGCTTCTGGTTGATCATCAGATGAAGCATATTCAACTTGAGTTTCAGTTTTATTTTTTTCTATATCAAGATCAGATGATGACATTTGTTATTATATATTTGTTTGATATTTTGTTTAAGTTAATGAATTAACGAAATGTATGTTCTTGATAATTAATACTTTGAAAAACCTTAAAATCAATTGGCATGAAAATGAGAATCTCTTTGTAGATTTATATAATTATGATTATTGATTGTAAAGTGGAGTTTATATTTGGATCAAAGCATATCGATTGTAAACACCCAAGGATAATGGTATATGTCAAAAATTAAGACTTTTGCTTGATATACAAATTATTATTATTTTTCAAAATAAGTGGGGTTTATTTTTTTTCATGAAGATGATATATTGGAAACCTGAATATTATATATCTTGAAATGTTTAAATCCAAACAACCAAAGAATCTCTATTAGCTCTTCAAACATAGTAGTAATAATAAATAATTAATTATAATAATTTTCAAATAAGCTGTAGATCCTAAATTTGAAATTATTAATGAAATAAGAAAATAATTTTTTGTGTATAAAATCTGGGGAAATTTCTGAATTATAATAATTTATTATATTTAATTAATTGAACAATCAGATTCTTATTTTATGTGAGGCTAATAGAATAACCTTGTTATGGTTTCAGTTTTTTAATTTGATTAACTTCCATCTTTGTCATCTCTACTTAAGTGGCTATTGATTTGTGTGGGATTAAACTTGAGATGGCTATTCATTACTCTTTGTTGTTCCTTTTTTAACTGTTTTTGAAACATCATGCAAGATGGAAAAAAAAATTTTGTTCATCAAATCTAAGATCCAGAACTTTTTCTTAATATAAGGAAAAGCTACCATTCCGTATCTACTAAATTTCATGTCGATCTTTAATACTAAGAAAATTCATAATCAGGTCGAACTACAAATAAGAGATGTTCAATTAAATTGATAAAAACTTTAATTTGATCTCTCTAATTTTAAAAGAAGTAGAGCTATAAATCTCTAGTTGTTGGTTTGTCTTCATAATAATCGCTATAGTAAATCGATGTTGACTAATTGTTTGAGCACCAGCATGAACTTGCATTTGAATATAAGAGAAAAAAATTTGAAGAAGATGAAAAGTATTAGGAAGATCTTTAATTGTGATCCAAGATCTTTTCTTGTGATCTTGCTTTAAAATCTTAATTTCAATTTAAAATTAGAGAAAGAAAAATTAAAATTGATTAAACGATTTGCATATACTATATTTTTGAACAGGCGGTACATGCATCTTGTTTTTCTATCGAACCCTTTAATCAGTACTTTGTAAGATAGGCTGTATCCTGTGAAACAAAATGTATTCTGAACAGCAAAATGCGAACTAGAAGTCATTCTCAACAAGCATAGTAGCTCTAATTTACCCTCTATAGCTATTTCCGGAAAAAACATTAACCAAAATCCACATACTATGTTTCAAAATGTTAGTTGATGCAAATTCAAACAAATGAATGATTATTATAGTGGTAATTTTCACCAAACATTACTATTATAAAAATTTTAATGATTAATTTAAACTACAAAAATTTCCAATTTCCGGAAATGTAATTACAATAAAATTAAACAAGTGAAAAAAAGAAATTATTTAATCTTATTGTTATTAACTTTACGGTTTTGTGTTAATCTGTTTCAGCCGCAAAGTTTAGATCTTTTTTAGTCTAGCCTATTGTTTAGCCCAAATGAAAAATTGCTCATGATGATTAGATTAGTAAATTAATGAGGATCGACTTAGTATCTTCTGACCAATTATTTAGTCCCGATTTCATTGTACATCTTAAAATATAGCTTAAAACTGGCTACTGAAAACTCTGGATATTGCAATTTTCTACAAATAATATTCTTCCATAATTCATACTAACAGTTTCCATCCCCGCTAAATTCATATCGTCAGCAGAAGATGAGTAAGCATCGGAATAACACTCAATTTTGAACTTTGTTCTCTAGAGTTGCTTGGCTTGGGTATACAACTTTTATTTTCTGAGTCAAATTTTAATTATAATATTAAAAAAAGAAAATGGAAAATTTTCTTCTATTAATATTTTATATGATACAATTCTTCTTGCAAGTTTCATAACATGCTGTCAATGTAACAACATTCAGCTAAAATTTTATTTCTCAATCACAAACAGGATTTATAAAACTAAAAAAATCTGTATATTATTACTCTATTAAGGTTTTAAAAAAATTAACTTTATAAATCAAATCAAATTTAAAATTATTCAACGTCAAATATTATTTTTCTTGAACATGAACATCTACATCTTCATTTTTTTGATCATAAACAATATTTTCATCATTTGAATTAATTGGACTAGATGAAACATCAACTGAACCAAAATCTCCTAATTTTTTTAAATCAAATCCATTTTCTCTTAAATATTCTAAAAATAATTTATCTTCTTTATTTATGGAATCTTGACCAACTGGTGGTACAAAAAATATAGCTAAAAATGCACTAAATAAACATAATGCTGAACTAACATAAAATGGAACTTGTAAAGCTAATTTATCATCATAAGAATAATGTTTTTGAATAGCTGGAAATACCCATGTACCAACAAATGCACCAATTTTACCAATTGCTGCTGCAATACCATAATATTGACCTCTAATTGGAGTTGCACAAGTTTTTGAAGCTAATAAACCAGTATTATTACCAGGTCCAAATTCTCCAAAAGTTGTAAAAATTCCAAAAACAACAACAAATCCAGCTATATGTTTTTTTAATTCATCTAATTTAGCAGACATTGCCATACCAATAATTCCTTGAATACCCACCCCTATAGCTAAAGTTAATCTTGGACCTAAATAATCACCAACTAAAGCACCAATAAATGCACCTGGCATATAAAATAAATTAAAAACAACAGACCAACCCCATTGTTGATATAATGAACCATTTGGAATAATTTCTCCAATAATAATGGTATTAAAAGTACCAAATGAATAAACTGAAAAATCATAAATAAACCAAATTAAAGAAATAATAAATAATCTAAACCAATAAAATTTAATAATTAACCAAATTGGATAATCCTTGTATGAAACTTTTTTCATATGTAATTTTTGAAAAGATTTTGAATCTTTCATTTTTAATCTAACAAAAAATAAAATAATTTGAGGAACAATACCTAACCCAATACTTAACCTCCAAACTGCTCTTAAATGTCTTGTACTAAAAATCCATAATAATACTAATGGTACAAAACTTGCAACAACAAAACCCAAGTCAATCATCATATTAGTAAACCAAGCAAAATATCTATTTCTATGACCTGAAGGTAATTGATTTGCAAATTCACTTGCAATAACAGAACTTGTTGGATATTCTGAACCAATTGCAATACCTAAAAAAAATCTCCAAACAGTCAAACAAGCAAAAAATCCTTGAGTTGTTTTACCCCACGATCCAACAGCACATAATAATGTAAAAATAATTAACATTATATTAGCAATTAACATTCCACTATGTCTACTTATATGATCACTTATTACACCAAAACTTAATTGTCCAATAACAGTACCAACAAAAGCTATAGATCCAATATTTGACATTGCATTACTTTGAGTAAATTCTTTACCATAAATTATTTTTAAACTTGATATAACATTTCCAATTCCTGCATTAACATAACCATCAGAAAATAATCCTGCACCAGAAGCAAAAGCAGGCCATAAACTTTTAAATTTAACTTTTGTTTCAATTTGTGATTCATCTTCATTTTCATCTGATGAAGAAATATAATCTAATTTATTATCATTTATTTTAACTGCTAAATCTTGTTCAATTAATTCATTTTGGGTTTTACCTAATGTCATTTCATCACGAATTTGATTTATCCAACCAAAACAAAATTGATTGAGTGATTTAGGTAAATCTCTTGTAGCCATTTTTGTTTTTTGGTTGATTCAAATATGGAAATGTATTGGATTGGAATTGACTGATCGAGTGGTTCGGTTTCCTTTTTTGTAATATGGTATACGAATGTTAAGACATTTCAATTTCTATTTATAAATTTTCTGATCTATAATGATCTTAAAGTAGCCCACGATGTTTAAAAAACAATAAGATAAATTTGAATCAACTTTTTTTTAGATTTTTGATAAACCAAAATTTTGATAATGCACAACTCCTTCTTTCTTCTATAGTTATAACTGAGGAGGTTTAGTATTGCAAACAATTCCGTTTCTTTGTTATTGTGAGGCACAAAAGGTTAACTTTTTGAAGTTTATATGAAAAATCTAATCGGCTTTACATTTTAAATCTAATTCCTATTGTATTTGATAAATTTTTTTTAATTGATAACATTAAGTAAGTAGTCTTTTTGTGTAACTCGTATCTCGTAAATTTTTATTATTAGATCGAGTTGTTTTACATACATTAGAAAACAAATAGTTAATAAATAAACAAACCATTGAACATATTTTAAACTTATTCATACTCTACCATTAAAAAACAAAGATTTAACTTGACACTTTCAGTTGCAAGTGGTAACTTCGACATTAACATTTTTGGTGTTTGACTAGGGAAAACGGATGATCTAAATTTCCCCTGCCAAGTCGAACTAAGACAAACAAATTTACGAGAAATTATTGTTTTAGCTCATTAGTTTTAAAGTCAAACAAAAGAATAGAGTCTAAATATCTGAATAGAATTTAATCAATAACTTAGAAACTGCATCTGAAACGTGGTCTTAGTGATATATATTTCAATAATTGAACAACACAAAATTAAAACACCGTATGAAAAGAAATAAGGTGAATAATGATCTGTAAATAATTAGTTCAACTTAGTAATCCGGTTTAATATTTGAGCGTTGATACGGTTGCAGACTAAACTAGAACAAACCTAAAACTAATCTAAATTTATATTTCTACATTTTGCGCTTTTTTGACCAGGGTAAAGATCTCATGGTATCCTTTTGAAACAAATCTTTTTTTATCAATTTAACTGGACTCAGAGTATCTGCAAAAATACATTGGAACATATTTTACACTTTTATAATAAACGTCAAGATCAAACTAGTTCAATCTAACATAAACTTTCTCGTTTTGAAGTCTTATGTATATACACAAGCCCATGAACCAAGTAAAATGGATTCGTTGTCCTTGAGAATGAATTTAATGAAATAGTTTTCATGAAACCATGTTCCTATGAAAAGTTGAACTAATTTATGGTTATTGGCCCTATTTTGAAAAGTAATTTTAGACATTATAATAGAATTTGATCGCCTTGTCAAAAGTCGTTATCTATGAGATAGATCAGTTAAATCTGAAAATTTTTGAACCTACAAAGTCACCTCAATATTTACTACCTTCAGCAAAATAGTGAAATTAATTTTGCACAGGGAAGTCGATTGATGAAACCGACTATTTCTGCTAGTACTTCTTATAAAAATTTTTATTCAAGGCATTTTCAATTCTGGTTTGGTTTGTTACATAACGTTTGATACAACACTTATTTTTCAAAATTTTGCAAAATATGACGAACACGTGGATTGAAAAATGTGAAAAATTTGAAAAAAAAAAAAAAGTAAAAAAGGAGGATCAAAATTTTTATTTTTGGAAGAGGCTTAATCTACATTACAATATTCGGAACTTAGTATTGTTTTATATCCCTTTGTTCATTTAACTCCATTTACAATTTCTCTTCATCTACTTCTTTTCTTACTGAGATCTATGAAAAAGAGTTCATTCATTAACATTGAGATTCTTAGATCTCAATTTTGTAACTAGTTTCAATTGATAACACAAAAACATATTTCCGTAAATCACAAGACGCTTTCTTCGTATGGTGGTAAGGTGGTGGTACGGTGGTAACTAAATTCTATTTGAAACAAATTTGTTGCATAAAATTTAAATTTTGAGCTTATTTAGTCAAAAAGTTTTTGAATAACATTACGAAAAATTTTAAGTAGAATTACATAGTTTACTTCTAGACTAGCTACAACATTCTTTGATGTGTATAATTATAAAGTTTGAAGCTACGTCCCAGTATTTATCGAATTACTTCAATTCATTTTTAGACATGCTACTTTTTCGTTAAAAAAGTCCGTACCGCAATATTTGAACTTTGTATGGGCTTGTCGGATATAAACGCAAGTAAACTTTCAACATGTACCAATATTCAAATCACCCATAAAAAGAGTTAGAAAAAATAACAAATGCTAAGAATAAAAACCAAGCAAACGAAAACCATAAATGAAAGTTACAGTACGGTCCGAAATTATAAATTGGTACAGACATCATACAAGCTATCATTATAATACCAAGGAAAAAGAAAAGAAAAGAAAATCACTAAAATAATATACGAAAGATTTTGACATATTATTTCGAATGTTTTTTTCTTTTTCACTATGAGCAAACACTATTTTGAAAAAATTTAATCATGAGACGAATAAACTTCGGTATGTAGCACTTAAGATTTAATAGAAAATGTACATTGTTAGTAAAAGTATTCTATGGTCTTGTTTCAGTACTTAGTAACATTTATTCATACGGCAAATTAAATCTAAAACTAACTTTGATAGCTTATTAAACTTTTTAACTAAAACTTAATAGTGTTGTTCTACCGGAAAAAATTTCAATAAGAAGATCTCTATAGTGATGTGCGGCTTTAATTTTGCGCAAAATTAATTTCCATAGAATTTTGAAAAAAGAAAAAGAATTTTTATATATTGTTAAGCCCAATTCAAAATTGGGTCCCACGAGGGTAAAAAATATCACAAGTATTTTGAGACTCTTACAACTACAATGTTGTGGTAAATTTCTCAGCAAAAAGTATACGTGACCAAACTTTTGACATACTTTCAAAAAAGGGATTTAATTAAATATAATTATTGGAGGTGATTCTATGAACAAAGGAATAGAGTTTAATATTTAAATCGTGAGACTATAATGAAAAAATATGTTCTTTGATAAGCTTCTATATGATCAACAACTCAGATGGAAATATATTGGTAAGATAAGAATGAATATTAACGAATTCAGTAATAACAAAAGACTACAAATAAAAAGAGTAAACTTACATACAAAATTAACAATTATTAATTAAATGTAAAATGTATTAAATTTACATACATAATCTAGTTGTGTAATAAAAGTTAAACGAATTTTCCAAAATATCATCTTGTCAATCACTAACTCCAACATCAATTTGTTACTTCATTCCATCATCCACACTCCAGCTACAACATCAGTACTGATCTTTTCTTTTAAATTTAATCTATCTATTAATTAATCCGAAACTCGTGAAGTTTCAGTAGTGTATAATATCTCCATTTTTTCAAATTTAATTTTGTGTAATTTCTACAATCAATTTAATTTTTTAATTAAATTACATACATAACATACATAATTTATGTACGTACTACAAATATACACAATACAAACATACAATACAAATAGATTATGATAATGAAATATTTTTACATAATGTTGGTATATATAAACTAACTTATTCCAATTTTCACTTTTTATTTACAACTCTTTAATTTATACATCAATAGATCTTACCTTATCATTCACAAATAGTATCAATTAGTTAGACTACATATTTATACTTAATATCATCATCATCATCATTACTACTACCACTACAAATCTCTTTACCTAGATTCAATTACCCCGCTAAATCTATATCAAATCAAAGATCTAATATATACAAATCAAGATGGCTTCAAGAGATTTACCACATTCCTTTAAAGCATTAACTACTGATTGGTTAAGAAGAATACCAGAAGAAATGACTTTAGGAAAATCAAAACAACAATTATTTGATGAAGATAAAGATTATCAAAATCCAATAGATGTAAATTCTACTTCATCAGAAAATGGTGAATATTCAGAAAATGATGAAGATCAAGTACCTCAAAAAGTTAAATTTAAGAATTTATGGCCAGCTTTTGCTTCTGGAGCAGGATTATTTTCAGATGGTTATGTTAATAATTCAATTTCAACAGTTTTATTTTGTTTAAAAAAAATATATGGTGATGAATTTACAAAAAGTAATGCTATAAGTAATATTGGTTCCATTGCATTTGTTGGTACAGTTGTTGGTCAATTAGGTTTTGGTTATATAAGTGATAGATTTGCAAGAAAAGGTGGTATGATGACTGCAAATATTATGTTAATTTTATTTACTTTATTATGTGCTGTTGGTTCATGGGGTAAAACAACTCAAGGATTTTTTGCTTGTTTAACAGTTTGGAGATTTTTTTTAGGTGTTGCAATTGGTGCAGAATATCCAACAAGTTCAGTTATTGCAAGTGAATTTGCAAATCAATTACCTGCTGGTCATAGAAATAGATATTTTTCATGGTTTACAAATTTTATGATTGATTTTGGATTTGTTGTTTCAGCATTTGTACCATTTGTTTTAATTTGGATATTTACTGAAAGACATTTAAGAGCTTTATGGAGATTAACTATTGGTTTAGGTGTTATTCCACCATTATTATTATTTTTAATAAGATTAAAAATGAAAGATTCAAAATCATTTCAAAAATTAAATATGAAAAATGTTAGTTTTAAAGATTATCCAATATGGTTAATTATAAAATTTTATTGGTTTAGATTAACTATTGTTTCATTAATTTGGTTTATTTATGATTTTTCTGCTTATTCATTTGGTTCTTTTAATACTATTATTATTGATGAAATCATTCCTGATGCTCCAATATGGCAACAATGGGGTTGGTCAGTTGTTTTTAATTTATTTTATATTCCTGGTGCATTTTTAGGAGCTATAGCAGGTGATTATTTAGGTCCAAGATTAACTTTAGCTATTGGTGTTACTTGTCAAGGTGTTATTGGTATTGCAATGTCAGCAAGATTAGAACAATTAAAACAACATATTGCTGGATTTGTTGTTGTATTTGGTATATTTTCAACTTTTGGAGAATTTGGTCCAGGTGATAATATTGGTTTATTAGCTTCAAAAACAAGTGCAACAGCTGTAAGAGGTATATATTATGGTATTGCTGCTGCAATTGGTAAAATTGGTGCTTTCGTTGGTACTTGGGTTTTCCCAGCTATTCAAAAACATTATGCTTATGATGATAATTTAACATTACAAGTTCCATTTTATATTTCAGCTGCATTATGTTTATTTAGTGCTTGTTTAGCTCTTTTCTTTTTACCACATGTTGGACAAGATGCAATAAATAGAGAAGATGCAGATTTTGTTAAATATTTAAAAGCAAATGGATTTGATTTAGCTTTATTAGGTGAACCTGGAATTGTTACTCAAAGAGAAGCTGCTAAAGTTGATAGTAGTTTATTAAATGAAGGTGAAAGTTCTGATGATTTTAATGCAAAACAAAAGACTAATGAATATGATGTTGATCAAAAATCAATTTAAAATAATAATTTTAATTACAACAAAGACGGTCACGTATAGGGAAAGCTTGAGTCTTCACTTATCTCATTCAAAGCTTTTCAATTTTCTTCATTTTTCAATTTATTCAGTTTTTTAATTTAATTTTTAATGATTCATTTTATACTTAGTTAGCATGGTAATAAAATTTTAGAGACAATAATTACGTTCTATTGATATACTCTTTATACCTACATTTAATGCCATCTTCAAGGAATAAATAATCTTATATTACAAATTAAATCAACTATATACAAATTGCTCACTAATTTTTTCTCCATTCAACAATATACTTCAATTCATCACCAGCTTTAAAAGGTACAACTTCAACATCTCCATTCGCTATCACTTCAGGAACTTTATTTTCACGTTCAATTAACCAAACACTTTCTCCTTTATGTTTTGCCAATATTTTTTCATTCAAATCATAAAATTTAATACCATTATCACTTATAAATTTTTTAAAATTTTCAATTTTATTATACTTATCAAAGATTTCAGCAACATAAGCTACAGAATTACATTGAGTATAAACACCAGCACAAACATCTACATGAACTTGTTTTTTATGTATTGGATGAGGAGCAGAATCTGAACCAAAAAAGAACCATGGTTCACCACTTGTAGCAGCATCAATTAATGCTTTTTTATCTTTATGAAATTTTGCAACTGGTTTACAATAATTTATTGGATTTGATGCCCAATTATCTATTATTAAATATAAATGATGAGCAGTTATTGTTGCACCAATTGTTATATCATCTCCTTCTTTTTTATCTGAATTTAATTCTCTTACTAATTCTATTGCTTCTGAAGTAGTTGTATGTTCTAATATAATTTTTAATTTGGGGAAATCTGAATGAAGTTTTCTTAAAGCTGGTAAAAATTTAGATTCTGCATTTATTATATTAATTTCATCTTTTTCTTCAATCCCAGGTTTTTCACCATGTAAATTTAATATTATTCCTTTTTTTTCCATTACTTCAAAAAGGGGATAAAATTGTGAAAAATCATTTGGATCAACTCCATATTTTGAATTTGTTGTAACTCCTGCTGGATAACATTTAATACCATGAATTAATCCTTCATCAGCACATTCACTTATTAATTCAGGAGTTAAATCTTTAGATAAATAAAATGACATTAAAAAAGTAGTTTCTGGTGCTATATCATTTAATTGTTTATGATAATTTATAACTTGTTGTTTTGTTGTAATTGGTGGAACTAAATTTGGCATAACATAACAAATTGATATTCCACCTGATCTAACTGTTGGAGTAATTAATTTAGACATTGCTCCATCACGTAAATGGACATGCATGTCTGCAGTTATACCTAAATTTATCTCTGACATCCTTGTGAGCCTGGGTTGTTTAGTTCGTATTGATTGATGCTTATCGATCTGTTTTGAAAAAAAATTTCGGTTTCTCTCTTTTTGCGTATCTCAAATTGTAACACAAAATGGCTTTTATATTTTGCACCCAAATTTTAAAGAGTGGAAGAGTTTCAATTAGGCGTCAATGATTCATAAGTTAAAGATGTATATTGAGAAAGACCCCTTGCAGAAAAGACAAAGCTAGTAAAGTAGAGTATAAAAGCTCAAAATCGAAATTAAAACCAAACTAAAATGACCAAACCGAAAATAATATTGATAAAACAAACATACCGTCATGTAAAATTTTAAAAATCTTACATCATTTCATTATCATCAATAATTCTTTTTATTTCATTAGGTTCAGGACCAACAACTTTATCAATTAATTTCCCCTTTTTAAAAAATAAAGTAGTTGGAATAGAACTAATTGAAAATTCATTAGCTAATTGTTTATCATCTTCAATATTAACTTTAAAAAATTGAACAGAAGGTTGATCTTCAACATTTGAAGAAGATGAAGAATCTCCTGCACCTCTTCTCATACCACCTCTTTGATTAGATCCTAACTCATAATTTGATGAAATTTCTTCTAATTTATGATTCATTTCTGAACAATGAGTACAATCATCAAAAAAATCTAATACTATTAAATCATTCTTGTTTGATCCTCCCAGTAATGAATTTTGAGAATTTTTTTTTAAAATTGATGTAAATTCTTGTTTTGAATTAATGTTCTTTAAAGTCATTTTTGTTGTAAACTATAAGTGTAGAAAGAAGTATTTCAAGAGTAAGAATGGGAAAACTTTGTTGAGGTATATTGTCCTTTTTATAAGCTAATTCAATGTCTTTCAATTGTATCCCTCTTCTTATGCATATTAATGTTCCAAATAAAGTTGCAAAAAGGGGTCTGATTCTAGAATTTGGTCCGCTATATAATTCATTTCAAGAATTTTTAATCAACATTGCTTGTTTTTCCAGTATAGGTCACTTTTCTCTCCTCAAAAACAACACGGTATGGCTCACTATATAGGTGTTCAAATTCGAATGAATTTTGGTATACAATTTTTTAGTTTCATAGAATTCTTTCAAATGAATCACAAAAATGAACTCCACGTTTGAGATGTTAAAAAGAATCTCAAAGTTATTTATTATTAAAAAAGGAAAACATTCCATATCATTTTATATCACAACCAGCAAACATCAACTCACATAATTGACTACATTTATAACTTGGGCTTTTTAAAAGATTCTCCAAGAAATAACAACAACTTCATCTAAGCAACTAAAACAAACGAAAATAATAAATAATGGGATCAGTATTTCTACCGAATTTAAAAACAGGATGGCATGTAGATCAAGCAATATTATCAGAAGATGATAGAGTAGTCGTTATAAGATTTGGAAGAGAAGAAGAAAATGAATGTATGATAATAGATGAAATTTTATTTAAAATTTCTGAAAAAATTAAAAATTTTGCAGTTTCATATTTAGTTAACTTGGATAAAGTACCAGATTTTAATATAATGTATGAATTAGATCAAAATAAATTAGAACCTTATACTATAATGTTTTTTTATAGAAATAAACATATTTTAGTTGATTTTGGTACAGGAAATAATAATAAATTAAATTTTCCTATATATGATAAACAAGAATTAATTGATATTATTGAAACTGTTTATAGAGGTGCAAGAAAGGGGAAAGGATTAGTTATTAGTCCTAAAGATTATAGTAGAGTCGCAAAAAATATATGAGCTTGTAGATAGTATAATAGTGAATTTTATAATATTATGTTGATATTATATACTCCTTTTGATTAAACCTAATTATCTTCATTTTGAGCATAAAAGAAATTAACACTTAATAATTTTGAATTTGGAGCATTTTTTTCAATCCAATCTTTAACTCCACTTGATGGGACACCTGTACCCCAATTTGGTCTATCTTTTGGAGCTTTTGATTTTAAATCATTAACTTTTGGATCTTGTTTATATAAAAGAAAAACATATCTATGTTTACCAGTTTTTGGTGGAGGACCAGGACCAACATATGATAATAATTCTTCACCATTTTTAAAATCAATAAAATGACTAATTTCTGGTTCTCCCTTTTCATCTTTTGTATTTTGAAATTTTATATCAGTTACTAACCAATGAGCATATTCTGACCATTTATGATCAGAATTTGAAGGAGCATCAGGATCAGTTAATACTAAAATAAATTTATCACCTTCATTAATTGATTCAATTTTTCCATCTTCAGTTGGTGAATTTAAAGTTAATTGAATTTTTGGAATTTTTTGAGTTCCTTCAACTGATAAAGTATTTCCTAAAGTGACTAATTCAGTTGGTCCATATTCTATTGATAATAAACCTTGAGTATCAAAATTATCAACAACATCTGGTATAATTTTATTTTTTGTATATGATTCATCTAAAGATTGAGAAATTGTAATTAAAGTCATTTTGGATATGAATTGTGGAGTCAGTAAAGGTTTTAATTGATTTGAAGTATTATTTGTAAACAAATTTCTATTTGAATTGGTAAATTGTTTTGAATAACTTGAGTAAGATGATGCAAAATTCTTATAACTTATATTATTATTAAATCTATTATATATCCTTATTAAACTTTTATTAGTTGATCTATTCAACATTGACAAAAAAAAAAAAGAAAAAGAAGGAATATAAAAGATTTGAAAAATTGGATCAATTGAATTGTATTTGAAAAAGAGTTACAATTATATATTTCCAATTAAGTGATATTATTTTTTTTTTTTCGCTATCCAATTGATAAAATGTAAATGATGTTATTCAATGTTAGGTTTCAGAAATAATGATGATAGCAATTGCTTTAATAACTTATGTAGATTTATATTGAAATAATTAACGGAAGTGAAAGGGTTAAAAAGGGTTAGAATATGAACCACAAATTTAAAAGTGCTATTGGTTTAAGTTTGCTCTCTTTGCATTTAACTTTTTTTTTAGATCACAAATATTATTAGTAATTTGATTAGAAGTAATAGAGTTACACTAAATACAAAATTACGAATACACTATGATGTAATAGATAAAGTAAAGAAAATAAGCTAGCACCGTATGATACTTAAGTCGAGCGGTCGGAGTTTTTCGCTACTTTCGATCAAAAGTACTACGTTCATACCGCCGAGAACATCAAAAATTCGTATAATACTTTTACTTCCATAACTTCGTAAACTTTTATTTGAAAAATACACAACTCTAATTTACAATTAACTTTACTGTTAAATTATATACAAATTCTTCTTCATCTACTTTTCATTATTATTATTGTTGAGGTTGTTGTTGTTGTTGCCAACCATAACTATTATTTGTAGCAGTATTATTTGCATTACTATTCTTTTTACTTGGTTTTTCTTCTTCTCTAGGTACAACATCAATCAAAAAATCAAACATATCACTCTTGGTTAAAGCAGCTGCAATATCTGATTTTTGTAAAGTTCTTCTTTTATTTTCTTCTGCATGAATCCAAGCTCTCATAGTTAATTCAGTTATAAAAATATCACAACCTTTTGCAAATAAAATAGGAGCTTCAGCACTAATCATTCTTACATCTTCATCAGTTTTCATTACTTTTTTAATTCTAGCTAATGGTAATTGATGATTTTTAAAATCATGTTCATCATGTTCTATTGAATTTATAGTTTCTTGCCAATATTGCATCATCATATCTCGATGTTTACCTTCAAGTCCTTGTGCTACATTATTAAATACATCTCCAGGTTGTTGTTGTTGAGCAGCAGCAGCAGCTTCTGCTGCTGCTTGTGCTGCTAATAATTCAGATTCATCTACTATATTTTGATGATTCGGTATAAATTGTTCTTCATCTTCATATTGTTGTAATTCTGATTGTTCTTGTGGATGATGTGTTGATTGATTATGATGCTGTAGTTGGATTTGTTGTTGCGCGTCATTATTATCATATTCTTCATGCTGTTGCTGCAGTAGAGTTTCATTTACTAATTCTTCTTGTTCATGACTATTTGGGTCTAATGTTTGATGTTCTGAATTTTCGTCATACTGCGTTAGATTCCCATTGTCTATATATTGCGCTTCGTCGTATTCATCCATCTCTTAGTAGTATTATGTGAAAATATCTTGATTTATTTGTAATAGTTAGATTAAGAGGTTTTGTAAATTAAATGTTGATGTTTCATATTCAAAGTATGAATTTTTTTTTCATTTCTTTTTTTTTTTGGTTTTTCGACATACATTCAAATAACTAATATATACACTAGATCTATATAATTACAATTGTATGTAGGATTCCTAAGCGTATGGAATCGATAAGCCAGTGGAAAATTAAACTTAATGTTCAGTGTTTTAAAATTAACACTATGTCAAGACTCATGAATTAATTCATACTACTTGAATAAAACCACTTTTGTTTGTTGAGCTACTAATTTATTCTTTGCTGTTTTTCTTCTTATTACCTTCTTCTTTGCTATATATACCACTTAATGATCTTCAGGATCTTCATTTTGATTAACCGACTCCAAACCAGAAATCTGCCGTCGTCGTCGCACTTTACTCATCACCTGTGTAATGTATTTATTGATCCTGAAATATTTCATCCGTTGTCGGATTTATTATGCAGTGACGCTAAATTACTATCTGAGACACTTAGATCATTCAAATATTATTACGATAATCTATTAACCTTCCCCTAATCAATAACCACAGTTCACTGTTTGATAGACAAGAATAGAGTGATAAATTTCCAAAGAACTAGAGTCATGACTCGAAATTTTAGTTCACCATTATTCAAACAATTACCAAAATTTAAACAATCACCAATATTTAAAAGACCATATGCTACAAGATTAGCAGAAGATTCACCGTTTGATCATTTACCAAAACATACCAACAAGAAATGGATAAATTGGAAAACAACTACATTATTCTTCTTATTAGGAAGCTACTTATCATATAATGAAACATTATTCAATTTATATGAATCAATGACTTCTATAGATTATGATGATTCAATACCTAAAAATAACACAATCCCCATTTTAAAATTAGAATATCAATTAAAAAATCTACCAATATATCAAAAGTTGAACCACCCAAAAAACAATCATCAATGGTATAAACTATCAAGTTGGGAAAATCTAGATAGAAATGTTTTAGATAATCAAGATTTTAAATCAAATACAAGTATAAAAAATCAAGATGAATATAAAAAACCAGAATTAACAAATCAAACTCTTAATAAACCAGGTGGAATCTTGATAAAACCAGTTACTTTCCATAATATAGATACAGATGAAGGAATATCAATAATTCATGCAGGTTATAGATTATGTGGTTATCCTTTTATAATTCATGGAGGAATAATAGCAACTTTATTAAATGAAACTTTTAAAAGAAATGCTTCATTAAATCAATCAACTACATCAAATTTAAAAGATGATTTTAAAGTTGAAAATTTAACAATAAATTATAAAAATCCAACTTTTGCTAATCAATTTTTAATTATAAAAACTAAACAAAAACCATCTCCTGAAAATGATAAAAGAACAATTGTTTTAGAAAGTATTATTGAAAATTCAAAGGGTAAAGTATTAGTTAAAAGTGAAGCTCTTTTACATGATACTGGAAGAGCATCTAAAAAATCTTTACAAGCTGCTAAAAAAAGTTGGTGGTGAGTAGACATGGACAATTGTATATTTATTTTTTTGATAATAAGTTTAAAACCGTAGAACTTACTATATCTCTAAACAAATCACAGTTATTTTTATCAAGCAAACAAGCTTCATATCCATTAGACATTAGAGCCAAAGTTGATCGTTAATTGAAGTCAAACGTGTAAGCTAGACTTAGAGTGTTTTGATTAACGCGTTGAGTTGTTTTGCAAATATTTGACAAGTTCTAACGCGAGTAGCGTAATATCAGTTGACTAAAATTAAATTTTGCAACATCAAAACCACCAAAGTATCAATTCCTACTAAACATGAGAGACGGGCTTTCACAAGAACCATCAATTGAACCACAAATTGAGTTGACAAGAGAAAATCTAATCAGAGAACAAGATGGTGATTCTAAATCAATTATAGTTGAAACTAACAATTCCAAAACAACCAAAAATTCAAATCTACATAATGTTATAATTCATCCAAGATTAAAACCAGCACCATTCAAAATACGTGATGCATATCCTACAGACTTACCAAAACCAACAGAAATATGCACTGTAAATGATTTAAAATTTTATCAAAATGAAGAATTACCTGTAAATAGACGAGGGTTTAAATATAAATTATGTAAACCTAATCCTATATTCACATCAAATTATTATTCAACAACAGATATAGAACCATATGAAGTTAGTTTGTCTTGGTTTGATAGGTCTACGGGGTCCTATTTAAGTCAAGATTGTAAAGCATTAACACTGAATCAAGGTTGGAGATCAGTTAGATCAAATGTTGGAATACGAGAAGGTATTTATTATTTTGAATTTAAGATTTTAAAATCAGATGATTATAGTCATGTAAGAATAGGATTAGGAAGAAGAGAGGCAAGTATTGAAGCACCAGTTGGATTTGATGGATATGGATATGGAATTAGAGATGTTGGAGGAGAATTAGTATTTATAAGTCGAAGGAAAAACGTTTTAATTGAAGAAGGGTTCAAGACTGGTGATGTTATTGGATTTGAAGTTCATTTACCTTCTTTAAGTCAACAAAAGAAAGAAATTGAAGAATTTGTTAATTTAAAAAAATCTGAAATTCCTGATCATCATACAACTAAAAAAAGGAAAACCAATACTAAAAACAAAAAATTCAATAATATTGAAGATAATGAAAAATTTAATGAATTTAATAATATTTTAAGAGATCAAATACCTACAAAGTCCAAAGGTGTTTTATACTATGATCAATTTGAATATACTAAAACTAAAATGATGGATCATTTATTAAATCCTATTACAGTGTTTGGTGAAAAAGCAATAATTGAAATGGACGATAAGACTAAAAATATACCAATAATTTCAAATTCAAAAATTGTCCTATACAAAAATGGAGTAAAGCAAAACGAAACCATTGAAAATTTATATTCATTTCTACCTACTAATTTAGAAGAAATTGAAGAAATAAACCTCGAACCAAATTTAAAACAACAACTGAATCCAAATTATAAAAATAATGATGATAATACATTGGGATATTACCCCATGTTATCAACTTTTCAAAATGGTGCAGTTTCCTTGAATGCTGGTCCTGAATTTGAATATCCACCTGAAAATACCCAAATAAAACCATTAAGTGATCGATATAATGAACATGTAATTGAAGAATGGTATTGGGATATAATTGATGAAGTTGAAGCTCAGTATTTAGATAGTTTTGATTAATTTAGTTATTATAAAGATGAAGGATCTGGACCAACTCTTTTTAAACTTGAATGATGATTTGGTAAGTCATTATTTCTACAATAAACTTCATAACATTTCTTATGAAACGCTTCTTCTGTCTCGGGATTGAAAAAACCCATTGTAACAAATTCATTACATAATTTACAATTTAACAATTTCCCACCATCTTGTAAATAACCAAATCCATCAATAAGATATTGTTTTAATTCACATAATCCTCTAATTGATAATATTACATCATCATTAAAAGTAATTTGAAACCAACCATCATCAACTAATTTCATTAAAAATAAATCAGAATCAGCAGTTGATTTTTTTGAATGATTTGAAATTAATTGTAAAATTGTACTTTTATTTGCACTAAATAAAAAATTATCAGTTGATGATTCAATAATTTCTTCAATTATTGATTTTATTGAAATTAATTCTGAAATATTATAAGCTGTATTTTCTTTCATTAAATCATCCACTATTGTATTTATAAAAATATAATATAAAATCCCATCAATTTCATCATTTTTTCTCTCTATTTTAAAACCTTGTTGTGAAATTTCTAAATTAATATCTGATATATATTGATTTAATAAATTTAATGTTGGTTGTTGATTTTCAACATTTGGTAATTTTTGACAAATCAACACGAACGCGTCAAGAAGATCTTGTTGACTAATAGATTTGATAGATCTTATATATGTTAGTAGAACTCTATGTGCTTCGTTGTACATTTCACTATAATTGTAAGATCTTTGATTGATTTTATGGAAGTTTGTAGATGTTGTTATGCTTGACAATTGACAATCGCGTTGTATATAAATCAATAATAAATTTTTTTTATTTACGTTTTTGTTGAAATTTTTCAGTTTTCATTTAAGGGGTAATTATATAACGAACATAGTATTTGAACATACAACTATTATACGTCTAACAAAACAACAGTCGGTTTAAACTCAGTTTATATAAACAAAGACTGCAAATAAAATAAAATATTTTTCAAAAATGTATTTTTTACCATTAATAGCAACATATTTATTAATCAACAGATCATTTGCAACTATTGATTCAGACTTAGAATCAGATTATGAAAATGAAAAATGTAATCCAGTTTTAGACAAACAATGTTTAGCATGCAATGAAGCATTAGGAAGATCAATTCATGAAACTTTTTCACATGGAACAGAATATTTCGCTGTTACTAGTTGTAGAAAGGGGGTAAGATTTGGTTCAAATGGTTTACAATTAACTATAAGAAAAGAATTTGATAATCCAGCATTAACATCAAGCTTTTATATTTTGTATGGTAAAGTTGAAGCTGAAATTAAAGGATCATTTGGACCAGGTATTGTTAGTTCATTTTATTTACAAAGTGATGATTTAGATGAAATTGATATTGCTGAAATTTTAGGTGGCGATCCTTTCAATTATCAAACTAATTATTTTATAAAGGGAAATGTAACAACTTATGATCGAGCAAGATATCATAAATTAAATAAAAGTCCATTGAATGAGTTTTATACTTATGGAGTTGAATGGACACCAAAGATGATTACTTGGTATTTGAATGGTGAACCAGTTAGACAATTGAATAGATTGAATAAACAAGGGTATCCTTCGAGTCCAATGGTTGTAAAATTGAGTTTATGGAGTGGGGAAACAACACAAGATCAAGGTACAATTGCATGGAGTAGAGGGTTAACTGATTATAATAATGGTCCATTTATGATGCATATTAAGAACTTAAAAGTTTCTGATTATTCGACTGGTGAGTCTTATATGTATGGTTGGTTACCTAATGGACAATGGATGAAATTAAATGCTAAAGGTGGTTCGATTTATAAAGATGGTTCCGAGACTCAATCACCACCAAAATTTCCAACTCAAAGACATGAAGATTGGACAGTTCCACATGAAAGATCAGTTATTCTTCCAACAAGTACAAAAATTAAACCTACTGGAACAGAAAAGCCCTTTGATTTTGCATCAACAACAATTGCAATTGATAAACTCATTAAAAAGATCAATCCTAAAAAGAGTAAAAATTCAAAAGGTTTATATGAGTTTCCTAAACAAACTGGAGTTTATGAGTTGGTTCGTGAATCTTGGGAAACTTCAATATTTTCAACATCAACTGAAACACATTTCCAGACAACAATTAAAAATGGTGAAAGTAAGACAACATCAGATCGAAAATTGAAATCAAAAGAATCCTCATTTATTCAATTCCCTGAAAAAGAAGGTGAAAATGATGATAAAAAGAAAAGTACAAAGACAAATAAGAAACAAAAGAAAAAGAAGACTTCTGAAGCTTCAACTTTTAATTTCACTTCTATTTCATTTATATTGTTGATTGAAACTATTTTGATTATGACATCATTTTGAGGTGAAAGAGATTTAATTGAAAAATTCACGAAAGTAAAAAGTTAAGTATAATTCAAATTACTAGTTTATGTAAAATATTATTATTATTTAGATATTTTGTTAGGAATTTGTAATTGTAATAAATTTTGAAAGTGTATTTTGCAACTGCGTGTTTCAGTTTATAAATTTAATTGTTGCAAAATCTTTTGTTCGCTCTCATAGTTAAGAAATCTTTTTTCTTAGCAGCAATATATTAATTAACCTAAGTCGTGTGAATCAATCATATCGTGATAATTAAATACAAGGTACATCTGTAGTCCGAAACTTCAATAATCATTTAATATTATACAACTAGATTGTTCAATTCTTATATTAGGCAACAATTGCTTAAATAATCATATCATATTTTACTTCAATACACAATTCAATGCCTAGTGTGGAAACTATAAGCAGATTAAGTTATATATCGCTAATAACCAATAATCAAGATGATTTTTTGAAACTGTTTAAATTTTATTCAGATTTGGGGTTCAGATTGACCAAAAATTTCTCAAGAATTTCATATAATGGATCAAATGCATTAAATAATTCTCAATTACAATTAGGAGTTTCAAAGGATTCATTAAGAGAAGTGTGGTTAGAGAGTTATCCTTTACAAAATTTAGATTCAAATGGAAATTTAAAACCATGGCAAGAATTAGAAATTTATAGTGGTGATAATTGTGAAAAATTATCAGAATCAACAATTTTTAAAATTAGATTATCAAATGAAAAAAGTTTAAAATCAATCGATAAAAAATTTGTACTTTTCAGTACTGATTTAAAAAAATTAAAGCAGATATTGGAAAAATCAAATATAAAGATTAATGAAATAGCAAAAAATGTTTTTACCATAAAGGATCCATTAGGAAATCTTTTATATTTTTCAAATATTGATAATGAATTAAATCCAAAAGAATATAATTCACCTCAAGAATATATTGAAATTAAAACAAGAGAAATATTATCTTATCAAAATTCATCTAAATTTAAATCAAGTATGGATTTGGTTGTTGAAGAGCAAGATTCACAATTGATTAAAAAAGCAATTATTGGAAACAAGGGTGATATTGAACCAGTAACAAAGAAAAAGAAAATAGCAATAATGACATCCGGAGGTGATGCTCCAGGTATGAATCCTGCAGTAAGAGCAGTAGTAAGAGCAGCTTTATATCATGGATGTGAGGCATATGCGGTTTATGAAGGATATGAAGGATTAGTTAAAGGTGGTGAATTATTAAAAAGAATGGAATGGTCAGATGTAAGATCATTTTTATCATTAGGAGGAACAGCAATTGGTACAGCAAGATGTAAAGAATTTAGAGAAAGAGAAGGAAGATTAGCAGCAGCTTTTAATATGGTTGAAAATGGAATTGATGCTTTAGTAGTTTGTGGAGGTGATGGTTCATTAACTGGTGCTGATTTATTTAGAAGTGAATGGCCTTCTTTAATTAAAGAATTATTAGATACTGGAAAAATAACTCAAGAAAAAGCAAAACTTTTTAAAACCCTTACAATTGTTGGATTAGTTGGATCAATTGATAATGATATGTCAGGTACAGATGTTACTATTGGGTCTTATTCAGCATTGGAAAGAATAACTGAAATGGTTGATTATATTGGAGCTACTGCTGCTTCTCATTCAAGAGCATTTGTAGTTGAAGTTATGGGAAGACATTGTGGTTGGTTAGCATTATTATCTGGAATGGCTACAAGTGCAGATTATGTATTTATACCTGAATCACCACCAAAAGCAAGTGAATGGAGAAATGATTTAAAAGCTGTTTGTACAAGACATAGAAAATATGGTAGAAGAAAAACTACAGTCATAGTTGCTGAAGGAGCAATTGATGATGAATTGAATCCTATTACTAGTGAAGAAATTAAAAAAGTATTAGTTGACTTAGGATTAGATACAAGAATTACAATTTTAGGTCATGTTCAAAGAGGTGGAACTGCAGTAGCTTATGATAGAAGACTAGCTACTTTACAAGGAGCTGAAGCTGTGAAAGCAGTTTTAGAAACAACACCAGAAACACCTTCACCAATGATTGGAATATTGAAAAATAAAATAGTAAGAGTACCATTAGTTGATGCTGTAAAACAAACAAAAGCAGTAGCGGAAGCAATTGAACATCAAGATTTTAAAAAGGCAATGAGTTTAAGAGATGCAAATTTTTATGATGCATATAAATATTTTTGTTCAATAACTTATTTTGATGATGGTTCAAAACAATTAAATGAAAATAAGAGATTAAATATAGCAGTTATTCATGTTGGTGCAGCATCAGCAGGTTTAAATGCAGCGACTAGAGCAGTAGTATTACAAAGTATATCAAGAGGTCATAATCTTTTCGCTATAGAAGATGGGTTTTCAGGATTAATTGAAGGTAGAATAAAAGAATTAAAATGGTTAGATATTGAAGGATGGCATAATAGAGGTGGAAGTGATATAGGTACAAACCGTTCACTACCCTCTAAAAATTTTGGTAAAGTTGCTTATTATTTACAAAAATATAATATTCAAGGATTATTAATTATTGGAGGATTTGAAGCTTTTACTTCATTACATGAATTACATGATGAAAAACCAAATTATCCAATATTTGATATACCAATGGTCGTTTTACCTGCAACTGTTTCAAATAATGTTCCTGGTTCTGAATATTCTTTAGGATCTGATACATGTTTAAATCAATTAGTAACATATTGTGATGCAGTTCAACAATCTGCTTCATCAAGTAGAAGAAGAGTATTTGTTGTTGAAGTTCAAGGTGGTCATTCTGGTTATGTTGCATCATATTGTGGATTAATAACTGGTGCATTAGCTTCATATACTCCAGAAAGTAAAATTAATTTAACAGAATTACAAAGAGATATTGAATTATTATTTAAAGTATTTCAAGCAGATAGAGGAGAAGATCATAATGGTAAATTAGTTATTAGAAATGAACAAGCATCAACTGTATATTCTACAGAATTAATAGCTGATATAATTAGAGAAAATGCAAATAAAAGATTTGAAACAAGAACAGCTATACCAGGTCATGTACAACAAGGTTATACTCCAACTGCTTATGATAGAGTAACAGCAATAAAATTTGCTTTAAAAGCAATGGAATTTTTAGAAGAATGGAATAATTGTGTTGATAAAACTGAAATTAAAATAGATGATGCTGAAGTTGAAAGACATAATGCTGTAGTTATTGGAATACATGGTGATGCAACTGAATTTACAAGTGTTAGACATTTATATGAAAATGAAGCTGATGTTGAATTAAGAAAAGGAAAAACTGTTCATTGGAAAGATATGATTGAAGTAGGGGATATGTTGAGTGGTAAATCTTTATTGAAAAGAGAGGAGGAATATTACTAATATAAAAGGATGATCGACGATTTTTTTGATGATTGGATAAATTTATACGAAACTAAATACATTTATTTGATATCCTTATTGATTGATATAGTGAATGGACCGTTAATGTAAAGATGATTTTACGAATATTTGATGAACTAATCAGTTGAACTCCGTTACTTTTTGAATTCTATGGTCTTGGTTATAAAACTTTTTTATTAAATTGACTCCGTTAATTGTTCGGTGTTTAACACCAAAACATATGGATATGAAGTGAACACAATTTACTAGTTTAAACGATAAAACGAATGCGACAGAGTGGCAAACACTTACAGGCTCAACGAAAGACTAATTAACAAATGTGGAACTCACATTTAGAAACAAAATGGAACAGGTTGCAAAAAATATAATCCCGAATACCGTAATTTTTAAAGATTCTTTCCTCGTTATTGGTATTTCTCTTGGTTGCCAATAGTAGCTATACTTGTATCATAAATTTTCTTAGTACGTGAAGTGAATATTTATTCTTGGGAAATACTCTCTTATTCATTCATTTTACTCCTGAAAAAGAAAACAAATAACCTTCGATTTTATTAAAACTTAATTCGTCCTGCGTAAGAAAAATGAACCTCGCCCTGGACCTAACATAATAAAGTATGAGGCAAGTTTAACCTTATTTTTAATTTAATTCTAGCGAAAGAAGGAGAAATTTCTTCGTCTAGTATTATAGAAACGAAATTTTGATAGAGAAGTCTAGTCGTCAAGACATTATCGACATTCAAAGACTACTGAAACCCGTTGTGAATATTTTTTATACATCTATGAACTACTTCCAGACCTTGTCCTCTTTGACCTTATAGTAGTAACCATCGAGCCCTCCCCAAAATTATTTTCTCATGTTTTTGCTAAATGTTTTTACCAAAAATGAGTCTCAACTATTGGATCGTTTATAATCATCTCTAAATTTTCAAGCAAGACTGTACTTCAAAAATCAGATGTTGAACTAAAGCCTATGTTTTTGAGAGATCTTTATGATATTTATCGCAATAAGTCACATTCCAATTAAACCATTTGCCACTCTCACTGCTCCTTTTCATCTACAATAATCAACTGGATAATGCTTTAGTTGAATTCAAATTCAATGACGACAAAAACGACATAATGATGTTTTAAAGTTTGTCGAGATTTATAACGTTTATTATTTTAACAAATTAATTTACTTGCATGCATATATACCACTTATAGTTAGGCTAAATTAATAAGGTAAAACCCATGACGTAAGAATACACCAGCAATTTTTTAAGCGACTTACTTATAATTGTAAGATTGTGTAATATCACCAACAACAGATATGTTACTTAGACATTTTTTAGAACGGAATTTTGACTAAATATAAGCTAAGATTTACGTTGGGTCTGTCAGAAAATAAATCTTAGAATGTTTGTAAAGGTAATGAGAAAATATAGGATTATCATTTGCTTTAATTGGACTGCTTAATCAAATATTTCGATCAAAAAGAGAAGAGGTGCAAACGAATCTAGTGGATGATACTTCGAGGCAAGGTGGAAAATGTCTCGAACTAAAAAGTTTCAAATCTCGATTTAGTCAATCAGATGGAAGTTGAATTCCGGAATTTACTGTAAAGACTAAATATTAAACATTTCAACATTCAAACATTCCATTCCAAATTTTATTCCCCACATGATTAAAATAACAATCTTTTCAATAAATTGGATGTCCCAAGTACGCTACTGTTATACAACAAATCCGCAGCAATTTATTGTTCAAATTTTAAGGTTTTGAAAACTGTAAGGGAATTTTGCTGGTTTATCAATAGTATTGAGACATTGAGATAATTTTGAGCCCAAACATATCACTTATAACTCTATATCTAACAATAACATATTTATTTTTTTATTTCTTTTTGTTGGTTTGAAAATTATGTATCAATGTCGCCTCAATGAACAATCATCGATGATCCCACTCTTTTTCCCTTTTTTTCAGTGAAGGTGAAATAAAAATTGTTGATACATTTCCTTAATTTTCAGTTTGTTTATGTTTATTTCGGGATCTTAACTTTAATTATTTGTTGATCTTTTTCAATTTTTCATCAAAACTAAATTTTGGTTTAACCGCGAGAATTTGAAACTTTGGATTATTGAACAATTCCCTTGATGAAATGTCTTGATTATTTTTGTTCTATTCTTTTGTATTTTTAATTTACGCCTTCATGGACCTGCTTTTCATTTGTTTTAATTGAGCATATCCTTGAAATAGTAGTTGCCTTGTACTTAATATCTACATATTTGTTATTTGTGTTGAGGCTCACAAAATCTGAATTATACATTTCTAGTGATGAAACCTTCTTTTTTTGTACTATCTAATAACGACATTTTTAAATTTACAAATACTTAGCCAGTTTTGGTATAGAGATAAATGGAACAGATGAAGAAGATAGGAAGTAAGCAGTACTAACATCTTCAAAAATTGTAATAACGTACACTAAAGTTATCCCGTTTTATTGGGTGAGACTAGACATTTACATTTACATAGTACATTTACTATTTTATTGTCCTCCAGTTTTTTTTTTTTCTAACGGCACTTTAACAATTTTTTCATTATCATTTGAACATTAACGTAGATTGTTCTTCTTTGATATAACATCGGCTTATTTCTTATCTATTGTTTTAAATGTTTTGATTGTTTATTGTGTTGTTGACTTTTCTACTTGTTCTGGAAGTGGAATAATTCCGGTTATTGTCTTATTTTTACTTGTTATTTCCGTGTCTTCTTGAGTTTTGCATGTAATTTGTAACATTCTTCGACACAAACTTTAAATTTTCATCGACCTAAAGTAGCTCGAGTTTACGTTAAAGGTGGTCCAAATTATTTGGTTTGTGTGTGGACAACGACTTTTCTTTGTAAGAAAGGTCAGAAATATTTAAGCTATACTCATCAGTGATGTCAGTGTTGAACTAAATTAGAACTGGAAGAACTTGACAACCTGCATTTTCATAGTTTAAGTTTAACATGTTAGTTTAGACGAACGTTTCTTCCAACTCAGCTCAATTGTTGACCTATACTCCATTTTGAAATTTGATTTACAAATATGTAAATTTGTAAATCATTTGTGGAAAAAAAATAGAAGACTGGATTTGGTTGAAATTTAATATTACTTGCATAGAAAAAATGAGCAGGTACAGAAGGATTATTTTGGTTCCTTATTCTTAATTTTAAATTTTATCATTAATGAAATACTCAAAGCTGGTTGGTAGTAGATTAGGTAAGAGTCAAATTTATATGATCTTTATCATTCAACTTAGCCTTTAGTAAACGGACTTGAAATTAATTGATGATTTCACAATATACAATAGACTGAGATTCAATTGTTTAAATGCAAGATCTAAAAAAGTATAATTAAGCTTTCAATTCAATTACTTCCACTTCTTTATCGATAAGGTGTTCTTGTAAATGGTCCATAGAATCAGAATGATCCACGTTGATATGGAAAGAAATGGAACACACTCTTATGCTCTTGTAGTTTAGTTGATTGTTGATAAACTCAAAAATGTGCGATTATATGTATCAATTTTGAGCATTATAATGGTTCTAAGTTCCATCTATTCTCAATATTATAGATTCATAATAATATCATAACCTTATAAATTGATTCAAAACGCCTAATGATTTTAACTTTGAATAAGATCATAATTACACTTGTTAAAACAATAGCTAAGTTTCTTACATTTCAGGACATGCAATCCAAAAGTGAGTGAATGTAGTTGAGTCTTAATTTAGCTGAGGACTTAAACTTCAAATCAATCATTTTATTTTTAAGCTTTCTCGAGTCCACTTATTCCTGTTTCAGTTAGTGCTTTCTTCCGTAACTGAATCTGATTACTTTTATTCAATTTTAATATGTTTTGAATTTTATGTAAAGGGGTTTATTTGGTGTAAATAACCGCTTAAATTATAGTACGACATTTTCTACCTAAAACAACTCTCGCTTAATACTTTTCCCACATTTTCTTAATGAGATAAGAATTAACCAAGAACCAAATGATATGAATAAGGTGATGGCTTGCTGATTGATATTAATTTTGTGATTTGATAATGAGTAACAAAACATCTTAAAACTCAGTGAAACCAAGTAACTAAATGAAAAAAAAGTGATAATATAAGACATTGATTATTTTCTCTTATTGTTAACTTCCTTTTTGTTTTAACTTCTGCACCTAACCTTACTTGTTCTTCTTATTCTTCTGATTCTTCTCTAAAGTACTTCTTCTTCTTAACTAGAATTCATAATATTTTAGTATACTTTACAGTTTATATTTACCTTGGATACATTACATACATTACATACATTTCGTTACTTGTTATTACTACTAGTACTACTACTCAATTCAATTCTTCCGACTTTTGTTCTTCTTCTTCTTCTTTTTCTTCTTCTACCTAAGAAAATGTTTGATTACCTAAAATAGTTTTTGGTTTTAGTTAGTTGGTTTGAAAATTAAAATTCATTTTCCAGTTGGTGCCACTTGTTTAATTTATTAAAATGTTCATTAAAACTGTAATTTATTGTTGTGTTATTGTTCTGTATTAGTACCTTATACTTATTGTAGTTACTATTGTAATAAGCTTGTTATATAATTAAGAAATGGTATTTGGAGTATAATACTTTAAAATTTACTTGTTAAAAACCAAAAATAAAAAAATAGAATTTTACATCTACTTTTACTGTTACTTTGAATCTTAACTCATCTATTCAATCTACCAGAGCCCAACACCTAAAGAAGGGTCCACACGCCCCTGTAATTAGTCATTTTCAATCATTATTATCTACAATATCTCACTTAATCAAACATCATCTATTATTACGAAGATAATTTCAAAATTTTTTTTCACAAAAAGAATAAGAATTATTAAATATTTTTTTCACTTGAAATTAAGGTATCTACAAGAATACTTAGCCTCCACTTCTCCTTTCTTTCTTTCATCAATCTATTATTTAACGACCACGGAGTTGATAGGAGGATATCATAGCTATTTTTGATTCAAATTTATATCACCATTAAAAAAGTATTGCTCAAATTAATATATAAGAAAAGATAAATCATTAAGTTAGATTTTGTCATACATTTTCATATCACAATCTATTCATTTTCAACGATAGATACTAGTTGTTCCAAATATAGTAGATTTCAGACTTCATAAAATCATCAATATCAGATTTAATCAGGTTACATCGTCAAAGCGAGTTAAATCATCTTAATATTCAAGTCCGAGATTAAATCTACTACTAATTTAAACTCCTATTCCTTTTCCACAATTCATTAAATAATAATAATTATATCAGTAAATATTATAATACTTTGGGGGAAACAGAATTTGAAAAGAACAAAATATTTTAAAAGAAAAGACTATTGAGTAATTTAGATTATTATTTCAATTAACGAGTATTTTTTTCAACCACATTATTTGGAAAGAAATTATTTTTTATTACTAAGATTCTTGTAAATTAAAGAAAGCTTGTGAAGTTTAAAATTTGAAAAATTAGTGTTTTGGAAATAGTCAAAGAAATTCTTCAGATCAATTTGAATCCTTCTATTTCATATATTTTAATTTAAGATCTTAGTCGTCAATTCCATTAAAATAAGCGAAGAATAAGCAATTAATTAGTTTTTCCAGGGTAAAGATAACATTATCAATTAAAAAAATAATACTTTATCTATTGTATCACCTGTTCAATATCAAGAAAATTTTCGAAGATACATACATTTAGTTTTTAATGAAAGTGACGACAATAACATTTATATTTCAAAATTACCATATACAACATTTATTTGATCAATTTATATAACAACCAAATTAATTATTGTATCACATAGAATAGCAAAAGAATAGGAAATTCAAATATTTTTCGATCAATACATTGTTTAACGACAAAGACAGTAGGGTGAAAGATTTTAGAAACATCAAATTAGAATAGACTATCATTATTAAATTTAGAATTACAATAGAAGTGGAAAATCAATTAATTTACTAATAGAACTTATCTCCAAAAAATCAATAAGAGGACTAAAACAATTTCATATAAAATGACGAAAAAGAACCAAGGAGAAGCAAGAATCAAGAAAAATGCATTTGTCCATAAATTATATACAATGTTGAGTGATCCAACTCTAGATAATTTAATATGGTGGAGTCATAATAATCCAGAAAATAATACATTTTCATTATACCCAGGTAAAGAATTTGCAAATTGTCTAACTAGATATTTTAAACATGGTAATGTTGCAAGTTTTGTACGACAGTTACATATGTATGGATTTCATAAAGTAAGCGATCCTAATAATAATAATAATCACAATAATAATGGAGGTAATGCTAACGTTTCTAACAATACAGCTTTACTAAATAGTATGAATCCAAATTATATGGTTCCTAATTTACAAAATGGTTATGATTACTCAAATGTACCGAATTATGATAACAATCAATATAATAATTTACATAATTCAGATTATTTGGAAAAAGAAGTACCACCTATATGGGAATTTAAACATCTGAGTGGTAAATTCAAAAAGGGTGATGAAAATTCTTTAATTTATATAAAAAGAAGGTCAAGTTCAAATAATAATTCAAGAAATAATAGTTATAGTAATGAAAATAGTAATAAGAATCATAGAAATAATAGTGCTCCATCATCATCATCTTCATCATCAGGGTTTCAGCAGCAACAACAACCACATTTAAGTGCAGAATATCCACAATATCCACAATATCCTCCTTTTCATAATGAACAAATACCGCATCATCTACAACATCCACAATATGATCCTCAACAATTTTTTCATGGTCAACCTCAGCAGCAAATACTACCACAACAACAACCTTATCCTCCACAATATCAACTACAAGGAGCTCCACCACAAATGTACTATAGTCAACAAGATAATCAATTTCGTCCACCTGTTCAAAACCAACCTCCTCCTGTTTTTCAATATGGATTTGAAAACAATCAACCATCCCAAATTGTTTATCCTCAACCACCACAAACTTTTGTTCAAAACCCAGTACAGAATCAACAACCACAACAATTTTATCAACATCAAGGTGGAGCTTTATCAACTGGTTCAATTCCACATCCTCCTAATCAACCTCAACAAATTGTACAAAATGTAGTACCTGATCAAAGAATTAAAACACCAGTCAATTATACACCAAATTTACAATTTAGAAAAGTTTGGGATGATCATGGTTCAAGACAGAGAAATCCTTCATTATTATTTGATCCTTTAGCTCCAATACCTCAACCACCATCATCAACAACAACCACAATTCCATCAAGTTCAACACCTCCAACTATTTTGAATCTACCTCTGAAGTCAAATCCATCAATTGCAACTAGCCTTGTAAATAAATCAAAAGATTTTGATTCATCATCATCTCCTTCATCTTCATTATCAAGACAATCATCAAATGTACAAAGACCAAGTAACATTAGTTTAAATTCAACTTCAACTTCTCAATCAACTGTATTACAATCTCCTGCTCAAGAATTTGATTCAAGAAAAACTTCAATTGTTACACCTATAGTTGCACCTATACCTCATTATAAGAAAAGTATATCATCAACTACATCATCCAATGACATTAATCCAGCACCTTCAGCCTCACCAACTACTAAAATTGTAAATGATAATAGTGCTACACATTCAACTTCATTGCCTCCAGTATCTGCATTTCAATCACAACATTCTAATACGTCATCACAAACCCAAGATCAACAGCAACAAAGACCACAACCTATAACTCGTCCGTCATTTTCCAAAAAACCATCAATACTATCTTCATCGTTACAAGAAAGATTAAGACCATCAGTTTTTGAATTGCACGCAGCACAAAAAGGAGGAGGTACATCATCAACTAGAAATAATAGTGGTAGTGGTGGTTTTTTCCATTCTAATTCAATAACAAATGGAGGTAATAGTGGATCAGGTTCAATTGGCTCTCATTCATCATCTTCAATATTTTCTAATAAATCATCAATATCATCCATGCATTCTTTTCAACGTACTTCTTCATTTGGTTCCATAATATATAATAATAAAAGTTCAATATCAGTTGCACCTCATGAAATGATTGAAGATGCTAGATCTGGTACTCCACAATCTCCAATGTCAATACTGCATTTACAAAATCAACAACCTCAATCAATTACAACTACATCGAATCAAAGTCAACAACAACAAAGTTATTTTTCATCTTCTTTTCAACAACCACAATTATCTCAACCACCAATTAATAGATCTAAATCATCAAGACCTACAACACCAATTCAAAATCGATCTAGTTCACCATTATCAAAATCAATTTTTGAACCATCAACCACTTCAAATTCAGCGTCAACTACAAAACCAAATAAAAAAGTATCTGTTACATCTCTACTAGATGATTCAATTCAAAAAGATAATCATTCATTATCTAGATCATCATCTCCAAAATCAGTGTTAACTAATTCAATATCAAATGTTGTTGTTGCTAATACAAAAGATGGTAAATCAATAAATCATCAACCATTATATTTATCGCTGGTTATTACAGAAGAAGATAAAAATGGATCATCATCAAGATCAGGAAGTGAAGATGATATAAAGAGAAGAAAAGTTGTTTAATTGAAGGGTCTATGATTTCATAAAATAAACATAGGTAAAAGAAAAGCATCTCAAAAATTACAAATATATTCAATTTCAGTTCTTAAAATGTTGTAAAATTAAAATAATGTGTTTCAAATTTCAGTTTCAAATGTTTTTTTGTTTTTTTTAAATTATTACTATTATTATAATTATTAATGTGTGTGTGAGTTTTAAAAAGTTTGAATTATTAAATTTAATTTAATGTGATTTTATGTGATCAACAAATCTCTAATTGATCTCTTTATTGAATCATTCGACACTATTCTGAAATTTCATCACTATAGTTTTACGAATGTTGATAAAAAAGAAATTATTATATCAGTTGTAAGATATGATTTACTTAGACTAAAAATTATACCGGATTTAAATTGATTAAAAAGTATTCGAATTCTGTTGTTAGACTTGTTGATTTAAGTTTCTCAAACAGCAATAAACACATATAATAATTTAAATTATTATTTTAGTTCTAATTTCACCGGTTTAAAAAGCATTGTTGTGCGTTCCTGATTATTCTTCAATGTGTGTTGAGTTGTTTATGAACTATTCTGATGTCAGTATTACTCTAATTTTTCTACTTATTTGGCTGGGAATCTGATGGTTGCAAATTTAAATTCGTTTATAGCAAAATGGCTAAGAATCTGACACATCAAAGCAATTTTTGGAAAAATTTATCAAAAAAAAATCCAAAGCGTACCCAAATAGCTCAAATGAACAATTTGTTGACGTTCTTTCAAATTTTTCGATGGTAATTGATCTGTTGATAAAATGATACGAGATGTTTCAGATTTATACGCTCAAACGATCCGAACTTTTAATATCAGTGGCATTGGTAGCGAATTTCTCAAGTTTGTATTATTAGATGAGATCAAAATTGTTATAAGATTGAAAAACGGTTGCCAAAACGGTCTAATACAATCACCGATCCATGATTCTATAAAGCATTAATACCCCAATTCCATGATAGAGAACAATGATTACACGACATTTAAATCTTAATAAAAATTTTACAAGGTTGATACGACAGTTTTCCACTCAAAATATATGTTTTAATGAAAAATCACCAACAACTTCTCCAGAAATAGAATTACCATATGATAAATCCAAAAGAATCTTCTTAAAACCTGGCCAAATCAGAAATAGAAAAAGAAAATCCAACAAAACCAAATTAACATCACCTCCTTCCTCCTCAAGTATACTACGACAATCAATAAAACAACCACCTAAAGTAAATCTAAATATATTCTCTGAGATATATGAGAATAAATTAAATTCAGTGAATGAAGATGGGGACTTATTCAAGCATATAGCCAGTTTCAAACCATTCGAGAAAACTATAGGATTAAAGCGATTTGATAATTTGAAAAAAAATCTAGATGATTCATTTACAAAAACTCAACTTTTAAAATATGTAAATAACTTAACGACTTCAAAAAAGCTTACCAAAAAGACAACAAAGAATGATTTAATTGAAAAATTGATATTAAATTATTGGAAAATAAATAAATCAACAGACTCTAAATCAATTAGTAATGAAATAATATTAAATAATAGAGTATTTGATTTAACTCCAGAAGAAAGATTTCTAATTGAACCTATTAGATCAAAATTTTTGAAAAATTTAGTAAATTCTTTAAATTTGAATTTAAATTTTACAAATACAAAATTAATAGTTTCTGGTATGACTTCAAATTTAAATTTTTTTGAAGCTGAATTAGTATCCTTCAAAAATAACTTAAAATATGAAGAAATTACAATACCGAACTTTATTAATTTGAATGATTTAAATTTTGGTAGAATATCGAAAACTTCATCTGTATTTTTCAAAGAAATACAAAATAATAAATATCAAATAATTGCAAATTCATTAAGTAATATTGACCTAGCTAAAAGATTAATTTCTTGGTCAATTGATAAAAATCCTCATGTAAAGACTACATACTTTAATGAAGATCAAATGGATAATAGAACTTGTATCCCATATTTAAACAATGATATTTGGTCATGGTATGATAAACAATTTCAATACTATCATATTTCCAAAGATACTGTGGATGATAAAAAACCTGGTAGGTTATTTGGTAATGAAATAATATTTGAAAAATTTGATAAGATGAATGATAATCATTTGAACCTGAAACATTTGGATGACTTAATTGATACTAATTTATCTTTAAAATTCGAGGAACCTAATGCAGATGATTATGTTGATAAATCTATTTCGGATGATATATTAAATATGTTTAAAGGGGTCAAACCTTCAAATCATGCAGAATCTGAATTCAATTTAGATAAAGTAATACAAAATAGAGCGAATTCAGCAAACCTAAATTCCGATAATGATCCCAAACATCTTAACCTCGAAGAACTTAGACATGAATTAGGTAAATTTTCAGAACAAGAATATGATCCAAATGAATTTCCAGATGTTTCAAATTTAATAGTTGACGTTGAAGGACAAGACCAAAATAAAAACAATGATCAAATAATTGATAATTTGAGAACAGAGCTAGGAGCATACGGTGAAGAAGATTCTAGTTTAGGATTATTTGATGACTTGTTGGAAGATACAGATACATTTACAACAACTCCAGCTTCTGTAGTAGAAGAACCAAAATTACAACCAGTAAAGGAGCATCCTATTTCAGAGCGGGTAAACAAATTTGACTCACAATTTACAGATGATCAAATAAAAACAATATATGACAAACTAAATGATACTAGTTTCACTAATGATTTGAAAGGCACGTCGAAAGAATCAGAATTATATTCTGCATTTACGATACAATTCGGCTCATTATTGTTGAAAAAACCTAAATTAAATAATGATTTATTACCACCTCCACTTAAAGTGACAACAAGTGAAAACAATCAATATAAACTTTTGACAAATGTTCCCTTTTTGAAAGATCAAGTGATAAACTTACCTGTATTATACAATAATGGAACCCAGATCTTCACAAATAAAGTTCAAATTAATCTAAGTCCATCGATTTTCAAGAATTCTGATTTAAAGGATGTTAATAAATACCCATCAATTGAAATTCAAGTTGAGTTAAATGATTGGGGTCAATTGAAATTAGAAAGTTTGAAAATTTTGTCAATAGAATCTATGAATCAAGTTGATGTATTTTGTCCAAATATGATTTATGATTTGAGAATTTCAAAATTAAGTATCGGTGATTTATTACAACCACAAGGAACTATTCAACAAATTGAAAGCCAAAAAGATGATAATTCAATTGATGACAATTATAAAATGTTTCAAAATCAACCGGATTTAATCAATTTTCTTAAAAACTCAAACTTGAATTTCAGTTCAAATTCCAAATCTAAAATTAATGTACCAAATTCAGTCAATTTACAAATTAATGGTGTCAATGTCATATATGACTTCTTACATTTAACATATGAAACAGATTTAAATTTTGAATTTGCAGGAAATAAAGAAATAATATTAAGTATAATTGAAGGTGGATCATTAAATGGTAAAACATTTGAAATTTTAATTGGTGAAAATGGAAATTTAAATGAAAAAGAGTTCAAAACATTTATAAATGATGCTATTCAATTTTTGAATGAACTTTCTTAAAAAAAGAGACGTTAGCATATACGACTTATGAGATAGAACTATTTTATATTTTTGATTCTGTAAATACATGTATAAATATACAATCTTATATACACATAATTTCATCTACCCACAATCAACAAGTAGATCTAGCACCAACAATCTTCTAAGATATTTTCGTAATTTTTCAGAACCTAATAGAATTTATTTTTTTTCTTCGAGTGATTTGACATGTTTTTCCAAAGAATCAATTGAATTTTGTAAAGCAATTATATCGGCAACCACAACGGTATTTGCAAAATTATATTGATCCAACAAATAATAATACGATGCTGCTCCAGTAGCTGTTACTCCTAATAAGAATCCAATAAATCCACCTCTAAATGCACCTACTTTTTTTGTTTTTATAACGGGTGCTGTTGTTGTTACAGTATTGAAACGTAATTGTTGTAATGTTGATGATTTTAAAGTTGATATTATTGGTTTTTGAAACTGACGTGATAACATGTTTTGCAATTGATGTGTGTGTTTTTTATAAGATTTGATATGCTATGTGAATGATTCTAATTTTTGAAACCTGGAGTTGTTAAAATAAATATCATGAGGATTTTTCCTATATTAACTGTAATTTCGGGTCATATCAAAGCACTACCATATGAAATTGAATTTTACACTAATAACCGAATACTAAAATCAATACGAGAAACCAACATTGAGCATCCTGATATAAAGCAATTTCTCTCAAATTACACACTGACAAGAAAGTTCAAGAATATTGATCATCATAACTATCAATAGTAGCAGAGTGTTTATCATAAATTTCCTGTGCAAACTCAAGAGTTTCTATAGCGCTACCAATGAAAAATATGAATATAGTTAATGGCAGAACCATTTGATATGACAGCGGTATCCAAACTCGAAGCAAGTTCCCTTTTACTATTGGATGATAAACATTGAGCTCAACTTCAACACTTCAAAGTTAGAGAAAATAAGGAGAGAAAAATGTTTACTATTCGACTTTATAAATGAGTAAAATCAATGACTTGAAGTTTGACGAAAGTCTATCACATACTGATTCTTAGCTACATGAACAAAGTTTTGTCTTTTTGATCAACATCTATCAGATAATCTTAATTCTAGACTTTGTCTCGGTATATCAAAAGTTTGAATATTGATAACACCATTAGTATTTTATATCTAAAACATGATTTCCTTTGAATTACTTTTAAATCGATTCTAATGTTTTATCTTAGATGTCTTTAAGTATTTAAATCTCCATTTGTAATCATGAAACAAGTATGATTAATAACCAAGTGGTTTTTATTACATTCGGATTATCGGATCATTATTCATTACACCTTTATTGTTAATCCTTTACTAACATGTGTTGAACTTTATTCAAATTTTTATCGGGTTTCCCTTTTTCTATCCCGTCAATCTTACAGATACTGTTGAGTCTGAATTTTGTTCCGATGATGATCATCTGAATTCAACGCTGGTGGTCCTTCGGTTTGCCATGATCTACAAGAATCCTTAACAAAGTGAACTAACCAGACCCCATAAACATTTTAAAGGGTCTCTTTGATGCCTATGGTCTTCTGATTCATTCACTTTGCAAAGGATGAAATCGTCTCATTTGTAAGTCATGACAAGCTGAAAGCACAGCATAAGACCTCAAGTAAGATATAGGCAGCATAACCAGTAAAATTTCAACTCAGAAGTGTTCCACTCTTTTAAAATCATGAGCAAGCAACATAGCTTTAAATCATTCATCATCTTGATTAAGCTCAAAGACCACAATGGGTGACTTAAGAGTTCAATGAGCAAACAAGTTTCATCACCAGTTTTTTCTTCGAAATCCATGACCAGCGCGGTTGAGGAAGCATTTTAGCACTTAACTCGATCATTTTTCCATTGCACTTATGTATAAATCTACTGAATTCACTATTCCAAATATCCATGAGCAAGCAAATATTGACAAACGAAGGAGATTTAAACCATTGAATCACTTATATCTGTTAATGCTGAAATGTAGACAGTAATTTGAACAGTTTAATGACTTCCATATCATTTGAATTCTTATTTTTGGTTCCATTAAGTAGTATTGGCAGGAGACGAATAATTCATCATCAAAAACTTGGATAACTCGTATCATCGAAAGAAGAAGAGCTAATCTTATGAGATGAAGTGAAAAATAATAATGAAGATAATATACAATCGGAATTAAGATTTATCAGCGAAAAATCCATTGTGATATCGCGCTAAATTCTACACAAAATTCTATCTTAATGTGAAGTTGCTCTGAATGATTACTCAATTGCCGTTATTTAGCAGTTTTCAATTCTCATCATTTAATCGAATAGCATAAGCTTGCATTATGGAATGTTCCAAAGGTCATTATGCTTTAAAAATTATAAATTATTAGTTCGGAGTAATTCAATAAGATCTTATCTGAATCTAACAATTAATAATGTCAAAAGACAGATACCACCACCACCAAAAAAATCCAAATTTTTCAAAAAGTTAATCATAACCACAACTGCAATAGGTATTACTGGAGGAACAATATATATAATAGATAAAGAATACAATTCAAGTCTAATAACAAGATCAATTCGAGCGTTATATGTTTTATTATGGATTGCTTATGAATATGGATATAATTCTAAAAATTATAAAGATTTAAATGAATTACATGAAATTGCAAGTGAAAAATTATTACAAATGTTAACTTTAAATAAAGGTTTATATATAAAATTAGGTCAAGCAATAGCAAATCAAGGTAATTTATTTCCCAAAGCATTTCAAGAAAAATTTCCAAAATTATATGATGAAGCACCATTTGATTCATGGGATAAAATGAATAAAATTTTAGAAAAAAATTTAGGACAAGATTATGAAACTAAATATTTTGATTGGATTGATCATAAACCTATAGCAAGTGCATCTATAGCTCAAGTTCATAAAGCAAAATTTAATTCAAATTTTGGTTCAAAAGAAATTGCATTAAAAATTCAACATGATTATATTGAAAAACAAGTAGTTGTTGATTTATTAATTTATAAATTTATAAATAAAATTTATGAAAAAGTTTTTGATGTTCCTTTAAGTATGTTTTCAAATTATGTTTCTGAACAATTAAATAAAGAAACTAATTTTATAAATGAAATGGAAAATGCTGAAAAATTGACAAAATTTATAGAAAATGATTCAACTTTAAAAAATTTAAATATTAAAATTCCTGAAAATTATCCTGAATTAACTACTCGTCAAGTATTACCTGCTGAATGGATTAATGGTATTTCATTAACTGATAAAAATAAATTAATTAAAAATGGATTTGATTTAAAACAATTAATGAATCAATATATTATATTATTTGGTAGACAAATTTTTAATTATGGATTTGTACATTCTGATCCTCATCCAGGTAATTTATTAGTAAAATTTGATGACAAAGGTAAACAACAACTTGTATTATTAGATCATGGATTATATATTACATTAAATGAACAATTTAAATTACAATATTGTCAATTATGGAAAGATTTATTTATATTAAATATAAAAGGAATAGAAAGAATAGGTAAACAATGGGGGATAAATTCAACAAGTATATTTGCAACAATAGTTTTATTAAAACCAATAAAGCCTAATAAAACCGATGAAAGTACTGAAAAACTGGATGTATCTGATTTACTCAAGGATTTAATTGGTGATAAATCAAAATTTCCAATGGAATTACCATTTTTAGCAAGAACAATGAGAATGATTCAAAATATAAATCAACAATTTGGATCACCTGTAAATAGAATTAATTTATTAACTAATCAAGCTATAAATGAAATTTATTCAAATGATAAAAAGCTATCAATTAGTGGAATAATAGAAATTTATAGAATCAAATTTAGTATGTTATTTTCTGGTATTATATTTGGAATTATAAGATTTAGTCAATGGATTAGAGGTGATTCTAAGCAAAGTAAAGGATTAGAAGATTATATTGAAATGTATATGCAAAATACAGCTAAAAATTTGGGTATTGATTGGTCGTGATAGAAGATAGAAAGGAGTTATTTATAGGTTAATTTGTAATATATTGTAATAGAACTGTAAATCAAACTTTGTAGACTATAGAGTAATGGTTCTCTTGTAATGCTCATCGAATATTCTAAATTTGGTGCACAAAAAAAAAGATTGATTTTGTTGCAAAATAAACCAAGTCAAATATATCAAATCATCTAACAAACTTATACCCATCAACTGCACTTATAATGGATTTGAAGACAACATATATACACGAGGAAACAGAGCCAATATATGTAGGAGGAACCAGTGCAACAATATCAACCTCAGATGGAAAATACTTAGTGACTCCATTAAATGAAGATGTTATAATAACAGACCTAGAAACTAATGAAATATATCATAAAATACCTGGTGATGATGAAGATGAAAATATAACAAGTCTATGTATAACTCCCAATGGTGAAAACCTAGCCATATGTTCACAATCTCAACAACTTCGAATATTTAATTTACCTTCAAAAACAATAATAAAAACTTTTAAATTATCATCACCTGTATATATATCAACAGTAGATTCAACATCTACATTATTTGCATTTGGAGGATCTGATGGAGTAGTAACAGTATGGGATATAGAAGGTGGATATATTACTCATTCTTTAAAGGGTCATGGTACTACAATTTGTTCAATAACAATATATGGAGAATTAAATAATTTAAAAAGTTGGAAATTAGCAAGTGGTGATACAATGGGAACTGTTAAAATATGGGATTTATCTAAAAAGAAATGTTTACATACTTTAAAAGATCATAATACTGCTGTAAGAGCAGTATCTTTTAATTCAAATGGTGAAATTTTTTTAACTGGTGGAAGAGATCAAATTGTTATTATATATAATACAAAAAATTTTAAACAATTATTTACTCATCCAATAAATGAACAAATTGAAGCAAGTGGATTTATTGATTATATAGGTGGGAAAGAATTTTTTTATACTGGTGGATCTAATAATATATTAAGAATTTGGAATGTTAAATCTGGTCAGTTAATGGCTCAATCTCCTCAACCATTAAAAACAAATGAAGAATTATTAATTATTGATATAATAAAATTAATGAATCAAAATTTATATCTTGTTATAAGTGATCAAACATTAATTGAAATAGATTGTCAACCAAATGAAGAAGAAGTAGAAGAGATAAAGATAGTAGAAGATGACGATGACATGGAAATAGATCAAACAATAATATTGCCAATAATAAAAAGAATTGCAGGGAATCAAGGTATAATAGCAGATCTGCGATATGTCGGACCAAATAAAGAATATTTAGCAATGGCAACAAATTCACCATCATTAAGAATAATAAATTTCCAAAAACCCTTTGAATTAAAAATTTGTGAAGGACATACGGATATATTAAATGCTTTAGATGTTAGTTCAGATGGATTATGGATTGCTACTGCATCAAAAGACGGTGAAGCAAAATTATGGAAATGGAATTATGAAACAGAAACATTTGATTGTTTTGCTACATTCAAAGGACATTCAGGATCAGTTACTGCTATTGCAATAAATAATATATTAAATAATCACAATGAACCAAAATTCATAATAACTGGTTCAAATGATTTAACTATTAAAAAATGGAATATTCCAACTACTAGTAATACAATAGTAAAATCATCAATATATACAAGAAGAGCTCATGATAAAGATATAAATTCAATAGATATTTCACCTAATGATGAATTTTTTGCAACTGCATCATATGATAAATTAGGTAAAATATGGTCAGTTGAATCAGGAGAAACTATAGGAATATTAAAAGGTCATAAAAGAGGATTATGGGATATAAATTTTTATAAATTTGATAAATATGTTGCTACTGGTAGTGGAGATAAAACTATTAAAATTTGGTCTTTGAATGATTTTTCATGTATAAAAACATTAGAAGGTCATACAAATTCAATTCAAAGAGTTAAATTTTTTAATTCTTTACAACCTCAATTAATTTCAGTTGGAGCAGATGGATTAGTTAAAATTTGGGATTTTAAAAATGAAGAAAATTTAAAAACTTTAGATAATCATGATAATAGAATTTGGTCTTTAGCTTTAAAAGATGATGAAGGTAAAGAATTTATAACTGCTGATTCAGATGGTAAAATAACAAAATGGATTGATAATACAGAAGAAGAAAATTTAATTTTACAAAATCAACAAAAGGAAAAAATTGAAAAAGAACAAAATTTAAATAATTTTATGAAAGATAATGATTGGGAAAATGCTTTCTTATTAGCTTTAACATTAAATCATTCAATGAAATTATATAATGTTTTAAAATCATGTATTGAAACTAAACAAGATGAAGATTCAATAATTGGATCATTTAAATTGGAGAGCATAATAAGTAAATTAAACAATGATCAATTGATTCTATTATTCAAAAAAATAAGAGATTGGAATATAAATTTTAAATTTTTTGAAATTAGTCAGATTTTAATTAGTGTTGTATTAAAAAATTATTCAGTACTGAAATTAATTGAAATACCAGGAATTATGAAAATTATTGATTCTATTTTACCTTATAATGAAAGACATTATAATAGAATTGATGAATTAATTGAAGAAACTTATGTTTTAGATTATACTGTTGAACAAATGAATCAATTATTAACTTAGCTAATTAGAGATTATATAGAGAATGATGAAATGAATGAATCCTAACCTTAATTTTTTTATTCTAATTTTACCTTATACGTTATTAAATAATATCCCCATTTTTAAAAGTTTTACCTTTAACAAATTCTAATCCTTCACCAGAATAAGAAGTTAATGGATTAACTTCTACTAAATCTGATTCATTTTCTAATATACCACCATTGGTTTTAACCCATTTTGTTCCACGATTTAAATAATGATTTTTACAAGTTGTTGGAGTATCATTTTTTGACCCATCTGCATTTTTGAGTGGTGAAAATTCTTCAGATCTATCTACTTCTAAACAACCAAATTTTGATAATTCAACTGATGGAAATACATCAAAAATAAATTGTTCTAATTTTATACCATTTGGTTCAGTAGGTTTATAAAATTCATTAGTTTTTAAATTTATACTTGGAATTTTCTTTTTAGCAATATGGAAAGGTAAATATTCTTGAGAACTAATCCATTTAGGAATCATTTTAGTTAATAAATCAACTGAATAATAATGATTTACAATATTTGCAGCTCTTAAAAATAATAATTGATTATCTAAAGGATCTAATTTTTCAGTTAATTCTTTTGAAATTTCACTATATTCAATAACACAAGGTCTTTTTAATTTTTTATTTAATACAATTAATCCAACACTTTCTGTTGAATCTCTTTTTCTAACAACTTTTGTTGCTAAATCAAATTTCTTATCAATTGCAAATCCAATAAAAATTGGATCTGCAACTTTAACTAATGAATTATCAACACAATACATATGAATATGTTTTATCTTTTTGTTATTTAAATCTTCAATTATTTTATTATCTTTTAATGCTTTATATAATCCTCCATTACCATCTGGTGATTCACATATTGAATTTTTTGAATTTAATAAAATTTTATTACCTTCTAAATTAAAACATGGTAATGTACCTTGATTAAAAAATTTAATTTGATTTGATGATAAACCGAAAAATTTGTTAGATTTGAAAAATTTTTCAGTTGATTCTCTTGTTGGTCCAGATGTCATAATATACCACATAATTTCTGGTTTTTCCAATAAATTAAATTTTGATTGAGTTAATTTTTCAGTTTTTAAAATTTTTTCAGCTTGAATTTCAAATAATGATTTTTTAGAAGGTAAATTTATATTAAAACATCCTTTTGGATCCAGTGATCCTAATCTTGTACCTTGACCACCAGCCATTAATAAAATGGCTACTTCTCCCTTTGATATTGCTTCAAATCCTAAATCAGACCAATGGTTTAGAACTTGGGCATCTAAATCTAAAGTTGAAGCAGTTTGTTCATTTGGTAATTGAGTAAAATTACTAGATTCTTCTGAATTCGATGATGAATGTTTTATAGCTTTTTCAACAGTATTTATCAAATCTGTTGGATTCTCAATTTTAGATAATTGTTCAATTAATTGATTTTGTTCATTTGTATTTAATTCATCATAATATTTAAATATTTGATCTTGATTTGCCTTTTTAAATGAATCTATAATTGTTTGATGTGATTCAACTGTCATTGTTTGATTTGTATATGTGAAGTTGATGTGTTAGAAAGCGAATGGAATGGTTTTATGGTTGTGGCTATGAAATAATTTGGTGAAAATTGCAATTGAAGTAAACCGTTTCTTACGTTGTATGATTAATTGATTTGAGTGTTTGTAAACAGGTGATAATGAGAAATTTTTTTGAAATTTTGAGTAGTTTCCCGTAGCTATTCTCAGGGAATTGTTGAAATCTAAGCAGTAGCTTTTTCCAGTAAAGAAAGTATGGTATTTACTCTTGCATATATTCAAAAGTGTTGATTTTTTATAGATATTAAAAATCAGATCAAAATTATAAAAGAAAATTTGTTTCGAATTTTGTGTTATTGTTTTTCTGTGTTTTTGTGTATTTATTATTTATTGTATTTCTTTTTATTCTATTTTTAAAATGTTCTATACGAAACAAACAGATAAAAGATTAAGAACTCATTCAGGAATTAAGAAAATTATCCACATGGAAGCAATCAGTAAATTGTTATGTCTACGTCATTATCTAATTCATTTTTCCTCAAAAAACTGGTTGTACGAAAACTTAGACGAAACGACTTAAATATTCGAAAGTTTTTATTAAGAAATGTTTTATATAAGTAATTTCATTAAGCAATTACGAACAACAAATTTCATCCTCGAAAGGAATGAACATAGAGTTAAACTTTTTCTTACTAGGTACATAAAGGCTATGATAAAATTCAAAATAAAGTCTTATGCATTGGATTTTTGAATCACGCAAATAGTGTAAAAAGGTTGATCCAATTCTTCCTGAGCTACCAATGGATTTTCAATTTAACCTAATTAAGTTAATTAATTGAATATTATTATAATGAAAATTAATTGGAAAATTTTTTCAGTTTCTTTTCAATCAATTTATGATTTTATTGCTGTTGAAAACTCTATGGCAACCTATCCAACTATCCTATTCATTTTAAAGGCAGTTGAGTTTATTAATGAGTGATGCAATTTGCAATGATTGTCTCAGAAATATTTGTGTTAGGGTAGACAATGAATTTGTGAATTTAGAGAAAGGATGAATGCCATAGTTGCATACTGTTGGAACAATTGTATTATACTATCAGGCAGTCAAATTGGATGATTTGTTCAACAAGTATCAATTTATCAGAACTAAAATAAAAATTAAGGAGAAAGGTCTACAAATTTTATGAAATGGTTAATGGATTTAACTATCTTTAGACGTCAAGAAGCTATAGATTCATTTTTTCTAGACTAGGACTACTTAGACTAAACAGTTTGTCTTAATTTTGAACAGGCAATGCAATAAAATTGGTTTTGGTCAGGTCGGTAAGTCGACTAACACAAATGGAGTGGCTACTATCTATTTTTGAATATGGGTAATGGTCTTTGCTATATGTACAACCTACTCTTTCGTACCAATGTTTGAAAATTTTTATACCAATTTGTACATAATAGTGATTTTGTATGTAAAAACTGATACTAAAATTTTCAAGCATTGGTGCGAGCAAGTAGGTTTTGCATATCTGCACCCATTAGAATATGACAATTAATTATCTGTAAGAACTTGAGAATCACAATTTTTAAACTTGGTTAACAGAAAATATGATTGAAATCAAAATTATTAGTAGAAATTAAGGCGAAAAATAGAATAAAAAAAAGGACATAAAGAAACAGAATCAATTTCAAGATATACTAATTGTTATCATGGAAGAACTAATTCGTTCTCAGTTGAGACGTCATTTGCTGGTTTTCTTATCTAAAATTTCAATAACAACTCCAAGAGCATAATCACTTGCATCAGTAGTAATTATATATGTTCCATTAATTTCTGAGCTGTTGTTGAGATAAGAAAACTTTAAAGATTAAAGTAAATTTTACGATATACCAATTGTTATTATGGAAGAACTAATTCGTTCTCAGTTGACGTCATTTGCTGAACCAATTAACTCAACTAGTCTAATTAACAAAATTTACAAAAAAAAACCAACTTCCATATTTATTTGATTGGACGAGATAAGAATCGAACTCATGACCTTTCCCATGCTAAGGGAACGCGCTACCAACTACGCCACACGCCCATTCTACAAATTAAATTTAAGGTAGTTAATATCAGTATTGCATCTTTAGCCCCCAAAAGCCACTTAATTATAGCCTCTAAATGCCACTTAAATTGTTATCATCAATATATGTTTGTATGTTGTCAAGACTTAGTATCACCGTTTTAATTGAAGTAGCCAAGCTCTCTCTAAAATGAATGAGCTAAATTGTATTTGAAACGCTCCCAGACTGAAATATCACCGAAAATTTATCTTTCAACTTTGAAATACTTTTTTAATTTCAAATGTAGTCAAATTGGCCACTAGCATTTTCTTTGGTGATAGATTGAAACTTGATTTTTTTTTGGGTCATTAGAAAAATTTTGAGCTGAACTCGTAATTCATGACTGCTCGATGTTAGTTTTGCCGAAAATAACTTCAGGTTTGCTTGAGGGTTTAAAATTTTGTAATTAATGCTAATAGCCTAATACCGCTGTCTTTCCATGTATTTTACTACTTGCTTCAACATTATAAAAGTCTATGAAAATTGAACTTCAAAAATGTAAATTTTCTCACACTCTAGCGTGAAGATGCGGCAGACAAGTTTTCTTGATCATGTTGACAAAACTGTAATATGTATATCATTTTGATATTATCAAATGTACTATTTACTATAAAAATTGGCTGCGAAAAAAAAAATCTGAAACTTATCATCAACAATTATTTTCAAATTTTGTTCAGTTGTTTCGATTTCAGTAAACTACCATATAAGAGGAAGGGTAAGTAATATCAATATTTAACAGAGTCTTTTTTGGTTCATTTGTTCATGGTAAAATTTTTTTATACTTGAGAAGTAAATTTTTGAGGAAATTTTGTGTCAAAATTATGTCAATTTTAAGGAACCACATCATAGTATTGGTCAGTGAGTTTCATCTCTGACACAATAGATTGAGAGATGAAAATTAATAAATTTTCTCATCAAAGCGAAAGCTGTATACCGTATATAACTTTAAAGATAAGTTTGATTTAGTGAAGTAGAAGAACAATAAGAATTTTAAGAGTTCTTTAGAATAGCAACTGAATTAAGGGGAAAAAAAACAAATATTCTATACATTATACGAGTTTTGATAATAAAGTCGTGATTAAATTTAACAAAGCCATGATTTTATCTTTTTGTTTTCATTTCTTGAAAAGATCTACAAATACAATTGATTCTTAAAAGTTTAAATTAAGTGCATGCATAGTAGAGGATAGGATATAAGAAAGAGAAGTTTTCTTCACTATTGTACTTCTTTTCTTGAACAACATTTAGTGAATTTTAAAAATTCTATTTTTATCGATTTGTGATGAAATTCGTAAACATTAACAATTTGTAAGTAAGAACACAGTCATTTTATAATGAAAAGAATTTGTAATTTGTAATTTTGAATTTAGTAAATAATTTTAATAATAAAAATTGATTTTCAGTTTTAGATCCCATTGATTCCTTAAAGTCCCTTTCTTTTAAAAAATCTATTTTACTCCTTATATTTGCTCTCAACGGATCATGAAATATTTTGAGCGTTTTCTTCAGTGAATACACTAACATCAATTAGTTTCATGACTTTATAAGTCGTAGCTATTAATTGATATACTTTTAATGGCTCAATGGAAAACTAATTCATTCAAGAAAATAAAAAGAATATACTATTCGTAACCTAGTGATGATTGATTGCATACAATTTGAGAAGTTCGTGCATTTATAGAGAAAAAACCCTTTAAATTCGACTTAAATTCGACTTGAATTTAAAAATCGTACTAGATTCGTTGTTCTCTTTAATTCTCCTTCTTCTTCTATTTAAAACTTTTTTTTGCCATTACTCTCTACGACTTATTATTATTTATTATTATCATTTTATTTCCCCAAAGTTTTCAACAACTTCTTTTACTTTGAATCATCATCATCATTCCTTTATCCATTAATACATTCCTTAATTCAAAGATCACATCATCAATATTCAATTGTATATCCATTGAATTCAACCACACTCATCATATTAACTTGCATTCATTAATAATATCAATTCATTATTTCATTCACTATTTTTATATAATATTTACAACCATATTTTTAGTTTATTCATTCATCATTTAATACAATTTAATAGTAATAATAAAGTCGATAAAGTTTTATATAAGTATTACTTTCCCTTAATTGATTTTTAAATTTGACAAAATACAATCAACAACACATCAAAATTAACTTATAAACTTATCATTGCGAAATTAATACAATAAACATCAACAAATGATCAACAATGAATCAATCATCATCAAATTCTTTTAATAACAATAATAACAACAGTAATATCAATAAGAATGATCAATCAGAAGATATACCAACAAGAGTATCAAGTAGAAAAGGTAAAAATCTTCATGTTGCACATAGACGTTCACCATCTGAATTAACAACTTTAATGGTTGAACAATATAATTTACAACGTCAATTGGATCAAGTACAAGCTCAACAAAAACAAATTTTGGAGCAACAACAGCAACAACAACAACAGCAGCAGCATCAAGTACAACAACATCAGTATCCCCAACAACCATCATATCCAGACAATAATTGGACTTGGGGTGTTAGTAGTGAGAATCCAAATACAATTAATAACGTCAATAACAGTAATAATGCTACTGGTAACTTAAACCGTGGATCACATTCAAGATCATCATCAATCAATACTCATAGACGAACTGGATCAGCAAGTGGAACTGCTCATGGACATTCAAGAAGACATTCATTAGCATTAAATGAAGCAATTGCAGCTGCTGATCATCAAAGAACTAATAGATCAACTACTAGTCCTAAATTACAACATAATTCTGATATAGAAGATGATTCCACTAATAATAATAAACCTGGATCATTTAAATTTCCACCTGATAAACCAAATGAACCATCAAGTCCCACTTTCCAAGCTGCTCATAATAGATCAAGATCAATGGCTTATGGTCAGAATCAACCATCTTTTAAATTTCCTGCTCAACCATCTGATAATTCAAATAATTTATTACCACCAACTCCAAATTTTAGTATTACTCAATCACCAGAAAGAGGAGGTTCTCACAATAGAAGAGCATCACATTTTAGAACTCAATCAAGAAATTCCGAAGGTATGAATCAAAATTGGAGAGGACAACAACAATCACCGCAACAATTACAAACACAACATCATAATCAACAACAACAGCATCAAAGACAATCATCTACATTAGAACCTCCTGGAGTTTTCATTCCTGGTCATAGACCACGCAATAGTTCATATGGTGGTGGATCTTCCGTATCTTCATTATCGCATTTTTTACCAAATATACCAGTTCAACCAGGATCACAACCAACAAGTGGTAGTAATAATGGACGTAAATCATTATTTGCTCCTTATTTACCACAATCATCACTTCCAGAATTAATTAATGAAGGTAGATTAGTTACTGGTACCTTAAGAGTTAATAAAAAAAATAGATCAGATGCATATGTATCAACAGATGGATTATTAGATGCTGATATTTTCATTTGTGGTTCAAAAGATCGTAATCGTGCATTAGAGGGAGATTTAGTAGCTGTTGAACTTTTAATAGTTGATGAAGTTTGGGAATCAAAAAAGGAAAAAGAAGAAAAAAAGAGAAGAAAAGATCATAACACAAGACCTTTAAATGATGATATTCATAATGATGCTACTTCAGCTCCTATAACATCATCATCTGATAAAGATGATAAGGATGATGAATCATTATTAGGTAGAAGAGGATCTTTAAAACAAAGACCAACAATGAAAAAAAATGATGATGTTGAAGTTGAAGGTCAATCTTTATTATTAGTGGAAGAAGAAGAAATTAATGATGAAATTAAACCACTTTATGCAGGTCATGTTGTTGCAGTAGTTGATAGAATTCCAGGTCAATTATTTTCAGGAACTTTAGGATTATTAAGACCAGCTCAAGCAGCTCAAGCAGCAAGAGATAAAAAATCAGGTAATGATTCATCAATTCATACACCTAAATCCCCTAAAATTGTATGGTTTAAACCAACTGATAAAAAAGTTCCATTAATTGCTATACCAACTGAACAAGCACCAAGAGATTTTGTTGAAAATCATGAAAAATATGCTGATCAATTATTTGTTGCATCTATAAAAAGATGGCCAATTACTTCATTACATCCATTTGGTACATTAGTTTCAAAATTAGGTAAAATTGATGATCCAGAAGTTGAAGTTGATTCAATTTTAAGAGATAATAATTTTCTTTGTGATGAATATCCAGAAGATGATAATGATTATGTTACTTATGATATTCAACCTGTTGAATCAGAATTTTCAAATCCAAATAGAATTGAATATTTAAATGATTATATTATTGCTTTTTCTCAAAATGGAGAATTTGTGGATCATGCATTACATGTTAAAAGATTGTCAAATACTAAAATTGAATTAGGATTTCATGTTGCAGATATTGCTCAATTTGTAAAAGCTGGTTCAACAGTTGATCGTAAATCTAAAAAGAGATCAACTTCCATATTTTTGCCACAAAAATCAGTTCATTTATATCCAAAACAAGTTAATAATATAGTTTCATTTAAAGAAAATGAAAAAAACTTAGCTATTTCAGTTGTTTTTGAAATTGATACAACTAATTTTGAAGTTGAAGATTTATTTATTCATGAATCTATAATTATACCAAAACAAATAGTTTCTTATAAATCTTTCAATAAGATTATGGATAATAATAAAATCGAACAAATTTCATCAGCAACTTGTGATTATTTAAAAACTTTTAGTCTTATTGCAAAAGAATTCCGTCGTCATCGTTTATCAAATAAATCACTTGGTATTTCACCAAATTTATCATTATTAGATCAATTAGATGATGAAAAAGTTTCATTAAGTTTAAATATTTTTGATGATAATCTAGCATCAGATATAATATCAGAAATTGGATTAAAAGTAAATTCAGCAATTGCTGCAAAAATTCAAGTTGGATTAGGAAATAAAGCATTTTTAAGACGTCAAGCATTACCAACTTTACAAAAAATTGAATCATTTGTTAGAAAAGCTAAAAATTTAGGTTTTAAAATTGATACTACAAATTCTGCAAGTTTACAATCTTGTATATTAAAAGAAAATTTAAATAATCAAAGAATTTTAGAAACTTTATTTTATAAATGTTCAACAAGAGGTAAATATTTTATTGCTGGTAAACAAGATCCAGATTCTTATAATCATTTTTATTTTAATTTACCATTATTTACTCATTTTACTGCACCTTTAAGAAGATATGCAGATTTAATTGTTCATAGACAATTAAAATCTGTATTAAATAAAACTAATGATGATACTGATATTGAATCATTAAAATCATTAGCTGATTATTGTAATTTTAAAAAAGATTGTGCTGCAAATGCTCAAGAACAATCTACTCATTTATTATTATCACAAACTATCAATGGGTTAAGTGAAAGTGCTGGACAAATTTTATGTATGGGTACAATTATTCAAGTTTATGAATCATCATTTGATGTTTTTATACCAGAAATTGGAGTTGAAAAAAGAGTTCATGGAGATCAATTACCTTTAGTTAAAGCAGAATTTGATAAAAATAATAGAGTATTAGAATTATATTGGGAAAAGGGATTTGATTCAGCAACTTATGTACCACCAGATGAAAAATCTTTATTATCTTATAGAAATTCTATAAAAAATAAATATAGAACTTCTTCATTACAAGCTGCAAAAATTCAAAATAGATCAATTTTAGAAAATAATAATAATGTTTTTACAACTGATTCAATAGTTGAAAAATTAAATAAATTGAATTTAGAAGTTCCTGAATTTGTAATTCCTCAATTAAAAAATAATAGCAATAATCATCACAATCATAATAAATCTCATAATATTAATAATCAAGATCCATCAACTAAATCAATGCCTACTTCACCAATTCAATCACATGCTCCAAAAAATCCAAGAACTAATTCATCAACAGGATTTGGAGATTTAAATGAAGAACCAATATCATCAACCACCACCAACACATCTCACAACAACACCAACAAATCATCATCATCATCAGGTTTAACTCCATATATTCAAAATCTTGAATTAAAACAAGAAGGTGATTATAATATTCAAATCATAAGAGAATTAAATGAAATTCCTGTATTATTAAGAGCTGAAATTGGTATGACTTTACCTTGTTTAAGTGTTAGATGTGTTAATCCTTTTATGTGAAGGTGATATTTTTAGCTAAGATTGGTGTGGTTGCGTATGGTGTTAGGTGTATATAGATTAATATTAGGCTCTATTTTACTACGTTTATTAATAAAATACCTTTTTTAATGAAATTTTCTTATTGTTGTTGTAGAAAGTTATTAGCTCTAACGATTAATATACTGTATTGATAAAGTTCATAAGATTCAAAAAGTACGAGATTCCGTTATTTTTGGCAACAGTAAGGGTATGAAAGAAGTTAAGAGCAAAGCATACTTACAAAATCAATAGTAACGAATTTAAAAATACAAAACAAATACTTTTTTTTTTAATTTTTATAAAAATTTTTTAATGAACTAAAAGCAAACAAGTTGAATGTTGATGCATAGCAAATGTTGCAAATACTTTTACTACCGACCAAAGTAAATGTTAAGTATTTGCAAAATAAATTTGATTGATTTATTTAATGATAACAAATTTTTGTGGTGAATAATTGATTGATAACAACTGAAAATTGATTTTTAAACAGCAATTGGAAATAATCTTTTGAAGATCATTTGATTTTTCATTTTTTAAGCAACATTTGACAATGGATATAACAAAACATTTAATTTTAGATTTCAGAATGACTCTCCTTAAAGTTCTGTAACGAGTGGTAAAGTTTTTAAACCTTTAATAATCTGCAATCCATAAGCGGTAACCGTCATGGGCAATCTTCATAATATTAATCGAATTCTTCTAGTCAAAAATAATTCCAATAAAAAAGATATTCGGTGAGACAATCTTCTATTCCATTAAAATAGAGTCATCCCACTTTTCTCCTTTTCATTTCATTATTTTGTGAATAAATATTCTTTATCTTAATTAAAGCTGGTAGTGTGAATTATGGAACCAAGTATTTATACTTTTAAGTTACTGATGCATGACTTGAAAGATGTTACGAAGCCTAGTTGTATAATTTGTGATTGTGATTTTTTTTTATGAATACATATTCTTATATAAATCATAATGATTAAAAACCATTGAATGAATCGAGAAAGCAGTCGCAACTAATTTTTCAAATAATGAACATTCAGATTTTGATGTTTTTTGAACTTGTTTAGCAGTTTTAAATAAAAATTTAACATCTTTTGAATTTTCAATTAAAATAATACTTGAATGAACTTTTTTTTTGAAGTTAGCAATTTCTTCACTAAAATTGAACATTTTTTTCAATTTATAAGTATTATCAGATAAAAATAACATAATTTCTTGTTTCATTGATTCAAGTTTAGATGGATTTCTAAATTTATTATAAGCTTCATCATCATCATCTTCTTCTTCTTCGTCATCACTACCAGGATATTTATATGTATATTTCCAATGTAAATCACCAACATATTGATTTGTTTCATAATCACAAATAAAAACTGCTCCAAATCTAACTTTATTAAAACCTTTAAGTTTAATTGGACATGATTTACTTCTTTTTCTTGTTTCGATTGGTTCTTGATCATCTGGCATACAATAACTTCTTCTTTTTTCCTTTTTAGACAAATGATAATAATCTTTTGATAAATTATTAGCTCTAGTGTTTGAATCACAATTGAAATCATCAATTTCAGTGTCAAGATTTTCTTTGTTTTTTAACAAGTCTTTAATATTGATTTCTGATTCATTAATTTGAGTAGTTTCTGAAGTTTGTGGGTTCATGAAAAAAGTTCTAAAAACACTTTCTGTTTCATTTTCATCATTGTAGTTGGTGCTATTTCCGTTTTGATTAATAGTAAAGTTATTGTAATCATTAAAATAGTCATTGTTGTAATTGCTGGTGTCGTCGTTGTCGTCGTTGTTGTATTTGCTTTCGTTGTTATCATTAATGTTATTGTTGTTATCAGTTAAATCATTGAATTGATCAATTTCGTTTTGGTCGGTTGAGATTGATTCGATTGAATAAGTTTCGGTTGGTTCTGACAATTGAACTTTTTTGTGTTGAAGTTTAAAGTGTTTGAATTTATAATGTTTCAAATTTAAACAAAAATGCATTTTGGTGTTTGAGTTTTTGAAATTTTGATGAAGAAAAGTAGTAAATAATAGTTTCAAAATTTTTGGAATTTTTCTCTTTCTTATATTCCTTTTTATGTTATTCTTCTATTCTCATATTTAAGTCTTAACTATGTAGCTTGAATCAAAGCAAGATCTGATACTTGATGAAGATCTCCGTATTAAAAAAAATTAAGTCATCATGTGATAAAAGATTGAGCTTCTAGCTCCATTCAATATTGAAAGTAGCATGAGCAAATTATGGAAATATCGCGTAGCTTGTCAACGTCGAGTCAGTTCATCATCCGTTTTGAATCTGATGAACCTTTTCTTGAGTTTTGATGCAATGAAGCCTCTGTAAATGAATTCTCAAAATTTTCTGATAGCAACTAGTAGTCCATGAAAACAAAGCAATACTTCATGAACCATGCATTAACGAATTATTTCACTATTCATATTCCTCAGTCTATTCTGAATTAAACTAAAACTCATTAAGACTTGTTTCAAAATTTGGATGATTCAAACAAATGTAGGTATGTTCATAAACTCGCGCGTAATCTAAACTTGAACAATAATGAAGCTGTTTGAGATACCAAACCCGAACCTTACTGAGGATAGATCAAACGAAATTATGATCTAAATATTTGAGAAATATATATATTGCTCGTATCTTGTTCTTGTTGTCGTTGTTGGTGCACAATCAATCAAAGATTTATTAAAATCTAGTTTTTGTTTGAATGTTCTTAAGATCGATCAATTAACAATCCATGTTTTCGTCTTTCTAATCTCTACCATGGGATGAATAACTCTCTGTTCGACTATTATCTAAAAATTTTTGTTGTTGTAAATAATTGCAACAATCAATGTTTCGGAATATAATTTGATGATTACTAATTACTTCATTCTCTCAATCAAAAATGTTTACAGGATTAATTGAGACAATAGGTGTAGTTGAAGAATATAATGATTCATCAAATGGAGTCACTATAACAATCACTGATTGTTCACCTATATTAGAAGATGTTCATCTTGGAGATTCAATTTCAACAAATGGAGTTTGTTTAACAGTTATTGACTTTGATGAATTGAAAACAAAATTCAAAGTTGGTGTAGCTCCAGAAACTTTACGTTTAACAAATTTGGGAAACCTAAATAAAAATTCAAAAGTTAATTTAGAAAGAGCAGTTACTAGTGATGTAAGATTAGGTGGTCATGTAGTTCAAGGTCATGTTGATACTATTGCAACAATAGTTAATAAAACAAAAGATGGTGAAGCTATATCATATACTTTTGAATTAAGAGATAAAAATTTTATAAATTATATTGTTCATAAAGGTTTCATTGCAATTGATGGAACTTCATTAACAGTTACAAATGTAGATGATTCAAAAGGTCAATTTTCAATAATGTTAATTAGTTATAGTCAATCAAAAGTTATATTATCACAAAAAAATATTGGTGATACTGTTAATATTGAAGTTGATTTGACTGGGAAATTGATTGAAAAACAAATTGAAATTAATTTAAAACAACTAATGAATAGTGAAGATAGTATATTAAATCAATTGATCACTTCAATAGTTGAAAGAAAAGTTAAAGAATTGATAAAATAAGTTTTGATTGTAATAATTTGTTGTATAGAAGTTTAGTAGCGTAGTAAATTTCGTGGTAATAATATTTAATTTTTCAAGGGCAAAAAAATTCTGAGTTTCTAACCAAATCATTAAATCAGAACTAAAACTACTTATAAGACAACAACCACCACATAAATATGGACATTATACTTGGAATAAGGGTGTCTGATGCAACAATTATAGCCACATCAAAAGCAGCTACAAGAGGAATCTCAATTTTGAAAGATAATGATGATAAAACAAGAATTCTTAATGCTCATAATTTAATAGCATTTACTGGAGAAGCAGGTGATACTATACAATTTTCAGAATATGCTCAAGCTAATATTCAATTATATTCAATGCGTGAAGATGATGTGGAATTATCACCAAAAGCAACTGCATCATATGTAAGGAATCAATTAGCAACATCAATAAGATCACGTAAACCATATCAAGTCAATTGTTTAATAGCAGGTTATGATACCAGAACTGATATACCTTCATTAAATTATATAGATTATTTGGGAACTCAAGTTGAATTACCTTATGGAGCACATGGATATGCTGCATTTTATACTACTTCATTATTAGATAAACATTATAGAAAAGATATGAAAGTTGATGATGGATTAAAATTAATGGATATGTGTGTTGAAGAATTACAAAGAAGAATGCCAATTGATTTTAAGGGAGTTTATATAAAAGTTGTTGATAAAGATGGTGTAAGAAATATAAATTAAAAAAAAATATTTTAATATATATACAAGAATTCAATTATTTTATACTCTACAATTTGAAATTTCTAATACTAAAATATCTGATGCTCCAGCTTTTTTTAATTCATCCATTACATTTCCAATTTTTTTTCTTGAAACCATTGAAGAAATTGCAACCCAATCTTCATCTTCTGGTGAATGTTTATCTAAAGTTGAAACAGTTGCAGCTCTTTTACCTGGTGTTATTTGTAAACATTTAGACATTATTGATTTAGGAGCATTATAATTACATAATACGAATTCTTGAGCTGCTAAAACACCTTCTAATCTATCTGTTATTGTTTTAACAAGTTCGGGATATTTTGGTTTTGTTGATGATATAAGATGTGCTGATGTGTTCAATATTGTTCCAATTGCTTTTAATCCTGCTGCTTTCATTGTTTCCCCACTTTCCACTAAATCGACAATAGCATCAGCTACTCCCAATGCACATGAAGCTTCAACCGATCCTCCAACATATCTTATTTTTATTTGATCTTTAGATTGTATTTCCTTTTGTAAATTTTCAAAGTAATCAGATGCTAGTTTAGTGAAACTACTTACAATTTTTTTACCAACTAGTTGATTTGGTTCGTTATATTCTCCATTTTCAGGTACTTGAATTTGTAATTTACAATTTCCAAATTTTAAATCTAGTATATCTTTTATATTTTCAAATTGATCTGATTCCATTACTTGATCTAATCCAGTTATACCTAAATCACAATTACCTTCACCAACGAAAACAGGTATATCAGCAGCTGGTAAAAAGATTAATGCAATAGGTAAATTTGTTGATAACGCTATATCTAATCTTGGTGATCTTCTAAATTGAATATCAGCTCCATTTAATAATTGACAACATTTTTCATATAATCTTCCCTTTTTCGGTACTGCAAATAATAATCTATCTGGTAAATGATTTACTAAATCCATATTATCTAGTGGTTATTGTTGTGTTTTAGGAATCCTTACTGAAAAATTATCGGTGTTTCAGTTTTACTTAAAAAAAAAAAGTTTGATAGTGAGTCAAAATCATACAAAGAGATGTACACGTGCACTCGGATCTTAAACACCGGTATAATAAATTTTTAAAGCGTTTATTACTGTAAACTCATCATTAATGTTTAATGATCTCTAGATCATCTTCTGACTTCAATGTATCATCATCATCAGAATCGCTTATACTTATGGTCAGCAGACTTTGCAATTCCATTAATCGACTTACATGTTTTATTTCATCATTCCCACTAGGATTTCCATAGTAATATTTGTTAAATGACCAATTTAATAAAATTTTGAGCATATCCCAAGGTTTAAATTCTGGCCATAATTTTTCGGTAAATACAACTGAACAATCAGGAGATACAGCTTGCCATAGTAAAAAATCAGATAATCTATATGTTCCCGACGTTCGTACTAATAAATCTAATGGTGGTGAATCACCAGTATATAAATTCTCTTCAATTGATTCTTCATTAATTTGAAATGGTTCATCATTTATACTTTTAACTACTATTTTTTTTATTGAATTTGTTATTTCATCTCTTGATGTATATGGAAAACAAACATTTAATACAGCTCTTGTATTATTTTTTGTAATTTCTTCGGTTTCTTTTAATATTTTTAAAACATCTGGTGATAATAATTTTAAATTCCCCAATATTTTAATTTTAACTCCATAATCTTCACATAATAAACCGTTTTGGTTAATTTGAGTAAATTTAGATTTTGCTAAATCCATTAACCATTTAACTTCATAACTTGATCTATTAAAATTTTCAATTGAAAAAGCATAAACAGTAGCAGATTTAACTCCAGATTCATATAATAATTCTAAAATATTAGCCATTGTATCAAATCCCATATTATGACCTTCTTTAATTTCTATTTTATGTGATTTGGCAAATCTTCGATTCCCATCCATTATTATTCCAACATGTTGAGGAACTGGACCTGCTTGTATTATTTTTCCAAATAGTTTTTTACCAGTTGTTAATATTTGTGTATAACCTGGAAATGTAGATATCCAATCTGACATAGTAATAGATATTAGTATGAATGTGCAATATGAAATAAATTTAAATAATAAATAGGAAAGTAGAAAGAATGATATGCAATAGGAAGGTTTATATGCTAAATTTAAAAGATGACTGTGTAAATGTCCTTTTTGAAATATATGATGATAGTTGAATTCAATTTTCACAGAATGATACTACGTAAATTAAATTTAAGTTAATATTTTAATGACACTAAAACGAGTAAGTCAATCTCATGAAATTTGACAGATGGGCCAGTAACTACCAAACGCTTCGTTTCACAGGCATTTCTTTCGGTCAAACCTTTTATACACACCTAGATTAATAAATACTTTTACACACACACAGATTTAGTTCATCCAAAATTCCAAAGATTGCATTGAATTTTCAAACTAGTTGCAACTAAATGACATTAAGGGAGTTCATCACATACGCGGAGAGCGGGTAATTAACCTAACGAATTTGGATCATACTATGTTGCTTCATTTTAATCGTATTTTCAACTGACACGAACTAACGTTTATGCTTAAGAGACCAACTACTTACTGATATATTCAAGGGATTCTAGATACATGGTTTGCACTACAATAGGATGTCAATTTGGATTAATTATGATATTGACGTTCGTGCGATGATTAAACGAGCACTTCATTATTGATTTGAGTCACTTGAAACTAGAAAACCAAAAAATGTAATCAACATTTACTTTGCTTTCAAGATGGTCACTTTTGGTGAAACATTGTGGCTAAGATGAAACTGAATGAAGTGTTATGAATTTATGACTTTTAGACCTTGGCGTCCTACCCTTATCTTAGTCTTCAAAGAGATCGAACCTACAATTGAAAAACTTGTATACCCCAAGGACGAACCATCAAATGCGTTTTACGTGGAATCGATCACTGATCTGGTATTTGATCAAAACACCTTGAGAATCAAGTATGTGAAATTCAAAAAAATTAAGGGAGATTTGATCTGATTGGTAATGCATGGATGTATAAATGTCGTGAAAAAGCTAATTATGAGGAATAAGGTTCAATCAAAATAAAATAGTCAAGCCAAGATTATATTAGAAAAAAGAGGAGAACAAAAGTATATGAAAAGATATGAAATTGTCTGCATTATATGGGTAAGTACATCAGTCTGTGAAAAATTATTGTTAATTTACATTTTTTTGTAAATTTCTAGTTGCATTTCTCATCATTGTCACGAGTATCTTACTAGTTTACAAAAATACATTCTAAACACTCGAAGTTTTAAGGAAGTACTTCTTTATACTAAATTTCATAATTCAAAGGTTTATTATTATATCTTGTTTTATTTTTTCCAAATACTAATTCTTTCTTCATATTCTTAATCTTAAACAAGTTCAGTTGTTACTAGGCTATGGTTACTAGTATTTCATTAACCCCACAAACCTTAAGTGCATGGCTCATAATATGTACATGATCCAGTTTTCAAACGGGCATGATCCATGCATTTGAGTAAACTTTATGATTAATATCATATTAAACTTTAAAACAGATTATCAAATCACAACACCTTCTAACAATTTGAGTTACAACAATTTTAGTTCACGTAAATAATTCTCCCTTTCGTACAATATGAACACATTCAAAAATTTAAACTTTATTAGCTTCTTCAAGATAACTCGCAAAACAAATAAACCTTGAATATTGTAATTTCTTACATCAAAATTCCCCACGACTTTATTAATCATCAACTTACTGACTCATTTTCTTCTATTATTTGATCGTATTAACTAGTTATTCAAAGTCTTTGCTAGCATGTCCCCCATGTCTCCGACAATTTTATGAGTATCAATATAAATAAGCTTGATAATTCCATCTTTTCTTCCCAAACATTATACTTGATAATTACGGACTAGGTCAAACCATGATTACTTAGATGATGAGCTAATGTATCAGCTTATGCTTTATTGCATTCTTTACTACATTGGTAAACACTGCCATTTTGTTGAAATTTGCATTTGGTCAAATACCTTAAGTAATCATGTAATACTTTAACTACTTCACACATTGCAACGGATTCACTTTCATTAGTGGATAAATTACCAAGCTTTGTTTCTTTGACTTCCAACAAATGGGAACTCCAATTATTTTGACAACATATCCGGTTTTACGATTTCCATCAATTAGTTCACTTCCCCAGTTTGCATCCAGAAAGTCCTTTAAATTTTGAAGAATTATCATATCAAATCAAAGTACAATGTACCTTTAAGACACCTCATATATGTTTAGCAACTTCTTCATGTTTTTCATATGGTTTAATGAAGAATCTGCTAATCCATGTTTGATATATGGATATCAAACTTGCGTACCAACGATGCAAACATCAATTTTCCCGTAATTGATCTATTTTCAAAATCATCACACAATCGATTCTTATTATCGATTATCTTCAAATTTTGTGCTGATATAGTGTCAACTACTAAAGGTGAATTTGTTGCAATGTGTGAGGTAGTAAAAGAAATTTTATGGCTACTTAAAATAGGCTATTGGATAAAACTGAAATTGCAATAAAGTTGAATATTGTAATTAAATACTACGCATCTGTGATCCTCTTAGCTCATCCTGACTGGATAAACTCATCGGCATCAATTATAATTCTTTGAAATAAATAGTTCATGAACAAATTGTAAAATTCATTCTTATTGACACTTACAAAATGTTATATTTGGATAATGATTGATTATATAGTTGTTTTCTTATTATCATCAATAATAAATCATTAGTCTTCTAGGTAAATGATTCAGAAAGACAAATTGTATAGTCAACCAAAAAAAACTTTGACGAAGTTTACCCTCTGATGAAATTATTCTTCACTTTCTATAACCAAAACCTCCAATTGTTCAACCAAACGAATATTGATGTTTAAACTAGGCTTTTATCTAGAATGATACAAATATAAGTAGAAGTCGAGTGTGATAAATATTTGATTAAAAAACTATTGAGGACTTTTTCGATTACTATCTATCTCTATCTTCTGTGGGTCAACAACGTGTCTCACCATTTTAATTTAGCATTTCACTTGAGCTGGAATTCAAAGAAACATTAAATAAACATGGTACAATCTGAATTTGAACGAGATGTCTCAATTTAATTCTCTTTTCCTCAAATCACTTCGTATCAAAGATGTTTATTATCAAAGATGGATCAATATTAAGTTGATTGTACGAACACGTTAATTTTGTGTTGTTTGTTTGAGATAAGAAAAAAAAAAAAAGAATATAGCGTGTGGTAGCGGTCATTATTTGAACGCGTATTGTTTTATAACTTAAGTAATTTAATACAAACTAGTCTACTCTATGATATCGTTTATCGATTATAAAGTACAACCAGAACTTTGATGATTATATATACTGAACTCCAACTTCTTGCAAAACATAATCATTTGTGTAATTTATAAACACAATATATCATTTTATGAAAGATTATACATTACAACTCAATCACAAATATTAACTAAATTACAATAATAATGGACAACAACGAAGCATTTATAGAAGGAATAAGTGATGAATATTATAATTCAGTGTCAGCAATTTTGTACAATGATGATACTGATTTTGAGTCAGATCTGGACGAAGAAGAGGATATCATTGAAGAAGAGAGAGACCAAGATATGATAGATTTAGATGAAGAAGATGTACCAGAAAGAATAGACAATGATGATCTGGAGACAACTGTTGAAGAATTATGTCATGGTTTTAAATATGTTGATGGATTCATTGTGAAAGATGGAAAAGTTTACAATGCGCGCGGAAGTAGTTTCAAAAACATCCATTACCACGTTTGGAATGAAATTCTGGAAAAACGTTTAAGACTTGTTAGAATTCTCAAGTATAAAGAAGGAAGAATCTATAAAATTAAAAATAATACTATATTTGATTATGTGGAGCCCGTGACAAGGTTTGTTAGTCAAAAACGAGGAAAAACAAGTTTTCTGAAATATCCTTCGAAGGGTGCTGTTAAAGTTACGGGAGCAACAGTTAATTTTAACACTAGAGGATATGTCATGATTGTTTTGGGTAAACCTGGAGAGGAAATATGTAACTGTTCCACAACTCAAGATGTGACACCACAATTGGAAGAAAATAATACGATTCTAAACACAATGTATGGTAATATTGAATATGATGATGATGATATTCAACTTGTTAAAGATGCAAATAATGCTGAAATAATCAAGAATGGAGAAATGGTATACTGGACTTTATATAATAAAGCAATAAAACGAATTCATTTCAAAGATATTATGACTACTACCAAACATAATGGGGTTGAGAAAACAACTCAATTCATTAAAACTCATAGAGCAGCTTATGTAAATTCAATGGCTCACTCATTTGGTAGACTTTTATGTATTGTTTGGATTGCAAAAGATTTAAAGATGATTGATAATGAGAAATATACAACCGACTTGGCTCTCGTTAATGATATTTTGGATCCATCAGATGAAAAGAAAGTCGAATCGATTACAAAGTTAGTTAGAAGATTTATTGAAAAACCAGATTCATTAATTGCAGCTGTATTTTCGTTGTTTTTCACTCCTTTTAATGAAAGCAGATTTTATCCGGTATCTATTTGTATTAAAAGACTTAATAGTATTAGAAATATCTGCAAGTATACAATGGCTACTACTCGTGAAAATTTGGTTAAGTATGAAATACACAAATCATCAGAATCTACAAATGTTCCTGGAACCGTACTTACGGACAAATTGTTTACTAGTTTGCTCAAAGGATTTACAGTAAAAGGTTTGAATGACGATGCTTGCGTTATTGAAGGTACAAAAATTTCAAAAAATGATTTAATTGACATTTATAAAACTGCCAAAACTATTTTTGACGAATCTTGGGAAAGGATTTGTCTTCATTCTTTTAAATTTGTGAGTCAATCAAGTGTATATGCCCACTACTTGACGTATCAAACATCGGGAACATCAAGTTTTTTACCAGGACGTTTAAAGACTACTTTTCCAAGCTTCCTTGGTCAAAACAAAGAAAAGGTTTTGCATTTGATTCAAAAGTGTACTTTGGCTCTCATGGTTATGATATATGTCAGTTCATGTAATACATTTAGGTTTTCTGAACTTAGTTCTTTGGCATTTCAATCAAGTACATCTCGTGCTAGAAACATTGTCCACAGGAATGAGAATTTGCATATTCAAACATTCAATAAGATAAATGGAGAGCGGAAATATGCACTTCGTTGGTATCCCAAAATTATGGATGAGATGATGGTAGCTTTTTTGTTTGCTCTTCGTCCTTTGCAGATGGATTTATTAGAAGGTTCGTTTGAAAAAATTAGATCAGAAGATTATGGAGATGAAGTTGATGCTAGTGTTTGCTTTCGTCAATTTTGCTTTCTTGATGATACTGGTAGATTAATAAACTTGAGAAAATTTAACAATTTTTTACATGCTATATATCCATCTAAAAGACTTGGTTCTAGGTACATCAGAAAAGCTATCACTTTTATGGCTAAAAGAAATGTCACTACCAGAGTACATCAAGATGCAGCTGAGTTCATGGAAGGAATGTCTCGTGATACCCCAATAACTGCATCAATCAATTATCCTCAAGATCTAAATATTGTCAAGAAATATTTTAAGCATGAAATACCTTCAGTAGAATCCTTAGGTAAAAACTGGTGCAAGTATCTTGAGATACTCCCAGCTGATCCACCTCGTAATTTTTCCAGATTCAACATTCTTGAAATCAAAGAAAAAGTTTTATCAAAATATCCAAATTTTGAATTTACTGATTTGCAATATAGTTCAATATTTGAATTGTTAATGGGTAATGCAAGATCTTTGATAATTACTGGTGGAACTGGTGCAGGTAAAACAGATTGTGTATTAATACCAATGGAATTGTTCAAAAAGTCTACCCAGTTGAATATGCTACACGTAGTCGTTGTACCTAACGTTAGTTTGAAATCAGACATAATGAAAAAATTTGGAGAGAACTTAAATGTCCTTGATGGAGATAGAAGCAATGAAATTACTAAAAATACAGATGTCATTGTTTGCAGTTATGAGCTTTTCAAAGAGCAAAAGTTTGAAAAATGGTTGTCGAGAAAGAAAAGTTTTGGGTTTATAGTTTTAGATGAAGCTCATTTGATTCAAGAAGAGACAAGGTTGAAGCAGATGAGAAAAAATATTAAATTGTTCATGACGCTGGTGTTTTTGACTGCAACACCAAGTTCCACTTTAACTGGTTATTTAGAAGAACAGTTTCAAGTCAATATCGAGGAGTATCAAGGTATTAAAGATGTTTAACAAGTTCCTTCTTTCAATGTTTAAATATTGATTATTTATTATCTATTTACTTTTAATTAATATCACTAACGCAACCCTGTGATGCATCAGTTACCAATTTAGCTTATTTAATAAAGTACCTCTTGATATCTCATAGAAGGAGGTGGCCGATTTATTTCTTTCACATTTATTCCATCTTCTGATACTAAAAGATCAACAATATCAAATTCAGCATCAATCATCATTTGAAATTAGCACAATCTGGAACATCATCAGCATGGAAACCAAACTAAATTCCATTCTTATTTTAAAGACCTGAAATGCACGTCCAATCGAATGAATCTAGTATCAATTAATGCTCTATTTTAATTCATCTCATGGGAGCTTGTTTCAAACCATATATTAGATTAATCAGCTTGTACACCTTGTTTTAATTTTGAGACCATAAGCCTGCATCATACTAATATTCTCATCAAAATCTTATAAAAATGCTGTATCCACTTGCGGCTGATATAAGAGTTTACTGGTTTTAGCTGCTATGGATAGAATTAACTTAACTGATTCTGTACGAATAACTGGAATAATATTTTCAAAATGATCAATGCACTTATTTTGTGTGAAACCCGTTTAAATCAATCTAGTTTTCAATCTAGCTTTAAATCGGTTGTCATCCTTCCTCGTTAAAACTCATCTGGATTTAAAGAACTTTTTATCTTTGAATATATTAACTAAAGTCCATGTTTCGTTCCCATAATGTGTTGATATTTCTTTATTCATTTCATGACTCCAATTAACTTTTATTTATAGCCTCATTATATTTGAAAATAAGGTGGGTTTTTTTATTTCGATAGCATGAACGCCTTCTCATGTATATCTATCATAAAGTCTTGTTTTCTTCATCTCTAGCTTTAATAAATCATCCGTTTTCTAGTTCGGTGTAAGTGAAATAAAAGGACAAGTTGAATCGACAGTCATTGACTTTGAGAAATTTGCTCCCTCTGAATAAAAAAGTCCTCACTTTATACTATAACCGAAACCATCCCTTATTTAAATCAAGGGTATATGCTCCCATTTTTCATTATAATGGTCTTACACATTATTACTCTCTTACAGATCAACATTGTATTTCTCCAAAAAATTTAAAAAAAACGTTTGTAATGAATTGTGGTAAATACAGATCACCAAGTAAGAATTCATTTATTCCAGATTTTGGTACTGATGAATCATTCATAATCATTTATCTATTGTAACCTCATAATAGTTGATTTTAGGATAACAATGACTTTAGTGGTAGAACCAAAATTTTATACTCAAAAATTAGTTTAAGTGTTCAAAACTAGGTTTTTATCTGGGATAAATCAGATTTATTTAAAAGTCGAATGTGACGAACAACGTATTACTAATCTTTTCTGATTATTGAATCAAAGCGTTTCTCACCATTTTAATTTAAAATTTACATATGCTAAGATGTATATTGCATAAGCTTCATACAATTTGAATTACTTAAATAAAAATGTTCCGTATTAATTTTTATCTCCTTAATTTGTTCAAAGGATAGTTATTATCAATATTTGAAAGATGGAAGCTGAATGTGTTGTTTTGTAAGTGTTTAAAAATCAGATTTGATTTTCGTATTTGAATAAAGCTTGTGGACACGCGGTATTTATTTAAACGCGTAGTGATTTATAATTTGTTAAGTACAATTATTCATATGATATATTATGATTTTGGTTTCTCAATTAGTTTAAGTAGATGAACTGCACAACTAGAAAGATTGTACACTATACTTAATCACAAATATCAATTACAGTAATAATGGACTATTACCAAGCAGTTACAGAAGACCTGGCCAATGAAAATGATAATTCAAAGTTTTCAATTCTTTTCAATGATAATTCTGATTTTGAGTCAGATCTGGACCAAGAAGATTATTCCAGTGAAGAGGACAAAGAGCAAGATATGATAGATATAGATGAAGAAGATGTACCAGAAAGAATAGGCAACGATAATCTGGAGTCAACTGTTGAAGAATTATCTAATGGTTTTAAATATATTGATGGATTCATTGTGAAAGATGGAAAAGTTTACAATGCGGGCGGAAGTACTTTTAGAATCCACCATAAACATGTTTGGAATGAAATTTTAAAAAAACGCTTAAGAATTGTTCAAATTTCCAAGTATAGAGTAGGAAGGATCTATAAAATCAGAAATAATACTATATTTAATTATGTGGAGCCCGTGACAAGGTTCGTTAGTCAAAAACGAGGAAAAACAAGTTTTCTGAATTATCCTTCGAATGGTGCTGTTAAAGTTACGGGAGCAACAGTTAATTTTAGCACTAGTGAATATGTCATGATTGTACTGAGTAAACCTGGAGAAGACTTGTCTTCTTATTCTAAAGCTCAAGATGAGACACCACAATTGGAAGAAAATAATACGATTCTAAATACGATGTATGGTGATATTAAATATGATGATGATGATATTCAACTTGTTAAAAATGCAAACAATGCTGAAATGATTAAGTATGGAGAAATGGTATACTGGACTCTATATAATAAAGCAACAAGATCATTCTATTTTGAAGATATTGTAACTACTACTAAACATAATGGGGTTAAGAAAACAACTAAATTTATCAGAAGACATAACCCAGCTCATGCGGATTCATTAGCACGCTCATTTGGTAGGCTCATGTGTATTGTTTGGATTGCTAAAGATTTAAAGATGATTGATAATGAGAAATATACAATCGACTTGGCTCTCGTTAATGATATTTTGGATCCATCAGATGAAAAGAAAGTCGAATCGATTACAAAATTAGTTAGAAGATTTATTGAAAAACCAGATTCATTAATTGCAGCTGTATTTTCGTTGTTTTTCACTCGTTTTAATGAAAGCAAATTTTATCTGGTATCGATTTGTATTAAAAGACTTAATAGTATTAAAAATATTTGTAAGTATGCAATGGCTACTACTCATGAAAATTTGATCAAGTATGAAAAAGACAAATCATTAGAATCTACAAATGTTCCTGGAACAGTACTTACCGACAGATTGACTGGCTTGCTTAAAGAAGAAGTAAAATGTTTAAATGATGATGTTTGTGTTATTGGAGATAGAGAAATTTCAAAAGATGATTTAATTGACATTTATAAAGCAGCCAAAACCATTTTTGACGACTCTTGGGAAAAGATTTGTCTTCATGCCAACAAGAATATAAGTCAAGGAGTCGTATATAACAATTATAGGTTTAGTCTAACATCAGCAACAACACATGCAGGCAATTTTTTGCCGCAAAAAATCGTAAATACTTTTTCAAGTCTGGCAATTCAAGAAAAAGAGAAGGTGTTGAACCTAATTCAAAAATGTACTTTAACTCTCATGGCTATGATATACGTCACTTCAAGTGATACATATAGGTTTTCTGAGCTTCGTTCCTTGGTATTTAGGGCACATTCATATTGTGATAGAAACATTGTCAACGTGAATAATAGTGTGCACATTCAAACATTTAAAAATGGAAAGCGGAAAAACAGACTTAGTTGGTATCCTACGGTCATATGTGAAAAGATTGTGGCTTTCTTGTTTGCTCTTCGGACTTTGCAGTATCGGTTATTAGAAGGTTCGTTTGAAAAATTTAGATCAAAAGATTTTTCAGGTGAAGTTGACGCTAGACAAACCTTTAGAACATTTTGCTTTCTTGATAATACAGGTAGATTAATAACTTTGAAAAAATTTGCAAACTTTTTACAAGTTTTGCAACCAATTAAGAGTCTTAGCTTAAGAGATATTAGAAAGGCAATCACTTTTATGGCTAATAGAAATGTAACAACTAGGGTCCATCAAGATGCGGTTGCTTTCATGGAAAGAATGCGTAGTCGTAACCCAGAAATTGCAAGACAGCATGCTCAAGACTTAAATAGTATCATCAAATATTTTTTTGAGTATAATGTACCTGCTGCAGAATCCATGGGTAAAAACTGGTGCAAATATCTTAAGATAAGATAAAGTTCTTACTACACCAAAAAGCTCCAACTGATTCACGTCGCCACTTTTCCAAATACAACAATTTTGAAATCGAAGAAAAAGTTCCATCAAATATTCAAATTTTAAAATTTCTTATTTTCAGTATGAGTCAATTTGAGAGCATTTATTAGGTAATTGAAGATCCTTGATGATTACGGCTGGCCCAATTCAAGTCAATCTTAAGGAGTATAATGGTAATAATTTTTGTCACATTCTGTCTTTCCAAGATTAAATATGTTCTCTTATTATCTATTTACCTTTTAATTATATATCAGTAACACAACCTTTTGATGCATCACTTACTAATTTCGCATATTTAAATAAAGTACCTCTTTGATATCTTAAAGGAGGAGGTGACCAATTTTTTCTTCTTTCATTTAATTCATCTTCTGATACTAAAAGATCAATAATATTATTATCAGCATCAATAACAATTTCATCACCATCTTGAACTAAAGCAATTGGACCACCTTCATAAGCTTCTGGTACAATATGACCAATTAAAAATCCATGAGAACCACCTGAAAATCTACCATCAGTTAATAAAGCAACATCTTGACCTAATCCATAACCCATTAATGCACTTGAAGGTTTCAACATTTCAGGCATACCTGGACCACCTTTTGGACCTTCATATCTTATAACACAAACTGTTTTTTCACCTTTTTTAATTTCTCCATTTTCTAATGATGTTATAAAAGCATGTTCATTATCATAAACTCTTGCTTTACCCTTAAAATAAGTACCTTCTTTACCAGTAATTTTTGCAACTGCTGAACCTGGAGCTAATGTTCCTTTTAAAATTTGTAAATGACCACTTGGTTTTAAAGGATTTGAAACTTTATGAATAATATCTTGACCTTCAGGTAAACTTGGTAAATCTTTTAAATTTTCAGCAATTGATTTACCAGTAACTGTTAATTGTGAACCATCAATCATTCCTTCTTCCATTAAAAATTTCATTACAGCTGGTGTTCCTCCAACTTTTTGTAAATCTGCCATAACATATTTTCCAGATGGTTTAAAATCAGCTAATAATGGAGTAGAATCACTTATTCTTTGGAAATCATCAACTGTTATTTCTATATCAAATGATGAAGCAATTGCTATAATATGTAATACTGCATTTGTTGATCCTCCTGTAGCTATAATATAAGTGATTGCATTTTCGAATGATTTTTTAGTTATAATATCTTTTGGTTTTAAATCTAATATTAATAAATTCTTTATTGCTTCTCCTACTGATGCACATTCATTTGCTTTTTCTTTTGATATAGCTGGTGATGATGAACTGAAAGGTAATGTTAAACCTAATACTTCAGCTGCAGAAGCCATTGTATTTGCAGTATACATACCACCACAAGCTCCTGGACCAGGACATGCATTTTTAACAATATCATTTTTTTCTTCTAAAGTAATTTGTTTTGATAAATATTGTCCATAACTTTGAAAAGCACTTATAATATCTATTTTATCAGATACCGCTGGGTTTTGTGATCCACAACTTGGTGAACCTGGTAATATTGTACCACCATATACCATTATTGAAGGTCTATTATGTCTACCCATTGCCATTAATACTCCAGGCATATTTTTATCACAACTTGGTATAGCTATATTTGCATCATATAATTGAGCCATTGTCATAGTTTCAAAAGAATCAGCTATAATTTCTCTTGATTGTAAAGAATATTTCATACCTTCGGTTCCATTAGTTATACCATCACTTACACCAATTGAATTGAATTGCATTGCTTTTAAACCTGCTTTATTTACTGATTCAGCACATGCATTATTTAAATCCATAAGATGCATATTACATGGATTACCTGTCCACCATACTGAACCAACACCTACTTGAGCTCTATTAAAATCTTCATCATTAAATCCAGTAGCATATAACATGGCTTGTGAAGCTCCTTGAGATGGATCACCTGTTACTATTGATGAATATTTATTTAATTTTTTTGCACCTTCACATCTAGTCGCCGAACATGTGAAATTTCGAATACATTGTTTTGAAGTGTTCATCAAACTCATTCTAGTTGTTGTTGTGGTTCTTTAGTTGATGAATGTTTGTTTGTTTGATGTAAATGATTAAATATTTGAAGTTTGGTTAGATACTTAAAATTGAAAAATTTCTACAAGACTCATACTTTTTTCGTCTTTTTGTGTAATTTCTACGGCCCGTTCAGGAAAAGCGGGTAGAAAGATCTGAGCCGCACCGACCAATTTCTTATCCAATTAAATATCCTAAATTTGTAATTATATGTAATATACAACTAGAAACATCTACTGTCAAATTCGAATTCAAAATCTTTATTAAAGTCATTTTATGGAATTAATTTTTTGAACAACTTCGCATATCAAACCAATTCAACTGTGTTAGATTTCATAAATATGTAATTAAATGCAAAGAGTGACTTATAACGCCGACTCATTGATCTTGCATTCAAAAATTGAAGATTTAGTTCATTCACGGTTTGGAACATCTTGACTTCGGCTTTATTCATTCCGACTATTTCATCTTTACAACTAATCAAATAATTATGGATTCTTAGACATCAAGTGAGGTTTTCAGATAGTCATCTACTTCAGAATGACTTAGCATAAATATCAGGAATAATACCGCCATACAAAAGGCCAGACCATACAAAATAAAGGCTTTTAAAACCACAGGTAGAAAATCCGTTGCTCAGAATGTCAAAAAACGTGCTGTAAGAGGGAAATGTGGTGACTATGACTTAACATTAGCTGGTATTTGAACCCTAAGACTGAAAAAACTCAAGTAGACATCAGACTAGAAGTTAAAAAAGCTTGAATTTTCAATTTACTAACCTTTTGTTTGTTTCAATATGACCACGAGACTTAATTATACTAGTGGGCATTGTTGTTTGTGTGTATGATATTAAATCTGTTTTATTAAAAAAGCCAAACATGTTCAAGCATTTATGGCAACGATGTGATGAACCATTTCAATGATCTTTAACAAATTATCGGCTTTAATTGGATCAGAAAGTCATTGTCAAAATCAGTCACTTAGGTCATTGATACCATAGCTTGAGACTTAAAACTTAATTATCTAAACTAAAATAAACGACAATATACCACATAGAAGTTGGAGGGTGTATTTGTGTCCATATAAATCATATGAATATATATATGGATTTACTTATACTGCCTCCTTACTTCTGAGTATTGTATTATCATTTTTATTATCGTTAAATAATTTATTTCGAGAAATAATGATTTCAAGAAGAGCATATGATGTTTCAAAATATTATTATATACAATGATTTATATTAGCATTTACAACTGGAATAAGGATGCTCTTGACCTATAAATAATTGAATGTTCAACATCATGTTCACTAGTAGTAAGACTAGCACCTCTGGTATAACGTTCGTGTATCCTAAATCATTACCTGGAGGAGGTATTAAACTTATTATCAGTGAACACGATGTCAAAAATTCAATTTTAGGTTAAATGGTATTCACAAGAACATGCTCAAACGAACCGTTGTAATTGCTAATAAAAAAACAATTGAGTTCCCAAATCGATCTTTTTCCAACATTTTCGTTTGTTCTTGTAAATGAAAACTAAATACTGAACTTAGCTTACATCTTGATCTTCGCTAATTCCTCTATAGTTTCATTTCTATCTATTTCATAATTTCTTACTAAAATGTAATTGTAATGACAGATTGAAATGGCATCTTCGGATCAATGATTCAAATAGCAACTGAGTCTATTTTTACCATCATACTTGATTTGATAGATGTTTTTGATTGAATTGATAATTCTTTATTCTACTTTGATCAATTTTTTATTGTATTACATCAGTGGTTAGAGTTTATACTGATTGGTAACAAATAAAAATTGTTGTGAATTACACAAAACTCGACCTCGGTGATAATTTAATTCTATTTAATGTAGTCAAGGGTTCCCCCAATTTTAAAATTTTTCATGCGAATTATTGTAAGTATTTGTGACCAGTATATTAATTTTGCGACAAAAACATACGAAGCTATTTTTTTTGTTAATAGAATTTGTTTAGTAAAAATTTCCCCACCTTTCGGAAAATATTATTTTTTCAGTGTCATCTGAAATCAAAAAATGAAAAAGACGTTGAAAGTATTTTTCTATTGTTCGGAGTTTAAATATCACAGGGAAATAATATTCTACTAAATCTATATATATTAAAGTGAATATACTAACAATATATTTTTCATATCTTACAACCAACACACTTACATCTAAACTTACATCGCATCCAATATACACATAATTATTCAAACAAACAAACGCACAATCATGGCAGAAAGAAGATTAATAAAAGAATATACAAAATATCAAAAACAATCACCAACAAAAACAAATCATCAAATATTAAATTTAAATCCAATATCAGATAATAATTTATTTAAATGGGAATCAACAATAACAAAACAAACATTAGAAGATTCACCATATTATTATGGAGGTAAATGGGATCTTATAATAGATATTCCTGAAAATTATCCACAACAACCACCACAAATAAAATTCAAAACTAAAATATTACATCCAAATATAAATTTTAAAACTGGAGAAATTTGTTTAGATATATTGAATAAAAATTGGGTACCTACATGGAATTTAGAAAGTGTAGTAATTGCAATATTACAATTAATTGATTATCCTGAAATTAATTCTCCTTTAAATATTGATGCATCAAATTTATTTAGAGATGATAAATTAGCTTTTGAAAGTTTAGTTCAATATCAAATTTGGTTAAATGAAAAAAATTTAAAAAAATGTGATATTTCAGGGTTGAAAAATTGAGGGAGATGAGGAGAGTGTGTGAGAGTTGTTTAGTTCTTTTAGGTTTTTGGAGTCTCGGGTTAATAGAGTTTATAATGATTTATGAATGAAAAAGTAAATGAATTTATGTGAATTTTTTGAAATATGTGCTTCTATACATTGAATGTAGAATCTTACTATGTGTCTACGCCATATACTTGATAATCATTAGAATTCACGTGATAATCAATTCACGTGATAATCAATTAAAGTAAAAATGAATAATGCAAGTCACCAGTTACAAATACTAGAGTATTTGGTCGTAAGAACAAGAGGTTAAAATAATCAAATGAGTGATCTGTATTTATAAATCTATATAACTAACCAAAAATAAATAAAAATAAATATCCCATACCATACCTTTTATAATTTATAATTATATATAATTGTTTCTTTAATCTTCAGTAACAAAAACTTGAGGAATTTTAGTAGTTGAACCATCTAATGAATTATTAAATGAATCATTATTACTTGAATTACTATTAGTATTATTATATGAATCCAAATTTTGAAAATTACTTCTGTTATTATTTCCAATATTAAATTCAATTGGATTATGATTATAATTTCTTTCATCAATATTCCTGGTGTTAATAAAACTATTTAATGATTCATTTGAATCTTTATTTTTAAATTCATTTTCACCATTAGAATTTTGATTATCTTGTAAAATTTTAAAATCTTGTAATTTTTTTTGTAAAATATTAAATTTTTCACTTTCTTTTGATCTTAATTCTATAATTTCTTGTTGTTGTTTCATAAATGCTTTTTGTAATTTTAATAATTCTATTTCTTTTGAATCTTGTTGTTGTTGTTGAGTTTGTTGTTGATGTGGTGGTGGTTGTCCTTGTGGTTGTTTATTAATATTAAATTGAGTATCTGTTGGTGTTAAATTTCTTGGTGTATAATTTGGTGAACTTAAATTACTTGATGATTTATTATTTACATTTGCATTCTGCATTGATAAATCTGAAAATACTTCATCAAATGGATTTGAATCAGTTTTAGGTGATTGATTTGGAGTTTTAATTCTTGGTGTAAACATTCCTGATAATGCTTCATTTTGAGTTGAAAGATTATTATTGACATTGGTTGGTTTTGAATTATTTAAATCAATTGTTAAATCGTTTTTTCTTTTTGGAGCACCTTGATTTTGATTATTTAAATTATTACTTTGTTCAACTTTATTTTCAATAAATTTAAATCTTTCATAATGATTATTACCAAATTTTAATAATTCAAATAAATCTTCAAACCATAAATTATAATCTTGTTGATTATTTAATTTAAAAGTTTTTTTGGATTTATTTGAAATTTTAGTTAATGTAAATTTAAAATTTAATTCATCTTTTGTTGCAATTTGATAATCATTTAAATTATACGATTTTACTGGTTCATCTTCAAATCCAATAAATCCTCCAATTTTATCTTTTGTTTTAGTTGTTGAATTTGAATTTACTGAATTATTTGTATTTTTCTTTTGTACTGATTGATTTAATTCTTCATCAAATTTAAATTCATGTAAATAATTACATGATAAAACATAATAATATCTTGTATAATTTTTCATTAATTTTGATTTTTTATACATTATACCAAATCTCAAGCATTTATTTTGAATTGATTTCAGATATGGTAATTCAATTGATTTAAAATTTCTAATATCTCTCTTAGGATTTAAATCAGTTGATTGAAAAGTATTTACAAAACAATTATTATTCATTATAAAATATTCCCAATCTTTTGTTGATGATTGACTTATCTTGGTTTTAAAAAAATTATAAAACATTGGATTTAAATCTAATTTTGAAATTTTATCAACAACAAAATTTAATTCTTTTAAAATATAAGTAAATAAATCTTTGGAAATATTTTGTAAATTCATATATGATGCAAACATATAATTTTCAAATATTAATTGAGTTTTTAATCTTGAATCAACTTTTAATTTTACTAGTAAAGGATCATCTAATGCAGCATATTCTTCTTCATCTCCTTGTTCAAAACTTCTATTTTTAACAACTGGTTTTATACCACAATAAGTTTCAACTGATGACATATATTTACTTAAAATTTGACCAGTTTGAGAAATTTCTTTACTTAATTCAGTATTTGCAAATGCATCATTTTTTAAACTTAATTTAATTTCTTTAATTTTGTTGGAAACTTGTTTTAATAAAATTTCCATTCTTGGTATTAATTTTGAATTTAAATCTTTTTTTAATTTAAAACTGTTGTTGAATGCTTGATGATGAGAACTTAATAATATAGCTGGTAAATTTGTATATAATGAATTTTCTGGGAAATACGTTGATGGAATACGGACATCATTTGTATTTGTTGAAGTTTCAGCATTCAATGGTGGAGTAGTAGCTCCAGGAGGATTTGGTGGTGGTTGTTGATGATGGTTTGGTTGTTGATGTAAATGTGGTAAATGAGAAGTTATACTTTCTGAATGTAAATGTGGGAAATGCTGTTGATGATTTGGAGAATTTGAACCACCTCCTGATGTAATTGAATTAAACAGATTATTTGTATTTGTTGGAACTAATTGTCTTAAAGAAGTTAATGAATTATTTTTTTTATGTAAATTTGTAGCAGCATTTTTTAAAAATGATTGATTATTATTTGATTTTGTTTTGAATAATCCTGGTCTTTGTTTTTCAATTGGTTGAGTTGTACCTGTTTTTGAAGGTAAATGTTGAAGTTGTGGTGAACTATTATTATTATTGGCAGATGAGTAGAGAGATGAACCATTATTTGATCCATTATGATTTATATTTAAATTTGCATTTGAAGTAGAATTTCCATTTGATTGTCCATTACTATTATTACCATTTGAACTTGTTTTAGTTAATGAATTTAAACTTGAACTTGATAAATTTTTTTTAATTTCTTTTGTTGGAGTTGTATTATTTTTTGGTGATATAGTACCACCTAAATTTGGATTATTAAATTGAATATCTTGTAAAATTTTATTTGGTAAATCTCTACAACCAGGAAATTGAACAGCTTGAATTAATTGATAATTTAAATTTGATTCTAATTCTTTTACTAAAACAATTTCTTTTAAATAATAAATAATTGATTTTATAAAATATTTCCAAAATTTAAAAAATTCAATTAAATTATCTATTGGTTTTGAATCATATGGTGGTAAATTATAATAAAATGGGGATTTTGAATTTGTTGATGGTAAAATTTTTTCTTTTTCAAATTTAAAATTTGAATTTGTTGTTGAATTTGAATTCATTTTGAAAACATGGGGTGTTTATTAGTTGTTGGTGATTGGTTGGATGTTGCTAGCTGGATGGTTGATACTTATTATCGATTGTTGGTTGGTTATTTGATGGTTGTAAAAAGTAATGAAGATGATGAATGAATAAATTTGGTTGTAAAAAATTCTGTTGTAAAACTGTGAAAATAAAATCCAATTTATTCCGGATTAATGTTCTCTTATAAAATTTAACCGCTGAAAGGAGATGTCAAATTTATTAATATTTTGTTTGTTTGATTTTGTACTGTTAGTCTATTGATTTTCTATAACTTTCTCTTTTATTTGACCAATTGTAAATGATGAAGTTGTATTTTAATTTAAATTGAGTTTAACTAGCTTAAATTAAGTTGAAATGAGGTATATTTTATAATGGGATATTCAATCCTTATCCAATTCTGATGAGTTAATGGATTTAAGCCTAATCCTAATCAATTATATGAATATTGTATAATTCAACAGTAGGCGTCTATTGTAAATTTTAAAACAATAGAAAATTAAAAATAATATTTTTGATTGATAACGAGTTTATATTTAAATGAAGTAGTGAAAAAAGTGGACCTATTTATATGATGATAAAGAGAACAACTAATAATATATGAAGTAGTTCTAATAATAGAACGTTATCACAAACTGCTCTCTACTACAGACTAACAATAACAATAACAACATGAACATAACACATAACGCTAACTAATTTAAATAATATATAATTCTTGTCCCTATATTAATTATTATAGAACGAAAAGAAAAGAGGGCTCGATTTATCAATTTTATGGAAACAAAATCATAATTTGTGATCTCTGGACCTGTCTTCTCCCTATTCTCCCTAACCTTCGCGTCATTTCTCCACTCCTTTTCTCCAATGTTTGTACTATTTGTAATTCGTGTGGTGCTTCTGGTCTATTGATCTATAATAAAAACTACAATAGACTTGATTTTGATTTTGTGTAATTTGGAGTTTTGTGACATTAAATTTCATATCTTCTAGAATCAATTTTTATTTTCACCTCTATAAGCCTTTAATTCAACTCTATACAAAAGCATATTCATGTTGAATTGTTTTGAGAAAGTCCTCTTCTTCAACTTCATTCATTCTATTTAAAAACTCCTTACATTATGTTACTTTGAAAACAATTGATTAATAATAGTTGCAATTTAAACATTAATGACATCATCAATCTATGTTACAATAAAATATGTCAAAAAACTTTAATTTCCATTACTTAGATCCGATTTGTATTTGATCTATAAATATAATATTAAAAGGTTTATAACCTTAGAAATCTCGGTTGATCTAGTTTTCTTAATTTTCTCATCATACGTTCCACTAGAAATTTGGACCGACTAATACACTAATTTGTGATTAGAGCAATTTATAGCATAAATTTGCTTATGTATTTACTTAGGCATTGCTAAAAAAAACTTTTTACTACATCGTCTATCCCTTCTTCTCTTCTCATCTCTTCTTCTTCACTCTCTTGAGATCTATTTTGTAACTCCAGTAACAAGTAAAGTAACATTAGAAATACTTGGCATGAAGAAGGACTAGATTGCAGGCTTAATTAGGTCATATGTAGTTAAGAATACTCTTCACTATACTCTTCACTATATTAATTTTGTGAAAGATAATATAAAATGTGTGTACCTTGTAAGCTTAGTAAATTGTTTATCATCAATGGAAAATACTATGACTTTTTAATTTTGAATATTCTTTTACAAGACTTGGTATTACTTATCGTATCAAAGAGTGCATATCTCGAATTATTTCTTTAAATTAACAGAAACTCTACAAACAACTAGACTTCAATCAAATTTTATTATTGTATTAAATACTTAGTTACTTACTTATGTATTTAAAAATATTCTTAGGACTACATTTTTATATAATTTGATGGGAAAACACCTTGTTGTCCATTATATGAACCCATCCACCAACCAGGATCATCTTTATTTAATATTTCAATAGTTGCACCTGCTGGGAAAGATAAATCTCCTTGTGCTTGTGCTGTATAATCATATAATGCAATACAAGTTTCATGACCTTGAGATGGAGGTGGTTGTTGTTGTTGTTGTGTTGGGGCTGTTGGTGGTGGTGAACTCATATATTGAGGTGGTGGGGATGCTGCACTTCCATATGTTTGTTGTTGTTGTAGATGTGGTTGTTGTTGATATGTATTTTGTGGTGATTGATATGGTTGTTGTTGATATTGTTGTTGATAAGTATTTTGAGGTGATTGATATTGTTGATATTGTTGATTTGGTTCTGGTGATCCATAACTTGGAGATTTATAATCTGGATTATAACCAATTGGTGCAGTATTATTTTGATAACTTGGTAAATCATTACTATTATTACTTAAAGTTGGAGAATTCAGCATTGCAGCATGACGTCTTCTTGTTGCTTCTAATTTTGATTTTGCATGACCAACTTTAAAATGAGTTATACCAATAGCATCAGTTTGTTCTTCAACATTTCCCTTTTTTTTATGATAAGTTTCAACTATATCAGTTGACATATCAAAATATGGAATTTTTAATTCATCCATTCTATTATATAATGTATAAAATATATTTAATTGCATATAATAAAATGAAACAAATAAAGGTTTTATAAAATCACTTTGCATTTGAAATAATATTGGTAATTCTTGTTTTAATAAATCATTATAATAATCATATTCTTGTTGAGCAACTTCAACTTCTGCTTCTGCACTATACATTTTTTCTTCATCTTTAACAGTTCTTTCTTTTTTCAGTTCATATTTATTAAAATTTCTTTTATGTCTATCTAAATCAACTTGTTTATGATCTCTTTTTGTTGCCATTTTTCTAATTGATGTTATAACTTTTAATAATTCTTGAGCTGGTTCAACAATTCTTTTTTCAATTAATTCTAAATCAGGTTTTAAAACTTCTTTTAATTCTTTAACAACATCTCTATATTGTTCTGCAGCTAATATACCATCTGGATTATCTTCAGGTACAGTTGAATTTGGATCAGATAATCTACCACTTATTGGTTTATAAATTTCTTCAATTGCTTTTGAAAATTCAATTTGATCATCTAACATACCACTTATTGCTGAAAAATATTTTTTTGATTCATCACTTAATTTTTTGGTTTCAATTTCAATTTCTTTAAATCTTCTTTCTGCATCTTGATAAACTGGATCTTGAGTTATTTCTCCCATATTCATTTTTTGACGAAAATTTTGTGGAGCACGCACAATTGATTTTTTTATACCTTTGAATGACATTTTGAAGGGGGTTTGTGGTTAAGGTATATATGTAATTGGATTATAAGTGATGAATATGATATGATTCTTGGTCTATTATGTCTTGTTTATCAATGGTTGTAATTATTATATTTAGATTTAATTGAGTTTTTTCTTTCGAGTTTAATTTATTATTAGACTTTTTTTTTTTTTTCTTTGATTGGAGATTTGATAAATTTACGCAGCAAACTGAATATAGATTTTATCATTCAAATTTATAAATTTCATTTTACGCCTCTAATTTTGTTGAAGTATTGGGTTTAAGTGTTGCGGTACAGAGGTCAAGGAAACTTTGTGTATTACATCTTGAGTTACGGGTTTATAACATACAACATTACAATATAGTTAATAGATCAAATCAGTGATTTTATTCAGAAGATAAAGGTATTCATCTTCCTATAAACATAATTTAAATTTACAATTGGAGTGAAAGAGTGATATAATACACACTATGATACCTTTATAATTTATTTGGTGAGAAATTTGAAATTAATTGGATATTTCGGGAATTTATTCATGCTTTTTTATGTATTCAAAGAATGAAATCTCCTATTTTTTTAATAGTAATTTTAAAGAACTAATTCAAAGATTGAAATAAAATTCAAATAAGTTTCCTACTAATTTCTGAAGTTAGAGAACTTAGGATTAACAGTGGTATCTTGAAACCTCATTCCATGCCAAATAGTATTCGAGATCATATCTTGTAATTTGTCCACTGAATCAGTTAGATCTCAAGATCTCTATTATGATTCAGCTTGTAAGTTTAGAGACTATGAATTACATGGAAGTGTTAATAAGTCCCTTTTTGGTTCTGAACAAGCCATGTTATGAAAGGAGGGATTGATTATACAAATCGGAAATAAAATATTTCATTGATCAACCAAAAATAAATCAAATGATCCACTCTTGAACATTATTTCAAACGCTGAGTTTAAAAATCATTAAATTACGAGACTCTATTGATAAAAGCCAAATTGATAGTTCAAAATTTTTTCCATGCTATATTTGTTACTCTTTAATCTTATAGGTTTATATTGAAATTTCAAATTCATCAATAGGTTATTCGTAAATTTGTGTTTATATAACTTTGAAGGTTGCAAATTTTGATATTCCTTCTACATTTTTCAGAGCTCATAATGACTTCAAAATGCCTTGATCTTTAAATGGAATCTATTGTGATATTTTTAGAACATCATACACCATCAATTCCGTTCTTCTATCATTTACTTCGCTTATCAAAAGAAATACAAAACACACAGTGTGCTATTATTTAATTTAGATTCGGTTAAATATTATTAACCATAGACAATTGGTATTACTTTATTGTTAATTTAAATTATAAGCGCAAAGATGTTTTGTTGATCTTCGTGATTCCCGTTCTAATCTTATTGTTTAACATGCACAAATTTGTTCATGTATCTTATTGTTTGACAAATATTTGTTCATATAATTCTTTACGTCTATAACAAATTTCGTCTTTAGTGACCAAAACTTTAGTCACAAATTCCTCACAATGCCCTAGTCATGATTCAAAGAGTTGAGAATTTGATTGAATGATTGATGTGATGTATTTGACAAATTTATTAAAATGGAAGATGTCTTAACCTGATGGTAAAACCTGAGGGTTTCTACACTCAATTTAAATTTCAATTTATCTTAAAAATTACGAATTTATTAATTTTATGATAAACTTTTGACAATATCATATTCATTGTAGGTATGAACAAGCTAGATGTTCAAATAGCTTATGCGAATTACTTTGATTTGTTATCTAATGACACGAATCTCTTAATAAAGATGATTATTTATACCCGATAACCTCAATTTAATAATGAAATCGTTATGAGATCCGCTTTTTGTGGTAACAATACTTAAATTTGAAGTTTATCTTAGATAATCTTAATTCTTTTATGTTTTATTGTTTAACCTTCTTTCGTAAATTTATTTGTACACAAAATGAATTTCATCTTAAAAATATTATGAAAGAGGAAATTGATTTTCAAGATTGTTTATATCCCACATGTCAGTTTCAAATATTGGCTGTTATCAAAGTTAAATAGATTTCCGTTATGGACCAGATCCCCCAAATCAAAAAGTATGCAGATGAACAAAATGAATAGGGAGCTTCTAATTTACAATGTTTATCAAGTTGATTTACGAATAGAATAACAAGTTGAAGTTATCTTCATTGCCTAACAATTGTGTGAAATACTCAACATCAGTTGATAAATACATGACTGGGTTAAACAACCTAAGCTAATTAAGTTTGAAAAGCATGCAGTTAAGACCAATATCATGTTTGAAATAATAGAACAATTTGGAGATAGTCGTAAAATTGAAATTTAATTAAAATCAAGAATATTATGCCAATTGGAATTACGAATTGTTATGTATAAATTATTATTTGCTAGTTGGTTGATTGTTTATCATATTACGCTCAAATCTAAGATATCTGTAAAATAATTGAAACATTCATTTGCTAAATTAGATTAAAATATTGACGCATTAAGAAAGGTTACTAGATTTTTGACGTGATATGAATAAAATTGCGGATCGATGAAATCAATATTTTTCAAAACAATCTTGATATTTCATGTTAAAACAACTAATATTCTTGATTTTTCGTAAAATTTAAGATTTATTATTTATTTCAATCAGATGAAAACTGAACAATTGTTTATGTAAATGGACTTTATTTACTTTAAATGTTATATCATAATCTATAAACAGGATATCCCAAAATTGCAACTCATAAAAGCTGAATATACGAACCAAACCAATTACAAATGATGAATCAGTTTCATTAATATAAATAATAGCCAAAATCCTCAAATCACAATTCATAATCGATAATTCCAACCTATTCATTCGCTTAATCAACCATGAAATTTTTATCATTGATATCAATCACTTCAGTTGTTGTTGCAACAGCCCTTGAGAAATCTAACTATTTATTACCAAATGCTCATGCAGATTATCTTATCAAAAGAGATGCTAATCCAGATTATTTTCAATGCCTGCAGTATGATGGACAATGTCAATATGCCAGTTATTTAGCTTTAGGTTGTAAGGGTGATGTGTCGTCTAATAAACAAGATGAATTTGATTGTTTTTGTCATAATGAACCTGGAAACCCTTATTTAATGGCTTGGCAATATTGTTATTATGATTGTCTTGATCCTAGATTTTTCTATATGGGAAACAACACATTTTATAATACTTTTTGTTCACCTTACAAAGATCAGGGGTTCACGCCATTTCCTGACGATACCCCAATCATATCGGATGGCTCCGATGCATCATCAGTTGTTCCAATTTCATCAGAAAATCAACCACCACCACCACCAGCTTCATCAGCTGTTCCAATTTCTTCAGAAAATCAACCACCACCACCAGCTTCATCAGCTGTTCCAATTTCTTCAGAAAATCAACCACCACCACCAGCTTCATCAGCTGTTCCAATTTCTTCAGAAAATCAACCACCACCACCAGCTTCATCAGCTGTTCCAATTTCTTCAGAAAATCAACCACCACCACCAGCTTCATCAGCTGTTCCAATTTCTTCAGAAAATCAACCACCACCACCACCAGCTTCATCAATTGTTCTAATTTCATCAGAAAATAAACCTTCTCGCCCTTCAGCTTCATCAATTGTTCAAATTTCTTCAGATAATAAACCAGCCCCCCCTTCAGCTTCATCAATTGTTCTAATTTCATCAGAAAATAAACCTTCTCCCCCTTCAGCTTCATCAATTGTTCAAATTTCATCAGAAAACGCTCCAGTATCATCCCATTCAGCCCCTCACAGTGTTATAGAATCATCAAGTGTCCCAGTACTTCCATCAACAGGATTTGCGTGGTCTAATTCGACTTCTGAAGGTAACGGTTCAAATAATGGGGGATCTAATGGTCCGAATAACGAAGGATCTAATGGTGCAAATAACGAAGGGTCAGGCAATGAAGGGTCTGGTAATAAAGTTCCACATACTACCGTTATCACGATCACGCTGTGCAGCGAGGGTCACTGCTCAGCAGCTAAAACTATAACTACTGGATACACAACAATAACAGAAGCTGAAACTACATATGTTACATGGTGCCCATTATCTGAAGAATCATACGCAACTACTCAATTTACAACTGTTGAAAATGGTCAAACTCATACTTATACATCAGGATATACATTCATTTCAGAAGCTGAAACTGTTTATACAACCTATTGTCCGTTAAGTGTATCAACTACTGTCATAAAATCTACTGAAGTTGGTGGTTCTGTTCATTTATATACTTCAGGATGGTTTTTAATAACTGAATCTGAATTTTCAAAAACATTTACTGCTTATTGTCCAACTGAAGTTTCAACTACAATTTTCAAATCAACATCAGAGGGTGGAGAAACTGAAATTACTACAGGATGGGTTGTTGCTACAAAATCAGCCACTGAATATACTTCATACGTCGCTTTATCTACAATTGCTGGTGAATCACATGGTGGATCAAAAACAACAATTGCTGGTGAAACACATGGTGGATCAAAACCAACAATTGCTGCGCAATCAGTAGGAGGATCTAGCACTATTGGAACACATCCTTCTGCTGCAGTTTCAGTTCAAGCTGGTGCTGGTTCATCATATACTTATTCAATTTTAGCTGGTATAATTGCTTTCATTGGATTATTATAAAGAATTTGAAATTTCAATCTTTTCAATCAAGTTTTATCAACTGATATTTATTATTTTCACTTTCTTCTGGTATCAATTATATTTTTCGTTAAACTTTAGCTTTTTTCAATGTTGAATTGTTTTTATCATTATATTTTCAGTTTGAAATTTGTTCGTATAAATTTATATATTTAAATTTAAAATCATTTATTTCTTCAATAGAACCATTGATCTAAACGTATTAGACTTTGAAATAATGTAAAACCTCTAATCTGAGATTTACATAACTTTGCTGCGAGTGAAACTTGATACAATTCAAAACTTCTGATCAAAAGTTGACTATATAGATCAATAACTGAACTATTTAATTTAATTCTGTGCGAGCATTATAAGATTTCCCACAAGGATATAAGATCATCTGATGAGTTTAAAAAGAGTATGTTTTTTAAACAGAGATTCGATGATCTTGTGTAAAAAAGAAATTTTGTGTTTATCCGATTTTATCGTTTGATTATTTTTTTTTAATCATGAATTAAATTTTCAAATAGCAGCAATTAGTAAGCCATTTGGAAAAATTGAAATATCACATTTTACATTCAAACGGCTAATAACAAATGATTCCAAATCCAGAGGAATATGATATTAGTTTTGAAAATGGGTTTTTACCAAATGAATTTCCATTAGAATGTTTACCACAAGAATATTATAAACCATGGGAAAATATAGTTAAAAATTTACCATCTTTAATATTAATTAAAAGTATAAGAAAAATTGTTGATAATTTGCCTGAATTAAGTATAGAATATTTACAAAATGAAAGAGAATATAGAAGAGCTTATCAAGTTTTAGGATTTATTGGACATGCTTATATATGGGGAACTGATCAACCTATTGAAAAATTACCTAAACAAATTAGTGAACCATGGAAACAAATATCTAAATTATTAGGATTACCTCCTATTGGAACTTATGCATCATTATGTCTTTGGAATTATAAACAAATTGTAGAAAACGATGAAAAAAGTTTTGATATAGATAATTTAACTACAATAAATACATTTACAGGGTCTATTGACGAAAGTTGGTTTTATTTAGTAAGTGTTTATTTTGAAAAACAAGGTTCAATATCAATAAATACTGGAATAGAAGCATTGAAAAGTGCTGAAATAGGAGATGTTGAATATTTAATTAAAAATTTACAAAAATTTGCTGAATCAATAGATTTATTAGGAAGTACATTAATGAGAATGGAAGAAATGTGTGATCCTCATATTTTCTATTTCCGTATACGACCATATTTAGCTGGTTGGAAAAATATGTCAAGTATAGGTTTAGAAAAAGGTGTATATTATGGAGATGAATCTACTCCTAGATCCTATGCTGGAGGATCTAATGCACAATCTTCATTAATACAATTTTTTGATATTATTTTAGGAGTTAAACATACAGAAACTGGAGATTTATCACAAGATAATTCATTTATGAAAGAAATGAGAGAATATATGCCTGAAAAACATCGTGAATTTTTAAATGCATTAGATAGGTTTAGTACAATTGTGCCTGATTTTGTTAAAAGAGCAAAAAATGAAGAATTAACATTATCATATGATGCTTGTATAGCAATGTTAAAATCATTTAGAGATAAACATATACAAATAGTTACAAGATATATTATATTACAAGCTAAAAAAATAAATTCTATGGGATCAACAACAACTTTAAGATCAGGTTTAGCAAGAAGGAAAAAAAATGGAGAAGAAAGAGGTACTGGAGGTACTTCTTTATTACCATTTTTAAAACAATTAAGAGATGAAACTGGTAATTCATATGCTGGAGTTTGGGGTAGACGTATTTTGAATAATACTAAATGATGTGATGATATAGATTCAATTCTTGATAATTTATTGTATAATAATGTAGATTCTAAATAGTTAATGATTAATATATTGAGGAAAGTTCCTCGTTGTTATGTTTATGATTCATTCTTCTTGAAAATCTGAAACTCTAAAATTTTCACTCTTCCTACGAAAAAAAAAAAAAAAGTTTCATGATTTAACATTTCAATTTACAACATTGTATGATCATTAAACGATTGTTCACAACAATAATGTCTAAAAAAGCAGCAGCAACCTCAAAGTCACAAGATTTTCTTTTGAAAACCCCTAAGGGGACTAAAGATTGGGCTGATAAAGATATGATAATTAGAGAGTCTATTTTCAATAAATTAACAACCAATTTTAAAAAACATGGAGGTGTTACAATAGATACTCCAGTTTTCGAATTAAGAGAAATATTAACAGGAAAATATGGTGAAGATTCAAAATTAATTTATAATTTAGAAGATCAAGGTGGTGAATTAACTTCTTTAAGATATGATTTAACTGTTCCATTTGCAAGATTTGTTGCAAGTAATAATATAAGTAACATTAAAAGATATCATATTGCAAAAGTTTATAGACGAGATCAACCAGCAATGACAAAAGGAAGAATGAGAGAATTTTATCAATGTGATTTTGATATTGCAGGAAATTATGATTTAATGATTCCTGATTCAGAAGTTTTAAATATATTAGTTCAAGGTTTACAAGATTTACAAATTAAAGATTTTAAAATTAAATTAAATCATAGAAAAATTTTAGATGGTATATTTGAAGCTTGTGGTGTACCTGAAGAAGATATTCGTAAAGTTTCTTCAGCAATTGATAAATTAGATAAATCTCCTTGGGAAGTTGTTAAAAAGGAAATTTTAGAAAAAGGTCAAAGTGAAGAAATTGCAGATAAAATATGGACTTTTGTTCAACATAATGGATCAATACGTGAAGTTATTGAAATTTTAAAAAATAGTGAATTAAAAAATGAAACTGCGTTACAAGGATTAAATGAAATGGAAGTATTAGCTGATTATATTGAAGCTTTTGAAATTCAAAATTATTTGAAATTTGATTTATCATTAGCTAGAGGATTAGATTATTATACAGGATTAATTTATGAAGCAGTTACTGAAGCTTCTGCTCCACCAAAGGATTTAAAAGAAAAACCAAAAAATTTATCTTCTGAAGATGATGCTTCTGCTTACGTTGGTGTAGGATCAATAGCAGCTGGTGGAAGATATGATAATTTAGTAGGAATGTTTTCAAATAATAAATCAATACCATGTGTAGGTATATCATTTGGAGTTGAAAGATTATTTTCAATAATAAAACAAAGAATAGATTTAAATAAAATAAATTCTCAACATACAGATGTTTATGTTATGGCATTTGGATCAGGGTTTTTAAAAGAAAGAATGCAAATTATAAATAAATTATGGAAAGCAGGTATAAATGCTGAATTTTTACAAAAGGAAAAAGCAAATGTTAGAAAACAATTTGATGGAGCTGAAAAATCAGGTGCAAAATTAGCTGTAATATTAGGTAAAGGAGAATTTCCAGAAGGTAAATTAAGAATTAAAACTTTAGGACAAGGTGAAGAAAATGAAGGTGATTTAATTGAAATTGATGAATTAGTTCCTTTTGTTAAAAGTAAATTAGATAAACAAGTAGATGTAATTACAGAATCTTTGAATAGTTTGTGAATAGAATGATGTATATATATGGAAAACCATTCAATAAATTTTTAATCATCTGTTGATATGTTTTTCTGATACAAGTTATGATTTAAGGTAAATTCAATTTTTTTAATACCTACCCAATTCTCGTCCGCATATTCACAGTAAATTCATTGAGCAGTAAAAATGTACCATTATTATCACCTCCAATAGTCTAAAAATCAAATCTTTTGATTATGCAACCAAATATCATTCAAGTTATTTCTTAACTAATTCTAAGTGTAATTTGTTAGTGGCAGCACCTCTTATTCTTTAAACTCACAACGTAATAGGCTCTTGAAATGGCAAATATCAATCGTTCTCAAATTTAATAAAAAATCGAGTGCAGTTCTCGTTTTGAGTGAAGCATCAATTTTTAGCGCATTTTCAACGTTGTCAAAATTTGAAAAAAATACATGTTGGTTCAAGTATCTGATTCGATTTTACTTTGAGTATAATTAATCTCATACGAATAACATTCGGATTTTACAATTAAATATCGATGTACTGTTATATTATCAAACAAACCAGTTTGGTAAAAAAATGTGTTTAGAGCATGGTCAAAGAGTGTGGTCCATAAGTGGAAGAAGTGAAATCTCTGTTTATTTGTGAATGAATTTTTGTTTTCATTCAAAAGTGATTGATTTGAAAACGGATATACATATTGCTGAATTTCGAATGTAATTTGTATGGGTGTAATTGGGATTGCAGTTGAATACCAGGTATCATCACTCAATCTGTGGGTTTATTGAATTCAAGAGTTCATTTTACCAAGTGCACAAAAACTAGTCAAAAACACATTAGAAAAGAAATACTAGGTAATTACAGCGAAGAAAGAAGTTTAATTCATAAAACAAAAACAATACTTTTATATTTATTTTATTGTTGATTTTCATCAACTTTATCTATTTTATAACCATGTTTCTCTTTACCTTGTCTTTTAACTCTATTCCATAATAAATTAACGTCATTAAATATAAACCACCATAATACTCCACACCAAGAATTAACTTTTGGTAAAGGATCATAAAATTCAGAAGCTATTCTTCGCAACTCTGGTAATTTTGTCCATGCAATGTAAGGAAAATCATGATGTTCATTATGGTATCCAACATTCCAAGTCAAATAATTTAATGATCCATAATACGAATAAGTTTCTGCTGGAATTGGTATAACATTTGATCCATTTTTTAATTCTGTTCTTGGTGTATTATTTTCATTTAAAACATAATGTTCTGCAATAAAATGTCCAGCACATGGATGTAATGAACCAGCTAAGAATGAACTCATAATAAAATAAATTAAACTTTTCCAACCAAATAATTTAACCCAAATATTATCAAATAAAATTTGAAATATTATATTTAATAAATGAATATAAGTAAATTTAATTTGAGTTATAAACATTGGTCTTAAAGCATAAAAAAATATTTGACAAGTTGCAAAAAATACTTTTCCTAATAAATTTGATAATATAATTGATTCAAATTTTGTTGGTAAATCAGTATCTAAATATTCATCTCCCATAAATTTATGATGTAATTGATGATAAGGTTGAAAAGAAGCTGAATATGGAATTCCAATTGGTATATTTGTTAATATAGCAAATAATTTATTATGTAATGGTTTTTTAAATAAAAGATTATGACTTAATTCATGAATAGCTAGGAATATAGCTTGATTTGCAGTAGCTCCAATTATATAAGATAAACCAATAAATTTCAATGACAAGACAGGAGTATTTCTTAAATAATATGATACTGATAATTGCAATAAAACAACTAACAAAACATACCATTTAGTTTTTGGTTCATATCCTGTTAATTTCCTTACTTCTGGATATTTTTCAAGGATTAATTTTCTTCTTTGTACATGAGGCTCAGCTTCATTTGTCCAATAAAATTCATTAAGTGTTTCAATAGAAGAATCTGCTGGTGGTGTAACGAATGTAAATGTCTTATTTGAATCTCTATGTTTTATAGACGCGTCCATATTGATTTTTTTTTGAATCTTAGCTGATTGAATTCATTGACCTGATTTTGGTGAAGAAGATATCAAAAATTTGAAAAATTTATTTTGATTCCATTTTGGTTTTAAATTTTTGTCTTTGTGTTAATAGAAAAAGAAGGTGAATTCTATATTAGGATTCATCATTACAATTATCATCATCTTATTCAGTGGTATGATTGTTAACTTGACTTGAAGTGGTAGTCTTAAGAAGATACAATACTTATATACAAAAAAACTTTGATTAAATGTATATTGATGTGAGTTAATACGTGAATCCTTTCATTACTTTAACTCCTTATCTATTCAATCGGTTATCGGTTATTAGGATGCTACCAAATTATTTACATTCATCTATCAAATATGAAATAACAGTGGCAATTTATTTAACAACCTTTTGATATCCTTTCTTCTCAGTCTATATCATCAAATTGCAATGGAAGAAGAACCACCAGCTAAAGTTCAAGTTTATGTTTATGATTTATCAAAGGGATTAGCAAAACTATATAGTCCCATGTTATTAGGATTTGAAATTGAAGCAATTTATCATACATCAGTAGTTGTCAGAGGAGAAGAGTATTATTTAGATCAAGGTATAAAAAAATTACCAGTAAAACAATTTCATGAAAAATATGGTTCACCTATAGAAATTATAGATATTGGAGAAACATATATAGATGATTCAATAATATTAGAATTTATAAATGATTTAAATAATCATGAAGAAATGAAATATCATGCTCAAAATTATGATTTATTTAAAAATAATTGTAATCATTTTACAAATACAATGTTGGAATTTTTATGTGATAAAAAATTAAATGATAAAATTTTAAATTTACCTGAAATTGTTTTAAAAAGTCCTGCTGGTCAAATGTTACAAAATATGATACAAAATAATGCATAATGAATAAATAGTTCTATAGAATCTTGTATTAATCTACAAATACTAATGAAACTCCTTCATCACCTGCTGTTATTAATTTTTTACCATTTTCAGTTATTGTAAAATCTAATATTCCCATATTATGACCAACTCCAGTAAATAATAATTCACCAGTTCTTGAATCCCATTTATATATTTTACCATCCATTGATGAACCAACTAGTATTGGAGTATCATTTATAAATTCTAATTTTGTTATAGCATCATCAACTTTTAAATTTTTTCTTATTTTCCATTGTTGAGTATCAAATAATAATATATCACCTGAAACTAAACCAACAGCTAATAAATTTATATTTTTATTTTTACACCAACTTAATGCTTCTATTGATAATTCTGCTATATCTTCAACATTATCTAATGTTTTTATTGATGTTAATATTTTACCTGTATCATTATTTATTATAGATAATTGACCATCTCTTCCTCCTATAGCTATTAAATTTCCATAATTTTTTATTGTAACCCAAGGACTTTCAACACCTTTAAAATCATCATTTGGTTGTAATTTATAATTTGTTTGTCCTGTAAAACAATTCCAATTTATAACTGTTCCATCTTCACTTATACTTATTAAAGTTAAATCATTTTCATCTTTTCCAGGTATAAATATGGCACCATTACATTCTAATGTATGTGAAAATCCCGACATTATTTGTATTAACAGTTTATTATTTTCATCAATTTGATATACCCATATTGAACCATCATTTGCTCCAAATGCAAAAAATGGTAATGTTGGATGTATAGTAACAAATAAAATTTCATCAACTTCATTTAATTCACCAAATAAATTCCATTTTTCTCCTGTTTTATTTGATTTAAATACTTGTAAAAAACCATTCATATCTGCTGTTATTAAAAATTTCCCATCATTAGTAAAACCACCAGATATTATACTTTCTTTATGATTCTCTATTGTCCCTACAAATTTTGGAGGTTGTGAATGAATTGTCCATAAATATCCTAAATTATCTCCTCCTCCAGTAAAAACCATTGGTAATTTTGGATGTGAAAAAATTGTAAAAATTGAATCTTCATGTTTATCAAAATAAGTCCATGAATTATTTGACATATCTATTTCTAATGTTTCATGGTTTTCTCCTTCTTCTTCATTTATTTCCATATCATCTTCATCATCTTCTGGTGGTGGTTGATTATTCTCATCATCTTCATATACTTCTTCCCCTACTTCGTTTATATCAATGAATTCATCTTGTTCTGTAGGTTCTTGTGCGTTTTGTTGTTGATCTACTTGGTCTGACATTGTTAATTTTGTTCTTCTTGGTAATTAAGTAGAAAGTTGTAGTTGATTATAAATATATATGAAACTGTGAATCTTACTAAGCGATGAAACTCATCTCATGTTTTATGCTACCAAATCGTTGTAAAAATAAAGATTAGGTCGACTTCTTGGCTCGTATTAAAGTATCTCAATATATTGCTTAGAAAAGCTAAAAATAGCGGTGTTTAATTTACCAAGTAGGCTACATATTTGATAGATACTCGGTTATAACTTAAAGGTAAAGATGGACTACCAAGCTGCTTTGTTCGATGATTTTGCAAGTGTCAGTAAATTCATATTTTGGTAAAGTTATAACTTACAAGAGTAGTTACCACTAATTTCTACACGATTCGTTGAAATGTTTTAAATCATCCGTATTATCATTCTTATTATTATTTCGTTCTAACTATATAATCTTCACCAGATTTAGTTATATACCTTACCCAAGGATAAGATTGATATTGTAATTTTGGTTCATTAATTCTTAAATATCTAACTTGTATACCACTTGTTGTAAAATAAGGAATTTGAAAATTAACTTTTATTGGTTTTTTATTTAATTTTATTTCTAAATCATTTACTGCTGGTAAACCTAATTCAGAAGTCATTGAAAACAGTTTTCCACCAGGGAAAGTTTTTAATTTCCATATTAAACATGAATTTTCAGGTTTCCATTTTATTGAACCATATTCTGTTTCAAATTTTGGAGTATCTGCATCTTCTGGAATGGGGATAATAATTTCAACATTATTTGCAGTTGATTTTTTTTTAATTTGTGCTTTTACTGTACAACTTATTTCTATTCTTGAATGTTTATGTATCTTAGTTTTACAATTAACTAATATTAAAGGTTTCATTAAAAATTGTGCAGATGATAATCTATATGACATTAATGTAAATTCACCATCTGGTGGTATAAATGTTATAATTTTTTCATTTTCAAATTTTGATAATCTAACACATTGATGAAATTTTATATCTTCCATTTCAACACTTTTATTACCATTTGTTGTTGTGTTGTTATCATTATCTGTATCTCCATTTCCTGTAAATATTCCTTTATCATTTAATCCTAATCTTAAATCTGGCATTCCACTTAAATGACTTTTAATTTTAATTTCTCCTAATATTTCACTATTTAATACTTGACCATTTGGTGTTATTAACATATTTATACTTTCAACAACATCTAAATATGCTTCATTCTTTTTATAACTTATTCCATCTTTTCTCCAACTCACTGCATTTGTTACAGCATTTGGTGGTGCAACTAAATGATTTGAAGTTTGTTTAATTAATGAATAATAATCTTGAGTAATATATTCTTTTAAAATTTTTGTATCTGTTGTTTGTGGTATACCAAAATCCATCATTTCATCTAATAATTCATATATAATAACAAAATTATCTCTTATACTTTCTTCTTCTAAAGATTTAAAATATTGACTTAAAACTTCAACTAATTTTGATAAAAATATTATTATTGTCATTATATTTTCATTTTTTTTGGTTAATCCACAAATATATAAATTATTATGATTTATAAAAATATAATTTATACCTTGATCATTTATAAATGGTTTATATTCTCCTTCATCATTTTCTAATTCTAATAATAATAATGGAAATTTATCTATAGTTGTTGATGGTATATCACCTTTATAATCTCTTGATAATAATGGTTTACCTTTTATATCTAGAAAATGTATTTGTGATGCCATTGTAGGGTGTTTGGTGGTTGATTTAGATGATGAATTGTTATCAAGTTATGCTATGTGAGATGGTTTGGTTGGATGATGTGAAATGTGTGTGAGAGTACGTTTTGATTTGGTTGTAAAAATTCAATTAAAGTCTTGTTTGTCAATTGAATATTTATTGATCTGGTCTCTCAACTGGAAAAAAAATTTAAGTTGATACAAAATTGAATATAACGACAAGCTTAAAACTGACACTAAAAACGACACAAGATTATTTAATGCTACCAGCTGCTTATACAGATTTTTGAAACTACAAATCTGATGTAATAGTACGGCTTTAACTCACGTTGGTGCATCGAATTATGTATAAGAGTCACCCAGTGTAACCATTGTCTTAAATATTGGTTCAGACAGGTATAAAGCTCATTATTATTTAGCTTAATTTCCTGGAAGTTCAAAAACTTTCATACCACATTATTTTGCAATCGAATTGAATTTAAACGCAAAAATGTTAGTATTATAATAATGCCATCATTGTTCTTTTCTATCCTAACGTTGTAGAATCAAATCAACTAAACAGGTAAAAAGCAAAGGTTGGATACAATTTGAAGAGTATGTTTAAGCTAATTCGAAACCTTCTGTATATTGATTTGTTGTATAAATCTGAAACTTCATACATTATTGAAGTAGTATCATAATTAAAATACGCTACCAAATTAACACATCATTTTTGTGTTACAATAGAATATTTTTTACGTGTCAATTTTCTTTGTTTACTAACAAAATTAGATCTCGTGTTTTTACAATTGTATTGTATTAATCTATATGGTAAATTGATAATACGAATGGGGTAACAATAGATCAATAAACATTAAAGCCATGATCTTTGAGAATAAGTAGTGGAAGCTCAAGGCTGAACATATTTGGAATCAGCCCATTTAGTTTTACAATGTTCGAAAAGAAAATTTTTCTCTCAGTAAATACTAAGAATATTGACATATTATTATTGAATATTTTCTTATCTTCTTGTCAAACGAAGAAAATGAAACAATTTTATAAATGGTTGCAAAACAAGTCAATAACGAATGGTATAAAGTGTAGCTTTAATCTAAATAGGGCGAACATTGACTGGAAACACGATATGATTGATGTAGTTTTAGTAGAACTACTATAGATTTTAAACTTTAATAAAATGGTTTAATTTTTAGTAGACTATGAAAATAAATCATGAAATTTTCATTCTAATAAATTTTTGTAAATATAAACAACCAAATTTTTCTATTACTTCAAATTTTTACAATCAACTTTTGAACCAACTATAATACACTCGCTTCACTACAAAATGTTGTTTAATATTATAACTTATTTATCATTTATATCAACAGTATTATCAATAGCTTCAATAGAAGTTAAAGGTAATGCATTTTGGAATTCAGAAACTGGTGAAAGATTTTATATAAGAGGTATAGATTATCAAGCTTATGATTCAAACTCCGTTATTGAAGATCCAATTGCAGATACAGCTAGTTGTGAAAGAGATATAAAATATTTTAATGAATTAGGTATAAATACTGTTAGAATTTATTCTATTGATAATACAAAAAATCATACTGAATGTATGGATAAATTAGCAGAAAATGGTATATATGTTATATTAGATGTTAATACTCCTCATTCATCAATAACAAGATCAAATGCTAATTGTTCTTATAATTCAGATTATTTAAGAGAAATTTTTGCAACTATTCAAGAATTTGCTATATATGATAATACTTTAGGATTTTTTGCTGGAAATGAAGTTATAAATGATGGTCCTTCATTAGAAGCTGCTCCTTATGTTAAAGCAGTTGTAAGAGATATCAAAACTTTTATAAAAAATAGAAATTTTAGAACTATTCCTGTTGGTTATAGTGCAGCAAGTGTTGATGAATATAGATTAAGTTCTGCATTATATTTCAATTGTGGAGATGATGATTTAGCAAGAATTGATATGTTTGGTATAAATGATTATTCATGGTGTGGAGATGCAAGTATGACCACTAGTCAATATTCAAATCAAATGAAAGATTTTGCAAATTATACTATTCCTATTTTTTTTTCAGAATATGGTTGTAATACTAAGAGACCAAGACCATTTTCTGAAGTTGAAGTAATATATTCAAATCAAATGTCTTCTGTATTTTCTGGAGGATTAGTTTATGAATATTTTGAAGAAGAAAATAATTATGGATTAGTTGAATTAAATGATGGTAATATTGAAACAAATGAAGATTTTGATAATTTAAAAAATGAATTTAATAAAACAAAGAATCCTTCTGGTGATGGTGGTTATAATAAAAATGGTACTGCAAATAATTGTCCTTCTTTAAGTAATTTATGGAATGTTACTACAAAAATCCCAAATACTCCAGCAGGAGCAATAGCAATGTTAAAAGGTTTAGAAGAAGTTAAAGATAATCATGGATTTGATGCTTATACTCAAAATTGTGATGGTCATGATGAAACAGATGATTCTGATCAATATTCAAGTACAATTGGTGCTTCAAGTAGAGCAGCTATTGCAACTACTGGTGGTTCAAGTTCAATAAGTTCTGCATCTTCTTCTTCAACTCAAACTTCTTCTGGTTCATCATCTAAACAAAATGATGGGTTAGTAGTTTCAGTTGATAAAGTTATGAGTTTAATTGCTTTAATAGCTGGTGTTTTTACTATCTAATTACGGTAGTTCCATTTTCGCTTCAATTAAACGTTAATAGTATTAGATATTAGTTAGAGACTGTTATATTCAATATAATGAAAATTTGTTTTATTAATTCTATTATATAACTTTTTTAATTCCATACATCATTTCTTCTTTATTTATTAAATGACCAATTGAATCAATTTCTTCTAATAATTTATCAACATCAAAACACCAATCATTTAATACAGCATTTATATGATTATCACTTGTTCTTGGATCCATACCTTCAATTCTTTTAGTTTTATCAAATTTTACTATCCCTTTTGGACGATTAATTTTTGCATTAATCATACCATTATTTACTAATTCACTTATATATTTTTCTGATTCATCTGTTGATAATTGTAATAAATATGATAATCTATCTAATTTCATATATTGATAAAATTTATTTATAACTCTTAAATTATGTTCAATAATTCTTTTTTGTAAATTTTCATAATTTTTAACATCTTTGAATATTGAGGTGGTTGAAAATTCTTGCTTGTATAATGATTCAATATTTGACCAATGAATTAATTCATCAGTTGTAAAAATTTCCAAGAGTTTAAAAATTTTTGAATCTATTGTTTTTGAAAAAATAGGATTTTTTGATATTTTATTAATTAAATCATTTTGATGAGGATCATAAGTTGATAATATTATATAATAAACAATTGAAATTAAATAATCTTTAAATTCTTTTGATTCTTTTACTATTGGAATTTCAATTAATAATAATAAATTTTTAACAATTGATAAATAATCATAATCAAATATATTAATATCAATTAAATATTTTAAATAAGTTGTTTTAAACTCATCTGCCTTTTCAAAATTTTTTAAAGTTTTCAACAAGATTTTCCTACTTAATATTTTAGCTTGATTATAATCTCCCTTTTGTAAAGTTAATTGAATTTGTTCTAATATATATTCAATTTTATCACTGAAAGGCATCAATGAATAAGTTTCAACTTGTAAATCACATAATATTTCAACTGCTTTATCTAAATCATTTTTCTGATTTAAATAAATTTCTGCTAAATTTTTTGAAACTATTGCTCTTTCAACTTCAACAAATATTTTTTTATCAGTTACTAATCTAATAGTTTCAATTAATTTTATTTTGGTTTCTAATTCCTTGGGATCTGATTCATTAAGTTGTTTTAAATTTTTAATTACTTCTTGTATAAAAAATTGTATTGAAGATTTTAATTGTCCATGTTTTTTTGAAAGAATAATAATTAAATCATTTAAATAATTCCAATCTCCATTTGAAACTAATACATTTACTAATCTTTCCAAAATTCTTTTTGAACTTGATAAATCTGATGATTGACGAGTTTGTTTTTCTAATACTAAATATTTATCAATTTGTTCTTTATAATTTGGGATTTTTTCTATGATTGGGAATTGTTCATCTAATGTTGCTGAAAAATCCTTTTCGGCTTTTATTGGATCTTCTCTAGACATTTTTGGGATGTGTTGTGTTATTGATGTTGAGTTTAAATTGGTGGCAAGTTTGGTTGTAAGAAATTGAAGTTGAAAAATGAGAAATTGACAATTCGATTTTGGTAGCTTTTTCTGTACACAAAATTTAATTCTATTGAGATCTCATTGTCACTACGAAAGCTTCATGAATCAATGTCAAATGGTGAAACCAAACAATATGATATCATTCAAAAACATTTAGGTTCATTAGATGAAGAAAATATAAAATTAATTCATAATTTTCTAAAAGATTTATTTATCAAATCATCTGGATATGGGTTTCTTAAATTTCATGATTTAGTTAAAAAGAATGGAGGTGAAGATTTTGATAAATTATTCATAAGAGAATATTATAATTCTTTAAGCTCAACGAGTAGTAAAAGGAAATTAGATAATGGTGTTTATGAAGGTAGGGTCATATCAACGCCTCCGTATGGTGCATTCATAAAATTTAATAATTCTTCTGGACTTTGTCATGTTTCACAAATATCATTTGATGGATCTCGAGTTGAAAATTCTTCAATTTTAAAACCAAATCAAAAAGTATTTGTTAAAATTATTGATGAAAGAAAAGATGGGAAAATTTCATTATCAATGAGAGGAATTAATCAAGAAAATGGTGAAATTTTGGAAATTGAACGTGGAACCGTTAATAATAAAATTCAAAAATCTAATCGTAAAATGACATCACCTGAAAGATGGGAAGCAAGACAATTAATTGCATCTGGAGCTGCAAAACAAGAAGATTATCCTGAATTAAATGAATTTGAAGAAATTGAATCAAAATCTCAAATAATTCATCATGAACCTGAAATTTCTCATGATATTGAATTAAATGATTTTAAACCTGAATTTTTAAAAAATCAACCAAAATTTAAGGAACTACCGAACATAAATACAATTTTAAAAATGGAAGGAGGTGCAATGTCAAAAGTAATTGAAAAGGGTTCTGAATTAGCTAAAACTTTTAGAGATGATAAATTAAAATCTCAAAAACAAAAACAACATCAAGAAATTGATCCATTATTTGAGAAAGATGAAGAATCTAGTGAAAAAAAAATTGCTGAATGGAAAAAATCCAAAAAAATTGCATTTGGAAAACCAACAACTATGTCAATAGATGAACAAAGAAAATCATTACCTGTTTTTGATATGAGAAATGATTTAATTGAACAAATTAAAAATAATCAATTTCTTGTTATTGTTGGTGAAACTGGTTCTGGAAAAACTACTCAAATTGTACAATATTTATATGAAGAAAAAATGAATATTATAAATGGAGAATCAAAAATTATTGGATGTACTCAACCAAGAAGGGTTGCAGCTACTTCAGTTGCTAAAAGAGTTTCTGAAGAAGTTGGTTGTATATTAGGTGATGAAGTTGGTTATAATGTTAGATTTGATGATAATACCTCCCCTAAAACAAAAATTAAATATATGACTGACGGTATGTTGGAAAAAGAAGCATTAAGTGATCCAGAAATGAACAAATATTCAATAATTATGCTTGATGAAGCACATGAAAGAACTATAGCAACAGATGTTTTATTTGCTTTATTAAAAAAAGCAGCCAAAGCAAATCCAAATTTAAAAGTTATTATAACATCAGCAACTCTTGATTCTAATAAATTTTCAAAATATTTTAATAATTGTCCTATAGTTAAAATTCCAGGTAGAACTTTTCCCGTTGAGATATTATATACAAAAGAACCAGAAATGGATTATTTAGCAGCTGCATTAGATTCAGTTATGCAAATTCATATATCTGAACCTCCTGGTGATATATTAGTATTTTTAACAGGTCAAGATGAAATTGATACAAGTTGTGAAATTTTATCTGAAAGATTAAAAATTTTAGGAGATTCTGCAACAGAATTAATAATTTTACCAGTTTATTCTGCGTTACCTTCAGAAATGCAAACTAAAATATTTGAACCAACTCCCCCGGGTTCAAGAAAAGTTATATTAGCTACAAATATTGCTGAAACTTCAATTACAATTGATGGAATTTATTATGTTATAGATCCTGGTTATGTTAAATTAAATGCTTATGATCCAAGAGTTGGAATGGATTCTTTAAAAATTTGTCCTATTAGTAAAGCTCAAGCTAATCAAAGAAGTGGTAGGGCAGGTAGAACTGGACCTGGTAAATGTTATAGATTATATACTGAAGAATCATTTGAAAAAGAAATGTTACCAAATACTATTCCAGAAATTCAAAGACAAAATTTATCTCATACTATATTAATGTTAAAAGCAATGGGGATTAAAGATTTGATTAATTTTGAATTTATGGATCCACCATCAATGAGAACTTTAATGACATCATTAGAAGATTTATATATGTTGGAAGCGTTAGATGATGATGGAGAAATTACTTTATTAGGTAAAAAAATGGCAAATTTTCCCATGGAACCAGCATTAGCTAAAACATTAATTAAATCAGTTGAATTTGAATGTACTGAAGAAATTTTAACAATTATTGCAATGTTATCTGTACAAACAATTTTTTTTAGACCCAAAAATAAACAAATTCAAGCAGATCAAAAAAGAGCAAGATTTAATTCAATAATGGGAGATCATTTAACTTTATTAAATGTTTTTCAAAGATGGTGTCAAAATAATTATAATAAAAATTGGTGTCAAGATAATTTTATTCAAGAAAGAAGTTTAAAAAGAGCAATGGATATAAAAAAACAATTAAAATCAATTATGATAAATTATAAATATGAAATAAAAAGTTGTGGATCAAATTTAGATAACATAAGAAAAACTCTTTGTTGTGGATTTTTTAAAAATACTGCAAAAAAATTAAGTGGTGAAGGTTATAAAACTTTATCAAAAAATGAATCAGTATATTTACATCCATCATCAAGTTTATTTGGTAAAAATACAGAATATTTATTATATCATACTATTTTATTAACTTCAAAAGAATATATGCAATGTGTTACAATTATTGATCCTATTTGGTTATATGAATTTGCTTCAAAATATTTTAAATTAAGTGATGAAACAACAAAGAAAAAGGAAAAAATTATACCTTTATTTTCATTTCATAATAATAATAATAAAAAACCACATCCATTTGAAAAGAAAAAGAAAAAAATTGAGTAAATACTGTATTAAATATTATGGTGATTAGGTTAATAAGCTATTTTATTTTTCTATATTCTTCATTTATCAATTAATACTATCAAGATGGACAATTATATACTAATTAACAACGAGGGTCATATAAGCATCTGATGACACTAGCTAATAAGATATAAGTCCGGTTATAAAATAAATGACATTGGTAGCGATGGTTTGATATTTTTAAACTTTTCTTTTCCCCAGATATTTTTAATTAAGTTAAGAGATCTACAACCAAAAGAAAATTCATAAATATACGATGATAGACTAATGTTAATATAGAATCTTTTTACAAACACACTTTATATAGAATGTAATATTTAATAATGTAATGTTGTATGAATGAATGATACTGATTTGTGGAGGTGGCGGTGTTGTAGTCAGTAGATGATAATCTGTTTAATTTGTACGTTTCATACTAATCTTTCTTTTTAACTTAATTTAGCAAGTAAAAAAGAAATTACCGACTGATTCTATTTCTAACAGAATTAATCACTTTTACATCAACAACAAAAGTCATTCATTTACCAAATATATATCCACTTTTCCCATATCTAGTTTGTTATTTTTAATAGATTAGATTCCTTTATGTATTTTATAATAGTATGAGATCAGCAAGATATGCCCATGATGCAATACATGATAGATTAAGATTATATCTGACTACATCAAATATTTCAATAAATGGAGTAAAATGTCTTAAAAGAGATTATCCACCAACTCAGAGTATTCCAGAAACTAATAATAATTCAAATTCAATATTACCTTGCATACCATTAGAATCAAATAATGAAGGAGAATTTTATGATCCAAAAACTGGTCGTAAAATTGTTTTAAAAGGAATAAATGTTGATTCTCAACTGAAATTACCTGTAAATCCAAATACAACATCTTATTGTGGGAATTGTACAGAATCAAATAATATATTCTTTGATGGTGATAAAGTATCATTTGTTGGAAGACCTTTTCCCATAGATGAAGCTAAACTGCATTTTCAAAGAATTAAAAGTTGGGGTTATAATACTATAAGATATGTTTTAACTTGGGAAGCTATAGAACATGAAGGTCCTGGAAAATATGATCAAGATTTTGCAAATTATACTATAGAAATATTAAAAATTATTGGAGAAATTGGTGGATTATATATTTTTTTAGATTTACATCAAGATGTTTGGTCAAGATATTCAGGTGGGAGTGGAGCTCCAATGTGGACTTTTTATTCAGTTGGTTTAAATCCTAAAAATTTTTCAATGACTGAAGCTGCTATATTACATAATGAACCAAGATTTCATGATTCAACAGATATTTATCATAAAATGTTATGGACTTCAAATTATAAAAGATTAGCTTCATTAGTTATGTTTACTGCTTTTTTCGCAGGTAAAAATTATTTTCCAAATTTTTTTATAAATGATGAAAATATTCAAGATTATTTACAAAATAAATTTTTTGGTGCTGTTGAATTTATATGGATGGAAATTTTGAAAGGAGTTCCAAATTTAATTGAAAATGGAACTATTATGGGATTTGAATCTATGAATGAACCTAATTGTGGGTTAATAGGTTATCCAAATTTGAATTATATACCTAATGAACAACAATTAAGAGTAGGTACAACTCCAACTGCTTTTCAATCAATGAAATTAGGTATGGGATATGCATGTGAAGTTGATGAATATAGGATATCTGTAACTGGACCAAGAAAATATGCTACTAAAATCATTGATCCAAAGGGTATCAAAGCATGGTTAACTCCAGAAGAAGGAGAAATAATTGATAAACATTATGGTTTTAAAAGAAATGAAGCATGGGAATTAGGTAAATGTATATTTGCATTACAAGGTATATGGGATTGGCCAGTAAATGATACCCCCTTAGAAGATATGACTCAAGCTCAAAGATTAGAAATAAGTTCAAAATGTTTAATGTTACAATCAGAATTTTTTAGTAAATCATTACCAATTCATAAATATCCAAACAAGATTTCTAAAATTGATGTTCATACATTTGTAAATTTTCATTTTGTTAATTTTTATATCAAATTTAAAGAAACTATAAGAAAACATAATTCAAAAGCATGGGTAATGTTATCAGTACCTGTATTAGAACAACCTCCAGATTTAAAAAATGATGAAAGAAATATTATAGATTCTAAAACTATTTATTGTCCTCATTATTATGATGGATTATCCCTTATGTTTAAAAGTTGGAATAATAAATATAATGTTGATACTTTAGGTATAATGAGAGGTTGTTATATAAATCCTGTTTTAGGTATTGTATTTGGTGAAAGAGCTATAAGGAATTGTATACGAAAACAATTTATTGAAATGAGAAATGAATGTGAAAAATATTTAGGTCCTATTCCTGTATTAATGTCAGAAACAGGAATGCCATTTGATATGGATGATAAAAGATCATATAGAAATGGGAAATATATATCTCAAACAGCTGCTTTAGATGCTATTAGTAATGCTTTAGAAGGTGCAAATATGTCACATACTTATTGGTGTTATAATAGTTCAAATAATCATAAATGGGGTGATCATTGGAATAATGAAGATTTTTCATTTTGGTCAATGGATGATAGAAATCTTTCATTTGCTGATGATGAAGATACTTCACCATTAAATTCTTCAAATCCTCCACCAAAAAGAAAAAATTCAGTTGTTACATTAAAAGCTAAAAGAAAATTATCAGCTGCTACAAAAATGGGTTTTAGTTCTTCTAAAAATAGTGTTATTTCAACTAATTCTGAATCATCTTTTGATAAAGATACAGAATATGAATCTGATGATACTTCTTCTCAATCTTCAATTATATCAACTACTCCATCAAATGTTTATCATCGTCAATATAGAAAATGTTATCCATCACCTGATGGTGTAAGAGCTGCAAGTGCAGTTATAAGACCATATATGATTGCTACAAAAGGTAAAATAACAGCATCTGAATTTGATATTAAATCAGTAAAATTTTCATTACAAATAGCTATTGATTTTAATGATATAGATTCACCAACTATAATATTTGTACCTAAATGGCATTATCCATTTTTAGAATATGGAGATGTATATTTAACTTCTGGTTATATTAAATATAATGAAGAATTGGAATATATAGAGTGGCATCATGGAATTGATCCTCAAAAAGTACCGGAAGATGGTGAACCTGAATTACAAAAAGGTGTATCAATTGAAACTATTATTATAAAAAATAATTCTGGATCATTAGAAGAAGCTGCATTAATAGAGGAAAAGGGCGAATCAAGTTGTCCTGTTACATAAAATTAGACTTTAGAATAAATTTTTAAAAGTTTTATTTATTTCTATATCAAAATTCATAAGGATTTTCTAATTCTCTTTTTTCTTTATTCTCTTCAGATTTTAATAAATCTCCTACAAATTGTTTGAAATAATCAACATATGGTTTTAAACTTGTTTTATCCCATGATGGAATATCATTAACTTGTGAACTTTTTGATTCCCATGCCTCTAATTCATTTTGAATTGTTTTCAAATTAGGTGAAGTTGTTGGATTAAATCCATATGCATCATCTTGTGAATTTCCAGATATATTTTTTAAAGGATTGAAAGGTACACATACATTTCCAGTACCTGGATGAATACAAAATGGTGATTTTAATAAATGAATAATTTGACGTGAAACTTCAATATCTAATCTTGGATATAAATAAAAAATTATAATATCTTTCTTTGCATCCATTAATGGTCCAACTTGCAAATTTGATTTAAATATTTTTGATGCTAAAGTATTTATATCTTCCCATTTTTCTTTTGATCTTGATACATTTTTATTTGATTTCCATTTTTTTCTTAATTCAATTTGTAATTCTTTATTAGGTATAAAATTTAATAAATCATTAATTTGTTTCCAATTTTTTGAATCTTCTTTTGTTTCAGAATCAGTATACCAAGGATCTTGATCTTCTAATATTATATCTATAAATGAATTTTTCATCACTTCAAAACTTCTTTCTATATGTGGATGAAATGGTCTTTTAACATGAATTCCCTTAGATGATTTAACATGTTTTGCCCCTAATACATCAAGATATTCCACTATTGATCTTCTACTTTGTTCATCCAATTCTCTTGCTCTTTTATCACTTATCCAACAATGTGCACCTCTTCTACCTGAAAATACCCAAATCATATGTTTAAATCCAAAATCTTGTCTTAAACAATCTTCTATAATTTTTGAACCAACTTGTATGAATTTCCAACATTTACAACATATATCAGTTCCTTGACAACAAGTTCTAATATCGTCATAATCAGTTAAATCAATATCAAATACTAATTCTTTTGTTAACGGTTTTAATGCTTGTTTTGGAAGATTATGTCTCTCTTTTGGTGCTACTTTATATACTGCTCCAATTTCAAAACGTGTAGGAATTGCTTTTATAACTGATTTTTTAAATTCTTCCACATTAGAATATGAATTATAACGTTGATATGCCCCTGATCTAAATTCATAAGCAAATTCTCTCATTATAAAATCTTTTGTTGGTTTTGGTGAATGACTTAACCAATTGAATATATATTTAAAAGGTAAAAGACGTTTGTAGTAAAATTCCATATCAACTTCACTTGGTTTTGAGGATTGTATTTGTGAATCATCACTATCTATTATTGGAGCTGGTACCATTTTTATTGAGTGATTATTAGTTGATTTGATAAGATTAGTTTTGAAGAATGAAAATATTAAAGTAAACAAAATTGAAACGCGTCTGTATAGTGTCTTAAAATTTTAATGTCATTTATTTTGAGACACGCCCTCTATAGAAAAAAATATAAATCTGAAACACATTTAAATTAATTGCAACACATTTAATTATTACTCGTAACATTCACTTTATTCAACATCAACAACAACTAAAATGACAGATAGTAATTTATTAAACGTATGTTTATTTGCTCTACTATAAAACTTAGAAAAAACTTACTAACAAAACACGTCCATAGTCAATAAATCAATTAAAATTCAGTTCTGATTCCTCATTACAACCAGATCAAACACCAAATACCAGTGGCAATAATATGGATTCAAACAATACAAACTTTTTCAATAATGATTATTTACAATTACAATACCAACAGCAATCAGATTATACGCCAAAAAGAATTTGGAATCAAACATCTTACTCAAATCAAAATCAAAATAATTGGCAACAACAAAAATTCCAACCTTTAAGTTCGAAAGATTCTTATGATAATAGTTTTTTCAATGATTTAGACTCTACAAACTCAACTTCAAATAAATATATGACCAACAATTTGTTAAATGCTCCAAGCTATATTCCAAATCAATATACCACTAATAAATTCCCTCAGACTCCTTCATCAACTAATTCTAGATTTAATGATGATTCATCAAAAGAAGAAATTTCAAAATTGAAAAATGAATTAATTCTTAAAAATCAAATTATTAAGAATTTAACTGAACAAATAAATATAATGATTAAAAATAAAAATAATAAATCATATTATGATATGAAAGATGAAAATTCAATCACAACTTATAAAGTTCCTAGTAATCATTATCAATTATTTCAAGATTTATCAAGAACTTTACAAGAAAAATGTGATGAAGTTGAAGAATTAAATCAAAGAATGGAAATTGTTTTAGTTTCAAGTAATTTAGTACATAATCCTAATTCATTTGCTATAGATATTGAAGAGTTAGGTCATAAATTATTAACTAAAATGAATCATTTACAAAAAGAAAATGATGAATTGTTAAAAATGGTTAGTTTGAGTAATAAACAAAGTTTAATTGTTGAAAATGAATTATTGAAAAAAGGTAATTATGAATAAAAGTTTAAATTTATAGATTAAATAATATTGAATTTATAAAAATAATAAGAATAATAAAGCCCAATATGCTCTACTTGCTTTAACAACAATACCATCGTTTTTTTGACCATTGCCACCAGAACCACCTGAATTCGAATCACTACCGCTTCCTCCTCCGTTACTTCCGGAAGAAGAACCACCTGAGCCACCTGAAGAAGAACCACTTGATCCACCTGATGAAGAACCACCTGAAGAAGAACCACCTGATCCACCTGAAGAGCCTCCAGATGGAGAGCTTCCTCCATTACTTCCTGCTGTTTCAGTAGCAACAGCACCGCCACCTCCATTACCACCTGTTGTTTTAGCATTTTGAAGAGATTTTGAGGCTGAATTATAGGCTGAATTATAGGCTGATGTATAGTCTGCATAATCTATATTTGCACACCAAGATTGTTTTAAACCGTCAGGAGTTGTAAACTGAGCATATGAATTTGGATAACAAGCTTGACCACATTTTAAAAATACTTTCCAAAAATCAGAACCTAAACCACAAATACAATAATCATAATCATCATTAGGACAAGATGTTGAAAGATCATCAGCCTGATCACAGTATGAAGAATCACAAGACGAATCTTTATTTGGACGTGAAAATTTAGCAGAAGTGGTGAAAATTAATGAAGCAATGATAATAAATTGAAAAACAAGCATCGTTATGGTTGAAAACTTTGATTTATGATTGAAATTGAGTAAATGACACTTTAAGATTGAAGGAAATTTAGCATCTTTTTATATCAAAACCCACTTTGTACTTTGAACAATTTTGAGATACTTTATTAGTTACATGTTATCTAAATCATTGGCATGCTAGTTTTGAATGAAATTAAATGGTCGTAATCTGATTTCATTAATTTAAAATGTTCATAATTTATATTTTGAAATACGAAATCTCGAAAATTTATTTTTAAATTGAATTATTTAATTTGTGTAATGACAATAAATCGACAAAGTATCTTATCTTTTCAACAACCCTTCTATTAATTTGAAATAATATGTATCAATTTGGTGTGAGATAAGTAATACATAGTTACCACTGCTCCTCGTGTTCAATAAATTAATTACAGATGGAAACTAATACTCAATTATTTCTTTGATTTTTTAAAACTAATCTGGAAAGAACTAAAGAAGTCTGAGTGTAAGGTTTACTAATCAAGTTCATCATCTTAAAAGATTGCTTTCAATTGATAATGAAAAACTCAATTAGTTTTGATCGATTGAAATTGACATTTTTAAGGGGAACTGTACCAAAAGGTGAATTTCATTTTCAATCCATTGGTATACATTAACAAAGACAATAATGTGGAGGACAATAACTTTTCACCCGCATTGCATTATCTAATAAGTTCTAATTTTTTTTTATTAGATAATAATTTGAGCCAAATTACGAAACTATTAATTTGTAACATCACAGGTTTATTTCTTCAACCTATGTTGAAAATTAATTGGTTTGCTGATAAGAGTGTTATATTGATTCAAAAAATTAGACTGCAAACTACACTGATTCAAAAAATAGGCTGCAAATAAATTACAAGTTTGTTCTATCAATTTTAAGGGCTTAAAAATGTTTCACTTGATCAATATGCATGGTACCTTATTATGAATTTAATATATGTCTATTATGTCATTGCTACAAAACACATGCTTCAAAATAATTAAAATCTACATTACTTTCATCACAAAATCATTAATATTTACTTTCTAAAGTATCATAAGCATTTGATAAAGACAAAACATTTGAAAGTGTTGTTTTCTTAATCGTATCGACAAGAGATGAAAACGAAAATAGGCAAGAGCTGTACCAAGATTAAATTGATTGAAATACTCTGATTTATTCAAGGAAACATATACCGGAATATTAAAAGATAAAAATTGATTTGTTCTTGTAATTTGGGGTTAAATTAACGAGTCATCGTATGTTGGTATCAAATTAAGTTAAATTAACTTTTGGGCATTATAACCATCATAAGCACGGAATTTTGAAACATGGAAAAGGTTATACCCAGAGTACGGCATTCTATAAGTAAAATTTATGCTTAATTTATCATTTATTTTACGAACATTCAAATTTTCATAGTTGATTTAATTGATACATTTCAATACGTTTCATTTAAAGTATTATCTCTCTCTATTATCTAATGATCATGCATTTAACGTAACACAAAATGGTAGTCGGTAATACAAAAAATAATTCAAAAATGAATAGTTTAATGAATTATTCTACCGAATTTCAATCCTGTAAGTTGATTAAAATTTGTGCACCCCCAAACAAGATACATCTAACATTTAAAAAATTGAGTTGATGAGTAAATTCAAAATACTTATATCTTATCACCCAAGACTAACTTTATTTATTGAGCGTGAAGATTTTCAATGACTGATACGGCTGACCAATTTTTATTCTAAACGAGTTTGGGTTAAAAACCCTTAATATGCTTTGTTTCTTAAATGTTAAATGCAAAGCTACAATCATAAAATAAGGAGAAGTAGGCTTAATTAGTTTAATTTAATTTAAGACATACAAAACACGACAATAAATATTTTTAGATATTCATTTACATATTCATTTTGTTTACTTTACTTTGACGATTACAATCTCAAAATCGGTACTATTATATAATTTATTATTTATATCTGAACTGATCTTGCTGAACTGATCTCACAAAAACAATAGAAATAATATAGACCATATACCGGCTTTAACAACAACACCATCATTGACAGCTCCGCTTCCATCATTACTACCTCTACTACTTGGTGATGAACTTCCTTGACTTGGTGAAGATTGAATAAATGAACCTCCTTGATTTGGTGAATTACCTTGACTTGGTGAACTTCCTTGATTTGGTGAATTACCTTGACTTGGTGAACTTCCTTGATTCGGTGAATTTCCCTGACTTGGTGTTGATCTGGATGAATTAGCTGAAGTTGTAGTTGATCTAGGTGAAGTAGCTAAAGATGTAGTTGATCGAGGTGAATTAGCTAAAGTTGTTGTTGATCTAGATGAATTAGCTAAAGATGTAGTTGATCTAGGTGAATTAGCTAAAGTTGTTGGACCAGCAATACCACCATTACTTCTGACTGAACTTTTAGCTTGTGATTTTGATAATTGAGAAATTGTAGAAAATACAGTTTCAAAATCTGATGAAACACCTTCAGTAGCATCTGCTGTTTCAAATGAATCGGGATATTCACTATCTGCACTTAATAATGATGCTTCTGATTCAGATGCTGATAAATATACTGAATATTGTATATTCACACAATAGTCTTGCTTCAATGTTTCAGGTGAATACAACAGGATATACTGAACGTCACAATCTTGAGCACATTTCAAAAATGCTGTCCAAAAGTCTATACCTAATCCACAAATGCAATAATCATAATAAGGTCCAAGACAATCTTGTGAAAGATCATCTGAATCATCACAAGATTGCGCATCGCAATATGTATCTCTATTTTGAATTGAAAACTTTGCAAAAATAGGTAAAATTAATGAAGCAAATATAAGCAATTGAAATTTGATTATCATTGTGGTTGATAAATTTGGTCTTTAAATTGAAGACAAATCTTAACTTTCAGTTTTGAAAGAAAATAATATCCTTTTATATTTCGTATCACATTTAGGTAAAACGTTTCTCAGTTGACTTATTTGATGAACCTACTTAATTCAAATTAAATTGAATGCATCGTAAATTGACTTCATAGTTGTATTTAACTCTTTTTAATTATTAATTTGATATACGAAATTTCGGAAATATATAAATTTATTAACATCTGAATCATGCACTTTGTGTAATAAATGAAATTAAACTAAAAAGCGGAATCTTGTTTTTTTATTTTATCTTATCTTTTTTAAAATTTTTTGGTAACATTGAGTTAAGTACATGAATTTTTGAAAATCAATTTTGAACAGGTTTTGAATAAATCCAACACCAAGCAGTAGGTGTATGTCAATTTATTATTAAGTTTACATTTTTTTTTTTATGTTTGAGAATTGAGTTACAAAATTACCCGAGAGGATCTTTTATTTGTCATTTTCAATTTTATTCCTGATAAAATGTAGCAGCCTAACCAGAACATTTCATACTGCTCATTCTAAGTTTCTATGTGGTCACTCGACTAACGAGTGAATGGTTCTAGTCCCTTTCAATTTCATTATATTTAGGTTTATTCTTTCATTCGAAATCAAAAATCATTTGATTCAATGCTCGCAAGAGTTGAAAAATTGCTAAGGGTTGTATTAATGATTTAGGTTATTTATCACGAAGCCATTTCTTCCAAATTTCCTAATTCTACAGATTATAATTAATTTGAATCAAAGATGCATTCAAACTACTGTTATTAGAGACGTGTGTTGTTTTAAAATAATTATATGTATAGTAAACGTGCTTACGCCTATGCATCTCAGGTAGCCATTATGAATTTTGAAAATACATAATTCAATATTAAAATTCATTATGGAAATCAAATGATCGTTGAAGAACAATTTGACATTAAAGTTTTATTGTACTAAGTCAAACATTAGAGAATTAAACCTTTTGGATCATTTCATATTAAAAAATTCGGATGATAACTTGATTGATGATATTAATTATATAAACGGTTTCACACAAATCATACCTTTAATATGAAAACTCAAGTGATAGCCAGAATGAAGTTGTCAAAATACTTGCATTGTTTGATACTGTTTTAATGAGGAAAATCAAGGTTAGCTTACATTATGTGTCACGCAGCAATTTGCGTCCAATTCCAGTTCTGAAACTCATAGGTAGCGCCATAACGTAAAAATGAAAGTGAATGCGGCGTTGCAGTTTTAAAATGAGTTCTGGGAGCGCGAAGTTTTTTTTTTTTGAGTGAGAAAAAATCGAAAAAACGCAGTCCTCGTAAATGAGCTACCAAATAAGTTGAGCTCGTATTTTATTGAAGTAGTTGTGGTGTTGATCAATAACTTATAGCTGGTAATGATTTCTTTTGATGATGTAGTTAGGAATGGAACTGTTGTGAATTTATGGAATTGTTATAAATTTGGGTATAATTTCATTATAGACTTCATTATTTTGTTCTTGATTTATTGATTATTACAGTTATTATTTTGGTTATTGTTTCAGTTATGTTTCTAGATATTATTTTACGATACAACATTAAGTATTTTTTAGTTTTGTCGTTATTATTGTTTTGTTACTTTATTGTTTATTAATCTAGTTTTTTATATTAGCTATTGATTTAGATATGGAAACAGTTATGAATTCTAGTTATGAGTTTGGAAATGAAACCTAAGAATGTACGATACTAAGCATTAGTATATTTTCTTCCTTTTGTGTTTGGAAGTTATTTTGAACTTAGTTATCATTTTAGTCATAGAATTAGTTTCTGATTTAACTATTATTCTAGTTATTTTTCTACGTAATATTTCAGTTATTATTCTAGTTATTATTTCAGTTACTATTGTAGTTTTAAATTTAGTTTTGATCTAGTTATTTTTTACTTCTTGTTTTTGTTACTGTTTTAGATACTGTTTTAGTTATTAATTTGGTTATTAATCTGGTTATTAATTTGGTTATTAATTTGGTTCCAGTGATTATTCTAGTTAAAATTTCAGTTACAAACGCAGTAATAGATTAGTTATGCACTGTAATATGAAATTCAACAATTATTTTGTTCTATTTGTTTGTGGTAATTGTTTTGGAACTGAGTTATTTAATTATGAATTTGATTATTGATTTAGTTATTATTCCAGTAATTATTCTAGTAATAATTCTAGTAATAAATTTTGTTATTTATTCAGTTGTTGATTTACTATACGAGATTCAGTTATTGTTTCAGTTATTATTTTAAATTTTTGGATGCTTCTGCTAATTGACTTTATTAGTTTAGGTTGATAGTTTGCTTTAGTTTACTTTTGTCGAACTTGGTAGTTTATTTAACTAGGTTAAACTTCGTTTGATACTTGAGTTGGTTATTTGACTTTAATAGTTGACTTTATGTGCTGATTTTAAGAGCTGATTTTGATAGATAATCTAGTTAGTTGATTTTGATAGTTGGAACAGCTGATTTTTTACTTTGTTTGATACCTGAGTTTGTTAATTGGCTGTAAAAGTCTATTAGTTGCCTTTAGTTGATTTCTTGAACTGGATAGTGATTTTGTTTGATAGATTGACTTCGAAAGTTGACTTTGACAGTTGACTTTGATAGATTAGTTTCTCTGTTTAATGTGATAGTATACTTTGTCGGTATGATTTGTTAGATGACTTTGATCGTTTACTTTCTTAAAAGACTCGAATTTGATGGTGGAACTTGACACTTTATTTTGATAGTTCTTTGGTGGTTGACTCCGATTGATCTTGGAAGACTTTATTAGTTGAGTCTGATATTTGTCTTTAGTTGACTTTGAATAGTTTAATTTCTTAGTCGGTTTTGATAATTTACTTTGATTGGTAACTTTAATAGTTGACTTTGTGAACTGACTTTAGTTGAGTTTCTTAGTTGA